GAACTTGGTTAATATGTAAACTTAGTCTAGTACAAATACATCTATATACGGTTTATCAAGTAAATGTGTCTTGCTGTAATAGAAACCTACATGTATTTATTTACTTTAAAATTGTGCTAGTTAGCTCTTAAAATTACTGAGATGAGAAAGTGAATTTATTTTATCCTCTTTTTTTGTCTTTTTCCTTTTTATCGGTACTGGGGGTCAAACTCACGACTGCCTGCTTGCAAGGCAGGTGTTTATGCCGCTGAGCTAAATCCCCAGCCGCTTATCATCCTTTTTTAGTTTTGATTTTTTATTAGTACGTATTTGCAATATATTTTATAACCCAAAATAAAAAATTTAAGATACCAAGCTTTTTCAGTAGATACCTTTTTAAGTAGATACCTACTTAAATGCATAACATCATATACCAAATTAAACTAGTATTTTCTAACATAGTTTTCCCAGAAATATTTTTTAATGTAGAATTTTCTTCTGTCTGGAATGTGAATACATTCAACGTATTTATCCAAGTGATGTGAACAGCATACTTCTTATTAAAACTGTGTAAATGAACTGTTCCATGTGGAGAGAACACAAAAGACCAGGAATTTAAAATTCCAGGCCAAGAAGCCAGGTGTGGTGGTGTACACTTATAATCCCAGCAGCAGGGAGGCTGAGACAGGAGAATTGCTATGAGTTCAATTTCAGCCCTGGCTACATAGTGTTTTGAGGCCTGCCTGAAGACCTTGTCTAAAAAAAAAAAAAAAGATAGTACAATGTCAGGCTAGGAATGACTTCCACGATTGTCTTCCATGACTTTCACAGGAAGCCTTTTTGAAATTCACTACCAAGATTTGTTTGACAGTTAAATTCTTCCTAATTATATTCTTTAACAGTAAAGTAAAAGGATTAACCCATGCTTTTCATATAGACTTTATCAAAATCTAGTTGAAAATTAGTCCCAGGCAATTTGTTTCGTTTTTCTTATGTAGCATTTGATGTGTACAGAAGAATGCTGGCCGAGTCCATGTAACTACTGCAAGCCCATGAGAGGGGTTGTTTAGTCTGATGATACTTTGTCTACACAATCATTTCAATGAGTCATTTTATTATTTTCATTTAAAAAAACTGAGACAAAGCTAATTAAATACAATAGATCTTTTTTAGCCTCATAGATATAAAAAATTCTTTTCCAGAATGAATAACTGTACACTTGTTACCAATACTAAAATATCTGTAACCTGGGCCAATACATTTAGTTAAATGCTCTTTAAAATCTTGGAAGTAACTGTGTGTCCTAGATGCCATTATTGTGGCCGAATTACAATTTAGAAACACAGCTTGGAAGGTTAACAATGTTTTGAAAGCTCACTGAAGCTTAAAAGAGTGCAGTGTTAATTTGAAACAACAATCAATGTGAATACCTGTTACCTGCAGCCTCCTCTGAGAATCGGAATTTTTTCTTTGTAGCATAATACTGGCTGTCCCATCCTTCTGTGCCTCCTCCAAGAAATAACCTCTGACCTGCATTTTATGTGTATCTCTCTTGCTTTTTTTTTTTTTTTTTTTTTTTTTTCCTGTCTTTTTCTTTTTTATCGGTGCCAGGGATCGAACACACTTGCAAGGCAGGTGCTTATGCCGCTGAGCTAAATCCCCAGCCCATTTTCTCTTGCTTTTTAAGTTATTTAATCATGTGTCTAATCATGTCTAAGCAACATACTGTATTCGTTTGTGAGCTCTATAAAAATTTTATTCTGTAGTTTTCTGTCACCTCTTTTTTTCACTCAATATTAGATGCACTAGAGGATACATAAATGTTGCTAACACTCAGTATTACCTGTATTGTACAGTACACATTGTTGCTAACATTCATTGATTTTGTTGCCTCTGCCTGATGCGGTTTTAGGACCTCCTTTTTACATTGTATTCCTGTGCTACATTGCATCACTGTGTATCTATAGGAACCTGAGCTTTCCCTCCTAGCCAGAGTTTCCTTACTGTAAAGAAATAACAGTAAGTACTACATAGGACTGAGTTGAGTGCTAATAACCTATGTTGTATTTATTTTAAAAAAAATAGATCTCATCATTTATTGCTTGTTCTTTGTAAGCATTCTTTCCCTGGAACTTTTTGTTTGTTGGGTTTTGGCAGCACTGGGGATCCAACCCAGGACCTCACACTGCTTGGCAAGCACTCCACCTATATTTAAGTTTTTGAGGAACTTATAAATAGTTTCATAGGGAACATGATATTTCCTATCAACAGTGTGAAAATTTCCAATTTCTCCACTTGTTAACCAGTGCTTGTTTCTTGGTTTGGTTTGGTTTTGTGGACCTAAGGGATGAACCCAGAATTTCATTCATGTCTGACATGTACCATCCTACCAGGTACGAGGTGGTGCCCAATGTGGTTTTGGTTTGCGTTTCCATAATAACCAGCAGCATTGAGCATCTTGTCAAGTGTTTACGGACCATCTCTGTAGAAATGTCTGTTTGAGCCCTTTGTCCATTTTTAATTGTGTTTTGGTTGTTGAGTTGTAACAGTTCTTATATATTCTGTAGCCTGTGCTCTTCTGAGATAACATAACTTGTGAAAGAAAAGAGTAAGTGTCTTACCTTTCTCATTGCTTGGACGAAATACTTAACACCCAAAGTTAAAGGAGTTTATTTAGCTCACAGTTTGTGGAGGCTTCCATGCATAATCAACTGACTCCAAGGCAGGGTGGCTTGGCAGAGGGCAGGTATGGCACTCATACCCTTAGTCCCAGCACTGAACCATGAATCAATCACAAACTCTAGATTCAGTCACTTCCAAAAAACTCTCTATGACCACATAACACTTTGAGAGGACTTCTAGACGACACAAACCAAAACAGTAAGCCAGACCTCAAAGTTTGAAAAACCTGGAGGAAATTTTAAGCTAAGTGGATGAGAACAAGTCTCAGCCTGACAAAGATTGACAAGTGTCATTTTTAGCTCTTCAGAGACAGATCCAATGGGGGTAGTGTGGCCTGGGGAGACTCCAGGAGGGGAACTCTAAAGTTCTCCCAGGTAGCGTGGACCCCAGCCCACCCCCACCCCTGCCATGTTTGTCCTGGTGATTTGGTCACTTGCTGATTGATAATTTGCTTTCCTTACAGTGAGTATGCTCTCCAGGGTAGTTTTCAAAGCATGGACCCTTGGGTTGCCTCCTGCCCCACGATCAGTCCCTCTGGAGTGGCCAGGGAAGGCTTATCCCTAGCAGTGACATCCAGGATATCACTGAATGATTGAAGGACAAATACAAAGGTTTTGTCTCTCAGATCTCTGCAAGAAACGGTCTCCAGATGGCTATGCTTATGGGCAGGAACTGCCAGATATTCATTCAACAGTGAATTAACTTGTCAGCCGTCCAGGAGGTGGCTGACAGATCTCATTCATGGGGACAGAGCAGGATCAGGACACACTGCCTGTGTGATGGTCAGCACTACAGAGACAGATGAAGCAGCATAGGAAGACAGAAAGGGTTAGGCACAGAGAAAACAGTGTGACTGGCAGCCACTATGAGAGCACCCACCAGCAGGCAAGAGGCATAACTAACCTGACATACACATTGAATCCAACCAAGCCAAGGTCAGGTTTCACAGTCAGAAACTGCAATTTGGAGAATCACAGCAACGGAGTTTACAGACAACTTTGTTTCCTGCTTTATATCCTTAAATTATTTTGTGATGAGCTGGCATCCCCCTTGCCCTGTCCCCAGTGGCACTCAGTGTGGGAAGCCCATCCCCCACCTGGGAGCAGCTGAGCCCTGTGAAGTGTGGAGCCAGTTTGCAGAGCCAGGCTCTGAAAGACAATCAGCTGCTGAAGTTCACACTTGTAAGCAGAATCTGCTTCCCAGTGTGACAAAATCCTACAAGTGGGTATGGCACCGGTGTTGGCAGTCAACTCAACACATTGTTTCACATTGCTGGCTCTGCTGTGGTGTCCTGGTCACAAAGGGACTTGGCTGGCTCCCTGTCTAGCAACCAGGTTTGGCTGCATGTCCTCCTGGAAAGGCTGAGCTGTTGTAACCAGAAGAGCTGCCTGGAGTCAGTGCTTCAGGACGATTGGTTCCTATGCTTGCCTGATTGGGCCCCCAGCCTGATCAGGGACAGGCCTGACCAAGCGAACAGGAAAACGTGTGCCTGCCCTGGCTTTGCTGCAGGTGTGGTTATAGAGCAGGTGCATAACAAGCTTCTGCCCGAGCGGCCAGTCTTTACAGTGCCCTTTGACTGAGGGCAGGAAAGGGTGAGTCAGCTGGTTGGTGATTTTGCTCTGGCACCAGAACAAACCCTGACTCAGCGATTAGGAATGTCAAAATCTACAGAGAGCGTCTACACTCGAAATTCTCTGGTCCCCACCCACTCTGTCTGCTTAGCTTGTATGTCCTTCTTTGGAGTCACTTCAAAGCCAATCGGCTTTTGTTGTCCAGGCTCTCTTGAGCTTTTGCTTACCCTGGTCCACATCTGGGATCGCCACTTCCGCTGGCGGTTGAGCTAGGCCTGGCAGCATGCACCCAGCCTGCCCTTGAGTCAGAGCCATGGGGAGTGTCCTGGCAGTCAGGCTCAGCATGAGCAGCAGCATGGAGTCACCCCAGCCTCTACTCCAGCTATGTTCTGGCTCTCTCAGTGGTATTTGGAATCATGGGGACACTTCTCTGGCACTGAGACCCCCATCAGAAAAGCAAGAATCCTTTTCAAGACTTCAGGGTGACACAAGGCACAAGTGTGCCATTGGTCCCAGGATGGTGGTAGCTAGGAGCCTTGTGGTTGTGTGGCAAAAACTTGTTTCTGGGAGGTGAGCTTAGCCCTGGATCTGCCCAGAAACAGCCCATGGACCATCTTCACACAAGGGGTGGCTCTTAAGTGCTGGTCAGGCAGCATGCTAACCTCTTCCTGTCCTTGGCAGCCCCTCTCCCGAGTGCTAAAGAAGTCCCACTCTCCCAGGACCAGATCTCACTTTGTGTCTAACAGAACGACTTTGCTTTACCAACAGTCCCCGAGGTCCTGCAGCTCAGTGATACCCTCCGGGATGACATCCTGCCCGAGCTCGGGGTGCGGTTTGAGGACCATGAAGGTGGGTGAGCCCCTCGAGCTGTGCATTGGGTATAGCCAAGAGCTTGACAAGATGAGCTGGTGGTGGAAAGACAAAAGGACAAGAGAGGATGCAGCAGGAATGCTGGGCGTGTGGTTTTAGAATCCCTAGAGGGACTCCCCACCCACCTCCACCCCCAAGATTTGTCTCCTTATGTATGATGTGTTTATTTCCACCTGGACTTGACCACCCACTGCTGACCTCAAACTTGAAATCTTACCCAGGTCTCACAAATGTTGGGATTACGGGCATGTACCTGCATTTTACTTCTTTTTAAGTTCTTTTTGGGTTCATTTGTTTAAGAGGGCCGTGTTTTCCAGGCTAGCCTGGAACTCCTACACTGGAGTGAGTCTCTCACCTCAGCCTCAGTAGTTGTTACTAGGGCAGTTGGTACATGCCATCTTTTTGTTGTGTTGTATTTTTGTTTTTTGAGACAGGGTCTTACTAAGTTGCCCAGGTTGGGCCTCCAGAAGCCCTCCTGCTTGAGCTTCCCACAATGCTAGGATTACAGGAATAAAGCACCATTCCCAGTCATGATGGGGGATATTTGTTCATTTGGGGGTTTTGGGTTTATTGTGGGGGGCATTCTTGATTTTTTGAGACAGTGTTTTCACTTTGTAGTTCAGGCTGCCTTGAACTCACTATGTACCAGGCTGGATACAAACTCACAATAATCCTCCTGCCTCAGCCTCCCAAATGCTGGGATTATAGGCATATGCCACCATGCCCTGCTCAAGACAGTTAATTTTTAAATCCTCAGTTTATATCTGGTATTTGATAGTTCTTAACAGGCACAATCTTTACACTGCATCATTACAAAATACTTCACTGCTTTCATGGAAGGTTTGGTGTTCAGTTTTTGCTTCCTCCACCTGTAGCTGGTTTTGCTGGGTACACCATAAGGTGGCCCTTACCTTCCCATGGGTGGGCAGTGTGGGGACCTTGGCTTCTGGGCCCAGGGGTCTGGGTGAGGCCAAGGGTCTGGGTGGGCCCAACAGCACACACAGATCCTCAGGCCAGCATCTCACCTTCTGTCTGTTTTTCAGGACTGCCAACGGTGGTGAAGCTGGTGGACAGAGACACCTTACTGAAAGAGCGGGAAGAAAAGAAAAGAGTTAGTAAAATTAAAACCGTTGAGCTTGATTTTGCCGGAAATGAAAATACTATTGTATTTAGTATGTAGTTTACTTCTTTATTTTTCCTTCCTGCCTTTGGTACTGTGGATTGAACCTGGGGCCTTCACCCTGAGTTACATCCCTTTTTATTTTTTGAGACAGGATTTTACTGTCACTAAGTTGCCCAGGCTGGGCTCAAGCTTGTGATTTTGTTGCCTCAGTCTATCTACGTGTGGTCTTTGTAGGTACGCAGCATCTCGCCTGGCTCTGGTTTTTAAGAACTGACCCAGCATGGTGGCACATGCCTGTAATCTCAGCACTCCAGGAGGCTGAAGCAAAAGGACTGAAAGTTCAAGCCAAGCCTGGGCAATTTAGTAATTCAGAAGACTGTCTCAAAATAAAAAATGACAGTAAAAAAGAGAGGCTGAGGATGAGACACAGCACAAAGGCCCTGGTTCAATTCCCAGTAGCATAAATGAATGAATAAAAAATTGATATTTATGCTTGTATTTTAAAAGGCCCAGACCTACGGCTAGGGTGGGGCTCAGTGGTAGAGCACTTGCTTAGCACATGTAAGGCCTGGGTTCCATGCTCAGCACCACAAAAAACCCAGATCATGGGGCTGGGGATTTAGCTCAGTGGCATAAGCGCCTGCCTTGCAAGCAGGCAGTCGTGAATTCGATCCCTGGTACCGATAAAAACGAAAAAGACAAAAAAAAAAAAAAAAAAAAAACCCAGATCATAAAAATGTCAGAAAAACAGTCAGCTTTAGTATAATTCTTTGGCAGTTTGGAGACTGTGTCTTCTAATGAGAGACTTCTTCTAAAATGTCATTCCCTCAGCTGAAGAAGAGTCACTCAGAAAATTGTGTGGGTTCCACCTGGTTCTAACCTTAGTGCCTGTGTCCCCACACCTCCCCTTGTCACCCCTTCCACCTATCCACTGAGCACGCCTCCTCCTGCCCTCCATCCAACACTCCATGTGCCATTTGTCAGGACCTTGCCTGATGTTGGCCCCACTGGTCAAGAAGTCCAGCACTCAGGGACCTGGGTAACCAGAGGGAAAAATGACAGGAACAAAATATACATTGTCTGAGCTGGTGGGTACAGTGCACAGGCCCTTGGGGTACAGATGGCAGCGGTGGAGGCAGCTAGACTCCCAGGCCATGCAGGAACCACTGGGGAGCAGATTCAAGGAGGCCAGAGGGGTAGAGGGCTCAAGCAGCTCTCCCAACAGGCCCTCAGGAGGGTTTCAGAGAGTAGTCAAGGCCCTTGGGTGACAGAACTGATGTTTAGCACCGGGTGTGGTGGTGCATGTCTCAATCCCAGCACTTGAGAGGCTGAGGCAGGAGGATTGCTGTGAATTTGAGGTCAGCCTGAGCTACAAAGTGAAACCCTGTCTCTAAATAAATAAATAGTTAAAACAAAGAAAAGAAATGAAAAAGAACTGATATTTGGGACGGGAAATAGAATTGAGAATGTGTGGACCTGGAGAGGCTCCCGGCTCTGGAGCAACCCTGGGTCTGCAGGGCCTCCCCAGGAGGAGCTGACCTGTGGCCCAGGAGAATGACGGCACTTACAGAGCAGTGTCCTCATGGCCTTAGGAGGTTTGGAGGTGCTGGACTCACACCTCAAAGTTATGTTTGGGCTCTCGGGGGCCCTTCTCAGCTGCTACCTCCCTCCTTCAGAGTCTCCTCTCCCCGGCCTGTGTCCCCTCGTGGTGGCCTCCCTCCTCCCCTCTTCGGCCAGCAAGCCTGGGCTCCTGGGGGCTATAGTGTAGTATGAAGTTGACCCGGGGTAGGCTGTGCCCTCCCTGCCACCCCAGAGCCGGTTTGCTGCGTCAGGGAAAAGTGATAGGATCAGGCAGTTCGGTCTCTCCTTGCAGCCCCACCTTCCTGCTGTTTTGTCACCTCCTCCCTTGGGGACAGCAGCTGATAACTTTTCACACTCCATGCTGTCCAACCAAAAGGCTCTCACCACAGCCAAACTAGCGCAGGTGCCCCCAGGGCCACTCCAGCATGCCCTGTATTCCTCTCTTCCCTGTAATGTTTCTACTAGACGCTTCTTCTTCAAAAAGAAATCCTGAGTATACACCTCCACCTTCCCCAAGTCCCGAAGTTCCCCTGCAGCATCCTGGTGGCCAGCTCACTGTTTCACCTGACCCTGTTCTCCTTGACATATCCAATGGCACCCCTCCTTCCCTGCTGTCATCTCTCCTCCCTTCCCTCCTTACATTCCCAGAAGCTCCCCAGCCAGCCCAGCATCTCCCTGGGTCTCTGGGCACTTCCTACCTCTTCCTCCCTCCCCATAGCTTCTCTGCTGGCATCCTGTGTCCACCATGAGCCCTGGCTCACCTGCTAGACCCCTGTGCCCTCTGCCTACCTGGTCATTCCACAGGGCCAGGAAGCACCTGAAGCCCAGCATGTCTGTAAAGAGCTATGATTTCTGACTCCCTGAACTTGCCCCTCCTCCTGTCTCACCTAGCGGCCCATGCCAGGGTCTCCCAGAGCAGCCTCCTCAGATGCCCCCTTGCCTGAACCCAGCCTGCCTGCTTTACTGCTTAGCCCGGCTTTCTCCCTGCTTGTATGTAACTGCTGGGCTGGAGCTAGATTCTGGTCTTCACTTCCTGTCCCATCTCTTTAATTCCTCCAAGGCCTGCTCCCCACAGACCCTGGCACTTGCTAATTTTTGCCCACCTTTCCCCGTCCTACTTCAGGGCCTTGGGCCATTTTTTGTGGCTGTAACCTGCTGAAGGTTGTCTCTAGTCAACTACCAAACATAGTTACACCCTCCCCAGCTAGGTGTGTTACCCTGGTTCATTCCTTCCTCTTGTGCCAAAATCTTTAAACTTTAATTCTAGGTGTATTGCTGCCCCTGACCCCCAATCCCAGTAGCCAAATCATTGCTGGGCACCCAGAGGGCTGCTGAAATCTAGGGAAGGATTTCAAGAGCCAGGGCCAGTCATGTCCAGAGCCAGGACACTGCCTGAGCCCATGCCTCCAGCCTGCAGCTCATCCCTCCCAACATGGGTGGAGCCAGGCAGGAGTCCACACCTAGCAGGCTGTGAGGCCAGCAGGGGGAGACCCAGGAGCCGGTCTCAGGCCTATTCTGTTCCCCTAGGTTGAAGAAGAGAAGAGGAGGAAGAAAGAAGAAGCTGCCAGGAGAAAACAAGAACAAGAGGTGACATGCATTTGTTTGTTGGCGTAGGGCTGGAACTGTGCTTTGACCCATGCCCTATGGCCCACTGTGACTCCTTTGGTTCAGCCAGGCACCCTGGGGACCCTTCTAGAGGGATGTCTGTTCTGCCTCCACCCACACTCCTCACCCAGTGTCTTGGAACCTGGGAGCCCAGCAGGGGAGGAGCCCTTACAGCCTGACTGCCAAGATAGGATATTAACCACCTCCCCACTGCCCCAGAAACCCCTGGCTTGTCTTACCTCCTCTTCCTGCCCCAGTGGGGCTTGGCTGAGGGTGGGAATGGGCATCATGGTGACTGTGTGACGTTCTCATGTGCCATTCCATGGCTGTGACCACATGTTATATGTTCCAGGCAGCAAAGCTGGCCAAGATGAAGATTCCACCCAGTGAAATGTTCTTGTCAGAGAGTGACAAGTATTCCAAGTTTGATGAAAATGTAAGAATTCCTTCTGTGCTTTTCAGAAGTTAATAGGCCACAATGAATTGGAGTAACATGGGTTTTCAGCTTTGACCAAGTGAGTTTTCTATTTGGCAGAAGTTTTAAGAGAAGCCAGAATTGTGTAGGACTTCAGACCCCAAGCACCTTTGGGGTAAGACTGAGCCAGGGCTGTCTCTGCCAGTGACACAACCAAGCTTACATCTGGCACTGTGCCAAGGTTAGGATGACCGGTGAAAATTCCAGGGACTTTGCCCCAAGTGTTAGGCCATGGATCCTTCCCCTGCTCTCAGGGCTTTGCCTTGAAACTTTACCTCTTGTCCTTTAGGCCTTTCCCTGCTTGTTCTTCTCTTGATCTTAGTCAAAAGAGGCGCTGCCTCTCTGTTCTTGTTCTTGCTTTGTTTTGGTCTTTGTTTTTTGAAACAGGGTTTCACTTTGTAGTGCAGGCTGGCCTCGAGCTCACTGTTTAGCTCAGGCTGGCCTTGAACTCACAGTTCTCCTGCATGGTCCTCCTGCTTCAGCATCCTGAATACTGGTATTACAGGCATACACCTCTGCGCTCCGCATTGCTACGTGTTCTTGGATGTATTTGCCACATACCGTTGAGCTGGCCACCTCAGAGTTGAGCCCTCGTAGGACCTGCTGTGTACAGTGTCCCTCCCTTGGGTAGAGTGTCCTCCTCTAGTTACCCTCTCCATTGTTAGCTCCTAGAGCCAGTGCTGTGGGATCAGCATGTTGGTCCCTGAGCAGGGTGGTGACCAGACATATATACAAGGGGCTGTGGCCACGTTGGGGAGATTAGATTGTAAGGGCAGAAGGGTAAGGAAGAAAGGGGCTGGGTGCAGGAGGAGCCTGATGTGCTGGGCTGTCATTGCAGGGTCTGCCCACACATGACACCGAGGGCAAGGAGCTGAGCAAGGGGCAAGCCAAGAAGCTAAAGAAGCTGTTTGAAGCCCAGGAGAAACTCCACAAGGATTATCTGCAGATGGTTCAGAACGGAAGCCTCCAGTGAAGAGGCACAAGGCCGCCCTCACACCTGGCCACTCTGGACTGAGGACCTCTACCTGGTGACAGCAGCCTGTGTTCCCGTCATGTTTACAGCAGTCCTCGGACCCTAAACCGAGAACCGTGTTCCTGCGGGTGCATGTCATCATCACTCTGAGACACTTTAATAAATTCTCCTAAATCGTGCGGCCCGCCGCGCCCTCTCTCCATCACCCTGCACACTCAGCCTCTGCCTGCCTGCAGCAGCCGCTTGATCAGCAGGTTGTGACTTAGGCGCTCAGTCAGTCGAACCAGTCCAGGAATTTCTCATCGCACATGCTGGCAGCTCTTGCTAATCTCTGCTGTGTGGGTGCAATTGAAGGTATTTGAGTAGCAAAAAGGCCAGCTCAGCCTGGCGGATCCTGCTGGGCCTGGACAAAGGTTCTGCAGTCTGCCTGGCCTCTGATGAATACACACACCGCAGGTTCCAGTAGAGCAGCTCCGGCTCACTGCCACAGGACCGGGGCTCTGTGGGGCAGTCCCTGGCCTGCTGCCACGGCTGCCCTGGCAACAAGGAGCCCAGCATCTGTTGGTGGGTGTGACAAGGGTCCAGCACAGCCGGGCTGTTGGTCATCTGGTCCAGCACGGGAGGGTGAGGGAGGTTGTCCTCGCCATGGCCTCCTGTACAGTGCTCACTGGAGCTGACAGCACCCACACGCAAACATGCTGTGTATTCTTGATAACAGAAAGTATAACCAGGAGTCTAAACCTGCCTTGTGCTTCCAAAGGTTAGTGCTAGGTCTGCTGCACTGGACAATAGATGGTCCTGAGGGTGGGCCTATGGTGTTCCTGTGTGTGCAACAGTCTGTGTGGGGAGGGTGGTGGTACTGCCCCTTCCCTGTGATCCTGCTTGTGGAAAGCTATCTTAAAGACAATGTATGGTACAAGCCCCACGCTTATGCTGTTGATTGAATCAGTGTGAGACATAGTGCAAGGCTAGCTGAGCTCATCTGTGCCCTGAAGGATCTTAGGACAGTCCAGGAGCGCTCTGGGGGATGCTGTGACCGTGAGCAGTGAAGACAGTCCTGGGTTTAGGGTTGGCTTCTTACGGGTCAACCGTGCCATAACATGATTTACATAAAAAAAAAAAAAAAGTGAAAAGAAAGTCCCTGAGACAAAGTGAAACAGCTTGTTCAGCTTATCAGTCTGCATAACAGACACCCCAGAACTTGGTGTCTGAATACAACAGTGGTCATAAACGCAGCATTTTGGGCAGGGTCTCACAGGCAGGCTTATCTGAGGTCTGCACCAGCCCTGGGCTGAGGCTGCCTAGCATTTCTGTCCTCTCTGTGGTTTCTCCAGGTGGACTCAGGGCAGCTCCTCAGACTCATGTGCTTACGTGGGGCTGTAGAACCTTTTAGAATCCAACCTCAGAAGTCATAACCTGACTTTGCCTCCTCTCCCTAGTGGGGGCCACTGCAAAAGCTGACCCATGTCCATAGGGAGGGCCACAGACAGATTCTGGAAAAAGGAAAAAACCAGAAATACTGTGGGCCACGGTGCTAAGAAAATCAGCTTCATAGAAGGACAGCTTTATTGTGGCTTGTGGTTTCAGAGGCCTTAGTCTATGTTTGGCTGACTCCATAGTTTTTAAGCCAATAATGAAGCAGAAGGAACATCATGGCAGGAAGTGCATGGGGAAACAACGCTGTTTAGATCATGGCAGCAGGAAGCAGAGAGAGAAAGAGAGAGTGCAGGGTTCTACTTTGCTCTTCAGGGACATGCCCCCAGTGACTTCAGGTTCTTCTGCTAAGCCCTTCTTCCTAAAGGTCCACATCACCACCTAATACAACACAGGGACTAAGATTTTAACACATGAGCCTTTGGGGAACTTTTAAGGTCCAACCCAGAGCAACTACAGACTGAGTCAAATTGAAAGGATGGCTCCAGCAGATGGGAGAATTTGCCTTTTTGCTGCATGTCTGTCAGGTGTCTGCTGAGACAGAAGGTGCAGAGGAATCATACATAATTCACTAATTTTGTTGTAATATTGGCATAGTTATTTTCAAACCCTTCATTCTGAGACAAAGCAAATAAGAATATATTAGTAATCAAGACTTTAAGCAATAAACTACAAGTTAAAAAATAAAAGGAAAATCACTTGTAGTGACTGGACAAAGCAATACAAATCAACTAATGGTTTTCAACAAATTATTTTCCGACTATATAGCAGGAAAGCTACCAAAGCAAAAATACCACCAAGCACCAGTGAACATGCAGAGCCCAGACTGGGGGCTCTAAATGCCACCCCTCTCCTGCAGAAACTGCCACCTCCAGAAGCAAGAGGACATGGGATAAGCTAGTGACATGTAGCAGAGGCTGGGTCTCAGGAATTATGCCAAGGAGAAAACCCATCTCAAAGTGTCACATACTGTGTGATCCCTTAGAGTAACATTCTTGAAATCCTAACTGTGATACGAGGACAGTTGGACTGCCAAGAGTTAGGGATAATGGATGAGGTAGCTGCAGAGGGGTGGTAAAGGGATCTCACAAGGAGTAGACTGTTGTCCATAATGCGACTCTCCTTGTGGTAATGTCACACAGAGCCACACTGCACCAGTGTCTTCCTGGTGCTGATCTTGTACTCCGGCCACACAAGACATAATCTAGAAAAACAGTGAATTGCACTGGGGACTCTTAGTACTGTTCTTACAACTTCTAGGGAGTCTTAATTATTTTGAAATCAAAAGCCATCAGGAGCATCTAGTAGCCTACTCTGGGACTATTTGAGCCCTGAAAGGAATCGTTAGGTGTCTTGATTACTTTTCTCTCATTGCTGGGACAAAATACTCTAACAGCCAAAATGAAGATAGGAAAGGTTTATTTAACACACTGTTTGTGGCGGTTTCGGTTGGCTCTAAGGCAGAGTGGCGTGGCGCAGGGACAACACTTCAAGGCAGCAGCCAGCAAGAGGGGGAAGAGCAAGCTTCTTTTCCTCCTTTATATTGTTTGCAAGCTACCCCCTCCCCCAGGATGTGTGTAGCGCTCACTAGAATCTCTGTGCCCTCCTTTTGCATAGGATGAGGATAGTTACAAAGTAAGGATCCTGGCTCTCTGCTGAGTCTTAATTAAAACTTTGAAACTTCCCAAGTTGACACAATATATCAACCATAACATTAGCTAAAACCCAAGTCTTACTCTCAAAAATGTTATTAATTTGTCACCACTGGAGGTGGCTCTTAGCTCTTTTCTCTACAAGCCTCAGATTATTCGTGACAAAATTAGGCATTTCTTCTCCTTCCATGGACTGTATTTCAGTGCTACCAAATGGCCCCAGTTACAGGAAAAGTTGTTACTTATCCTATAGTGCCAGTTAGTAGAAGTAAAGGAAACTGACAGGATTAGGAAATCCCATTCTGTACCTAACAAAGTTAGTGATTCAAGCAAGGACTGTGAGTGGCTGCTGAGCCCCTGGGTAAGAGTGAGTGTTGGGTAATTCCACAATGGCAAAGTGTCTCCTTGCAGGTTGCTTGTAGGTTTGGGGGAGGAAGATACCTCTCCCTTCTCAATGCCAGACAGAGTTCAGCCTCAGTGTCACTTTGAGAAGAAGTAGAGTCTACTGTCTAAAATGGGAAGAGCACAATGACCTCACAAAGAGTATTTCTCCAAAATATACAACATTAAAAGAAGCCTGTAGCTGGGCATTTGACTCAGCAGCGTAAACGCCTGCCTGGCAAGTACAAGGTTATGAGTTCGATCCCAGGTACCAATAAATAAATAAAGAAGCCTGTAGACCAGGGCTTTCAACTGTACATGCATGCACATTACCCAGGTACCATCTGAGGACCTTGTGACTCAGATCTGGGTGGCTGAGATCCGACCTCCTCTGCAGTTTCTCTGTCAGCCTGTACTGCACTGCAGGCCAGGGACATCAAGGAAGTAGTGTATGGGAGGAGGGCTGAGGAGAATGGCCAGAATGGATGGGATGGGGAGACTTAACAAAATAAAATCAGCTGGGGATGCAGCTCAGTGATAGAGCAATCATATAGCATGTGGGGAGGTCCTGGGGTTCCACCTCAACACTGATACAAACAATAAAAATCCCTGGATCTGAGATGTGAACGTTGATTGACTTGACAAAGCTGCTACAAAGGCATTTGAGGAAATTCATATATGGACCAGATACTGGGTGATCCTGTGTGGCTTTTTGTGTTAGTAGGGATCGGTATTTTGTCAGCAGAGGTCCTTCATTAGGGACAAAGGCCTACTATAATTAAGTATTCTTTAGGAGCCTGCTGTGCTTATGGCCACATCCAGGTGACAGGGTCTGTTCCTGAGTTGACTGTGTTAAGTACTCATGGAACATTCAGGAACTCAGCACAGTGGGAGAGGAAGTTCCAGATATTCCAGGATAAACACAGTGATTTGAATAGCATCCCCTCAAAATCCAAGTCCTGGTACCTGTGAGTGTGACCTTACTTGGAAATAAAGTCTTTGCAGATGTAACTAGTCAGGTGAAGATGAGCTCTCCCTGGAGTTTGGGTGGGGGCCTAACTCTAGTATAACAAAAGTCTCCATGAGAAAAGAGGAAAAAGCCAGACATGGTGGTGCACACCTGTAATCCCAGCACTCAAGGGGCTGAGGCAGGAGGATCACCATGAGTTCAAGGCCAGCCTGGGCTATGTAATAAGTTCAAAGCCAGCCTGAAATACATAGAATAGGAAGAAAAGAAAAAGAAAAAATAAGAAGGAGAAGGAAAAGAAAAGAAGAAAGAGGCATGCAGGTGAGAAGGCCCTGTGACAAGGGAGACAGCCACGAGCCAAGGGATGCCTGGAGCCACCAGAAGATTTTAGAGAATGCAGCCCTGCTAACACCTTGATTTAGGCTCTGGGAGAATGAATTCCAATTTTTTTGGAGGGGAAGGGTTGAGACAGGGCCTTACTATCGAATACAGGCTTATACAGAGCTCTTTCCGGTCCTCCTCTCAGTCTGGGAAGTTTTTTGTAATCTCATGTAAAAGTTATTGGAATTCCAATAAGTTAATTCCATTCTACCACTTCCAGTGCAACCTATGGTGAGAATAGAGACACTAAGACATATTTATAGTTATGGGGAGCCCAAGGGGTCCTAAGTCCAGCCAAGATGGTGGTTTACAGGAACAAAGGCCTCAACTCAGGGCCCAACTCAGATTTTATTAATTTGGGAAGAAGGGAGTGGCTTGCGGACTAGTGACTGTGAGAATGGCAGGAGATACATGAGTACTGTGAGCTGGGCTAGGTAGGAGGCCTGAAAGCACTATAGAACTGTGGGGGACTGGCGGCTGAAAAGATAAAAAGTATGAGATATAAATGACCTTTGAGAATGCGGGGAGAGACACCCCCAACCCCCTGGGGCACAGCATCCCCCTCCCCTTCGGCGATGTCTCCGTAGAACACGTGGAGTGGAGGCATATAAGTAGCCTAGGTTTGGGGTGGAACCTAAGGGGCATTAGTGATGCACAGGTAGCCCATTGGTATTCTTTTAGCACCAGAAGTAAATTCCTAGGGGTGGGGAAGATGGAGCTTCTTGGTTTCGCCTGAGGCTCTACCGGCTACAGTGTCCTGTCTGGGCCAAAACTTTTCAAGCACCTCTGTGATGTGCAGAGAGAAAGCTGAGCAGAGAGACCAATCTGCATAACACCACTGAGGGAGCACCTAATGTTTTGAGGCCTGTGCTTCAGGTCTGATGTGTAAACTTTTCTGCCCTGGGAAGTCATAGCCTCTTGAGGCTCAATGCCAGGTGACAGTGTGGAGCAGTCGCTCTTCATTCTGCCTGGCTCAACAATGTTTTTTGGGAATCACAGGGCTGGGAAACGTCAACTCTCTCTTCAAAGATTATGCATCACGGGGCTGGGGATTTAGCTCAGCGGCATAAGTACCTGCCTTGCAAGCAGGCAGTCGTGAGTTCCATCCCCAGTACCGATAAAAATGAAAAAAAGACCAAAAAAAAAGTATGCATCAGCACCGCAGCCCTATTTACATCACTTAAAACCAATTGAATAGTTAAAGAAATGACCTAGAGAGAGCTCTGTACATATCACTACAAGGAGATATAGTTAGGTTTGGTCAAAATGGAGATAATTGCTTTTTATTCAAAGAGAATCATGCAGGTGGTCCTCCACACAGGCTAGCCTTGAACTCACTTAAGTAGCCCATGCTGACCTTGAACTCATGGCAATCCTCCCGCCTCAGCCTACTAAGGGCTGGGATTATAGGCATGTGCCACCCTGCCCTGCCCAGTTGCTTTTAAGTCACTTGGTTTGTGATTCATTGTTGCAGCAACCAAAGAAACACCATATTTGTACCACTGTTTCATGTAGCAGGAAAACACACTGGATATGTCTTAGTGTTTTATTTAAATATATCCACTCAAGGCTCAAAGAAGATAAATGATCAACATGTATATGTTTAAGAGATAGGGAGAGAGAGAAAGAAAGAGGGACTCACTAATCATGAGGGAAATATAGATTAACACCACTATGAGATACCATCTCAGTTGAAATGGCTGTAGTCAAAAAGACAAAAATCCACAGAGACCAAAAGTGATAGATGTAACTGATACTAATTATTGCTAACCTTGTAGTACATTACATGATGTATTTATGTTTCCCAAATATACTGGTCTTCAAAAATCCAAAAACCATTATTATTATACTTGTGACTTCCAGGCAAACATTGTTTATGATGGTAAACTTTTTAGGCTAAAGGGTTCAGTTTTCCTTTACTTATTATATTCCAACTATTTATGATAAAATGTACATGCCAATCCAACATGGTACAGTCAATCAGATGATATAAATACCTTTTCAGGGTGATACTTGTGTGACTGTTGTATAATTATATTGAAACAGTTAGAGGTACCTAAACACTGCAGCCCACACAAGGTCACTCTAAAGATTAAAGATTGGACAGTAACAATCTACAAAATATATCTAAAATGCTATGTTAGCTGTGTGTAATGGTACGTGCCTATAATCCCAGCACTTCGGAGGCTGAGATAGGAGGATTTCCATGAGTTCTTGGCCAACCTGGGCTACATAATGAGATCAAGGCTAGTCTGAACCATATAGTGAGATCGTGCCTCAAACAAACAAACAAACAAACAGAAAAAAATGCTATATTGCACTTGATCTCAAATATTTTCTGTAAAACTTTATAATTGTTATGTTAACATTCTACAGGAATTTTACTTTTAAGACAACTATGGTTGGGAAAAAATAACAGTTCTGTGGTCAGAATATATAATTCAAGGTACTTGATATCCAAATAAGGTTATGATGATTAAACCTACTGTCCCAACTGCATCACTGGTATTCAGGAATGTAGATCTCCTGGATGTTCAATAACTGAGGTTTGGAGATTAAAGCTACAGAAAATAACTAGGCTAAGAAGACAGCCAATATTTTGGCCCTGGCCCTCCAAAGTTAACAAGGACTCAGGATATAAGGGCACCTTTCTACAAGATTCTACAATTCTGGTGAGTCATCCAATCTCCTGAGCAGAAATTTTGTTGGATCTCCCCAAGAAGACAGGAGCCAATGAACATATAGTGTGCTAGAGGGTCACCAAAGAAATATTTAGCATGCTTCCATAGGAAACCCACATGGTCGTTAAGACTGTGACCCATCCTGACAGCTGACACTAAGAGAACTAAGGGGGCTGGGGATTTAGCTCAACGGCATAAGCACCTGCCTTGCAAGCAGGCAGTCGTGAGTTTGATCCCTGGTACCAATAAAAACGAAAAAGACCAAAAAAAAAAAAAAAAGAAGAAGAAGAAGAACTAAGAGGTTCTGTACATGGTCAAAAGTAACTCCCGAGGAAACTTAACTGACCCATACATAGAATGAAAGGTTAATTTTGGTTAATATAGGTTTTACTTTAACTTGGTCTTAAACACCCAGCAAAAAAGTGTAACTGGGGGCCATTTAACTCAGCGGCATAAATGCTTGCCTGGCAAGCATGAGGTTCTGAGTTTGATCCTTGGTACCCTCCCCCCAAAAAACACTATAACCAAAATGATAATTATGAAAAAGGAGGCTCCAGCTGGCAGTCTGAAGCTACATCAGTAGCTGACTACAATTATGACAAAAGCTATAGTGACAGCTATAGAAGCTCAGCAAGTTTTTTTTTTTTTTTTTTTTTTTTTCGTTTTTATCGGTACCAGGAATCGAACTCACGACTGCCTGCTTGGAAGGCAGGCGGCTTAGCAAGTTTTGAACTGAAATTGTTCTTAAAAGCCACAGAGCTTCCCATCTTCCTACAGCTAAAGCTGGAGACTTTGGAATGTGTTGTCTTCAGATAAATAATTCACATCAGGTGAAAGAAGATCCTAAAAAAATTAAAAAAATAGATAAACTCCATTAAGAAACAGGCCTAGGATCTAGCTAGTTACAGTGTTACAGTCCCTTAAAAAATATTGTCTAACTTGGCTCTTTCCTCCAAGTTGTCTTTCTATTTTAGTTTATCTATTTGGGCCATGAATTCTTAATGTCTTGGTAAAATGCGTCTTTTTCTCATGTAGAGGCTATCAAATTCCACATGGTCATACAGATGGACCAACAATGAATTTTCCAGACTCTTAACCACAGTCCACTAAATCAGTCATCTTAAGAGAGTTGCTAACTGCTGAACTACAATACCCTATCTATCAAAGCCTCCTTAAATTAGCTTTCTGGAAAAAGTTCCTGACTGATGTCCCCACTACACAGGCCCTTTTCATCAAGAAGCAGCGCGATCTAGTCTTGCCTATTCTCCCTTAATAGCAATTAAGAGAAGCAGCCACACCCTACTAAATTCCTGAGTTCTGAGGAAATTATAACGCAAAATAAGTAGTTTCTTTCCAAGAGTCCAATTCACTATAAACATCATGTGAAAGTACTGGGTTATATAGAGTCTGAGTTCCAACTGGTTACTTAAAAAAAAAAAAAATTTCACGGGGCCACTTGTGATATGTGTCCAGTAAACAATTAAGCAATTCCTTCTCCCTGCTTTCCTCTATGTAACTCTAGATTGAGGAGCCCCAGGGGAAACCCACTCAGGACCCTCTCCCAAAAATCCAGGAGCTGAATTTGTTTCTCTTATTTTCCAATAAAAACTCTCTTAACCTCCTCCGCTTTTTTTTTTTTTTTTTTTTTTAATCGGTACTGGGGATCGAATTCACGATCACGCACTTGCAAGGCAGGCGCTTAAACCGCTGAGCTAAATCCCCAGCCCTAACCTTCTCCTTTGATTCATAACTTCATTCTCCAAAGTTTTGTGGAACTTGAATCACAACCTTGACCCTAGTACACACATTAACAATTACACTATGTGAGGCATGCCTCCTGGAACATGCTGGCCACCTCCACCAGAGTCCCTCAGCGAAGTCTTAAATTTCTTCCCGTTATAAAGTGAATACAGAACAGGAATAATTTCCTTAAAAATATCAATCAGAAATTGTTTCAGAAGCAACTTCAGAGAGGCAAAACCAGAGAGGCAGTTTTCCACGAGTCTGGACAGTATCTGGACCATGAGAGAGCGAGTCCTGAGGCACATTATGGAGAGTGGAAAAGGCCGGGTGGAGGGCCTTCGGGTGCATGTTGAAGAAGTAGTGATTTAGGATAAAGTACGGGAGGTTTCAGGTTCGAAGCAGATTTCGCCCCGGCTGCGGCAAAGTCAAGGTGCAAGTTTTGCGGCTCTGTCCCACACCGGGAAACTGCTACCCAAACGCAACAAAGTTGCAAATTGTAAGAGCCGCGGAGCAATCAGAGGATGCTATGTATCTCCGCGTGCCGAGCCAGGGCGAGCCATGCCGCGCAGCACACGCCCCTTTAAAGAGGCGCGGGACGCGTCCACTGCAGCTGACCGCAACATTACAATAATTTACAAACCGCTTCCAGAGAAGAGCGCTGCGCGGTGGACACTCCGGTGGCCGCTGATTGGACGATGACCGCGGCGCCGAAGAGTAGTTGACTTGCGCCACGCTCGCCCAATCGCAACGCGTCTTGCTCGTGGAGGGTGGAGCTAGGAGGCTCAGCCAGTGGGAGGCAGCGTTGTTGGCGACCACAGAGGCGCAGCCCCGGAGCTAGCGGAGGTACGGCTGCTACTGCTGCAGGAGGCGCGAGGTGCGGGACGCGCGGTGCCAGCGGCTAACGGCGCACTGGGCTAGCGAGTCGAGAAGGGGCTGGGCGGGAGGAGAGATCGGACGGGCTCCTGGGAGCTGTCTGGGGCCTGATAGGCCGGGGCACCCATAGAGGCGGGGCAGCGGCCTCAGCGGGTGGCGGCGGGCTGGGCCGCGGGCGGCGGCGGCTGTGGCGGGCGGCGTCCCCTCCCTTTCCCTCCGCCCGCCCCGCCCCCGGCTGAAGGTCAGCCGCGCTTTGTTCGCGCCGCGGTCTCCTCGCCGTCCTCCCGCGCGCACGTGGAGCTGGACGCTGTGGCTCCCGCCGCGCGGAGCGCTTGAACCGAACGAACGGGACGGTGGGTCCTGACGCGTCGTGAGCCCCCGCGGGCGACGGGTGACGGTGGGCTTCGGCTTCAAAAGTCGGGATGGAAGAGGGAGAAAAGTCCTTAGTGTAGCCAGAGCGCGAAGCCCCGCGGACTTCCAAGGCAAAGGGCTTGGATTAAGGGGTCCTGGAGTGATGGTCTGGGGGGACTTTACCCAGGCTAGGTGGGCCTCAAGCTAGTTTTACTGTTAAAAACCATCTTTCAGGATAGATGGGAGAGTTTAGCGGTCCGCACTTGTTACGGGTGGGAAAGTCACTGGCATTTCTCGCAGTTTATGAGATCGGAGTCCCGTTTGTGTGTTTTTGCTGATAGAGCTTCTTGGTATTTACCTAAACCCTCCCTTCTTTTCTGAAGGCTTGTTGGTCCTAGCAGAGCATTGCCCGGTCACGATAAGACTTTCTAGCGTACACGGTTCTCTATCTAAGCCTGATTAGGCGACAGACCATGCTTAGTGTCTAGTAATACAGATTTCAATATTAGACTTTTAAGGCCCTAGCGTATATGATCGTTTGTTGGGGTCTTTGCGGGTTCTTGAGCATCTCTGCTTTCTCAGAGGAATCCTTGGGGTAGATCTCTGCCTTTTCGGATATGTACTGTACTGTCTTACCTTTTGAAACAAGTCCTCCGTATTCCTGCAAATAGATAAATGGTATGAAAACCAGCCTGTGGTAATTGTCTTGCATTAAAAATGTCCAAGTATGGAGATTAAGTAGTTGGCCCTTAAAAGTTTAATTTCAGTATTTTTGAAGTTACTGCTTTTGTGGAGTAGTACCTGTACTTGTCGATGACTAACTGCTTCCTACTCACGAGGGGCTCCTCAGCTTTCTGCATGTATCAACTCATTACATATAAAATCTGTGAGACACTGCGGTTTAAGTAGCTACCTCTTAACCTGAAATGCTTGAGACCTAAGATATTTCAGATTTTAGAGTTTTTCAAATTTTGAAATATTTACATAGGTGTACCAAATGAACTTATCTAATCTGGAAATTCAAAATCTGACAGGCATACAGAGCTCAAAAAATTCACAAATTTTGGAGTGTTTAAGGTTTTAGGGATACGAATCCTCAATTTGTATAGCTTCCCATTTCACTGCTGGGAAAACTAAGGCTCTTTGTTGTTGATAGTATAATGAGTTATCCAAAGCAACATGACTTGGGTTAAAACCCTTACAGTTTTAATTTTGTCTAAATTTTATTTTCTGCTGCTTTGGAGAGAATGAAAACTTTTAATGATTGGGCATGGTGGGGCACCCCTGTCCTACAAACCCAGCACTCACTCAGGGAGCTGAGGCGGCAGGATTCCCCTTGGGTTCGAGGCCAGCCTGGGTTACAAACTGAGTTCAAAGTCAGCCAAGACTACATAGCAAGACCCTGTCTCAAAAAAAAGATTTTAATGGGAAATTACATTGTGTTTATTGCACTGAGCCTAACTGAACTTTTGCTTTTGAAGGCTTCAGTTAGATGTTCTTTTCATTTTATAATCCCTTTATCCTGCAGAATGTTAAGTGCTCCCCATGATTTCATGGATCATTGAAACATTTTACTGCTGTCTTAGATAGCTGTTATTATGTATCACTTGCAGTGTTTTTTACTGATCAGTATTTTGGACTTGGACATCTCCTGTTTGTACCATTTTTAGATTTTGTTTTATTAGCTTTGAATCCTGTACTGTTTTTTCAAAGTGAATTTGAGTAGTTATTGGAGGAATTGGTTGAATTCTTTGCAGTAGTCGATTTTATTATTATTCATCAATTTGATAACCTTGATTTACTTGATTTCCAAAAAGGATATATTATATTTTAGGATTTTTTCTTCAAACGCGCAGGATATAATGGCTTTCTGAATGGCCATTTAGATGATCAGACTTATCTGTGGAATTTTGAAAAAAATTTTTTTTTTCTTAGACAGTCTTTAAGTTGCACAGGGTAAGTTTGAACCCATCATCTTCCCTGCCTCAGCCTCCTGGAATACTGAGGTGCATTCAGGTACCTGTGATCAAGCTGACTAGATTGCTTATTTTTAGAGGTACTTTCCTTTTCCTTTTGTTTGTGCAGTTTAAAACCTGTTTCGGGAATTTTGCATTTTTCTTCCAGAAATTTTGCCCAAGAACCGAAAAATTTGGGGGAGAAAAAAAAATATTTCAAGCAAGACTCATTTAAATTCCTGAAGGCCTAAGGGCATCAGTTGCAGTGCCGCAAAAGGATGCTGTCTGGATCCAGTCCTTTCAGTGGTGGCCTGTGCTTGAAAATAAGCCAGCAACAATGAGCTTGTTGAGAGTTTAGTCCAGGCTTGTTGGCCAAGGAGTACTTTTTTGTTTAAAAGGAAGTTGGCATTTGCCTGTAATCCCAGAAAATCCAGAGGTGGAGGCAGAAGAATACCAAGTTCAAGGCTTGCCTGGGCAATTTAGCAAGGTCCTATCTCAGAAGAAAAGAGCCGTGTAGGTTAGCCTGCCATGGTGGCTCATGTTTATAATCCTAGTACTTTGGGAGACTAGTCAAGAGGGTTGTAAAGTCAAGCCCAGCCTGGACAACTTCGACCTCATTTCAAAATTTGAAAAGGGCTAGAAATGTCCTGTAGCTGAATGTCAGCACTCTGGGTTCAGCCACAAAAAGAAAAAAAGCAGTGTGGTTTAGGTATATAGAACAAAAGCTGATTCTGGTTTGACTCTTTTACCACTTCAGTGATGAGAAGTAGCTGGTGCAGAATTGCGGTTCCTTAGCTTGCTATGCATGGTACCTTCTGGTTAGCAAATTCAAGCCTCCTTGAGCTTGAATTGGGAGATTTGTCTCTGAGCATATATAGTTCAATGCTTATTGGCTAGTGGTTTGTGCATGTTAAAGACATTTTCGAGAAATGTTTGTGGTGATACAGGTTTGTTTTCATCTAGCAATCCTTGGTTTTTCCATCCTTCCCACTAAAGAGGAAGACTGTAGGTTTGCCTTTGCGTTTTGTGAGTATTTAATAAAAGGAGCGGCACTGTGTTTTTGTATGAAAACTACAAAAGATGGCTTTGCATACTTTACCTTTTGATCTTGACTGTTTGCTGTGTGGTCTTAAATTTCCTCTTTGTTAAGTATACGGTCAGGTTTTTTTTTTTTTTTTTTGTGGCAGGATCTTGTTATGTAGCTCAGGCTGACCATGAATTTGTGGCGATCCTCCTGTCTCAGCCTCCCCTCCTGATTATTTATGATACGTGGTATTATTTATTTACTTATCTGTTTACTTACAGTACTGGGAATTGAACCCGAGGCCTTGGGCCTGCTAGCACTCTACCACCAGATCACATCCCCAACCTTTTCAGAATTTTACTTTGAACACAGCCTCAAATTTGCCATTCTCCTGTTTCAGCCTCCTAGTAACTAGAATTAAAGGCATACATCACTGCCCCTCCCCCCACACGATGTTTTGAAGTAAAATTAAATGAGGAATGACTAAACCAAGCCAATTAATGTAAACATTGTGTCACACACCAAATTTTGGGTGTTGAGGACACTTCCTTTCCTCTGAATGATTCTCACGCAAACAATATGTTGTTATTAACTAACCACTGGGTTGTAGACTTGTAGATCTTTTGATTCCTGTTTTGTTGCTTTGTTTAGGGTTTGATTTTGGTTGAGACAGCATCTGTGTGGTTGAGGCTGGCCTTGAACTCCTAGCCATCTCGTCTCAGCCTCCTGAATACTGAGATTATTAGAGGCGTATACCACCAGGCCCAGCTTCTTGATTCCTTGTAGAAGTAGGCAGTCTTCCTGACAAGGCTTAGGACTGTGTCTCCATGAAACTGACACTGAACTTGGCATTCCAGTATTTAAAACAAATACGTGTTTGTTTTTCTCAAATTTGCAAATTTCATAATTCTTTATCACTGTCTAAACAGTGTTAGAGATTGATAAACAATGATAAATAATTTGTGGTGGTCAAATCTGACTGTTTAAGCTCTGTCTTATTTGTAATGTGTTGTCACTCTGTATTATTTTTCTTTGTATGAAGCAGTGGCTTCAGAGAATAGGTAGAGTAGCCTGTGTGTATTGTAGGAAAGAAGTAGAGAGGCCTGATGTTGTGTAGTTGTGTGCCAGGCACTTGGTGGCCTCCACTGCTGCTCACGTGGATGCCACTTGTAGTTTATAAAATGGAACCGAGGTACAGAGGCGATAGGAAGTTGGGTCAGCAGAAGTTCAAGCCTAGATCAAAATCAGATTGTTCATGATGAATGCTTCGTCCTGGCAATTGAGTTCTGTGTTGATTTGTTGGTTTTTCATCCTCAAAATTATTTTCCTTTCCACTGTTTAAATTCATTTTGTTTCTCTGTCTTTTCTTTGTTTAAGCACATTGTCATTGTTGTTGTTGTGATCATTACATCAATTTTTACTTAACTGTTGTTACTAAGTCACAAAACACAGTGTTACACAGCACATGCCTTCACACAGATGAAAATGAAATGAGCAGTGGAGGAGTCTAGGCGTCACAGGGAAGGGTGAATCTGTTTGGCCTATGTCTGGAGGCAGGGTGTTTGTGCATTCAGAACACTTACTATGCAGGAACTGTTACGCATTCCGGGGCTGCACAGTGAACAGGATAGAAAGGCAAAGGCTTCACTCACTCATGTATAATTTGTTTATTTTGATACTAGGGTGTTAAGCCCTGTCTCTGGCATTGGGCACCAGCCCCAGACAAGGATTGATTCGTGGTCTCCCTCAGCCTCCCACAATGCTGAGATTACAGACTGCACCATGCTTGCCTGCCTGCCTCCCCTTCCTCTCCCTTCCCTGTCCCCTCACCATCCTGTCCCTCTACCATCTATCTCTGTCTTTCTTTGCAATTTTTAAGTTTTAAAGCAAATTCTTGTAAAGTTGTTCAGGCTGGTTTTGAATTCACTATCCTCCTGTTTCAGCTTTCTAAACAGCTGGGATGCAAGTATATAGTATATACTGCCATACCCAATTTCATTCTTTTTAGACACACTGAACTTATTAGGACTGTGACCAAACAACCCTGACCGAGGCAGTAGCAGAATCTTTGAACAGGGAGAAGTAGCAAGGAGGGAAATGGTTAGTGGCAGTAGAGAGATGTTAGAAGAATCTGAATTTGAAACCCAATTTCACATCTTGCTAGCTATGTGACATTGAACTGGGACTCTCAGCTTCGTGATTTTTTTTTTTTTTTTTTTTGGTACTGGGAATCACACTCAGGACCTTGTACTTACCAGTAGTCTAGGGAAGGTGCAATTTTGTATCCAAAGTGTCAGTGATACAAGTATGAAACCAGTTTGCTAGTATGTATCCGGATCCATTCATACTCTGACCAAGAAATGCTACTGTGGTGTTTTTACTGTTGCCATATAAATGAAAGAGTAACTGAAGAGTGGAAAGCCTTATTAAACTACAGTATTCATAGAGACCACCCCCAAAAGTGTGTCATAAAAAACTCACCTCAGTATTTCCCAAATGGTAACTGGTGTGTTCACTCTTGGAATTTTATCAAATGTAGTTATTATGCAGATCTACACATCTCACCACTTGCATTTATATTGTGAGGGGGAAAAGCACACCTATGGTTGCAGCAGATGGACAGGAGGAGGAACATGAGTTAGAAGTAAGGGTGGTGAGGTGGGCAGTCTAGAGCGTGTAGGAACTTGGAGTCTGTGGAATGAATTTGGACCCTGTAGAAAGTGATGGGACCTTGGAAGGTTTTTATTTTTTAAATAAATTAATATTTGTTTACAGTTGGAGAATTTTAAAAACCTCACTGAGATGGTGCTAGGTTTGGTGGTATGGGAATGGCTAGTTATGGCAGGGTTTGTTGCTTTTTTTCTTTTCTTTTCTTTTTTTTTTTTTTCTTTTTTTTTTTTTTTTTTGCAGTTCCTTAAAATAATTATAAAAAAGACAATATAATACTTCTGTTGTACTTGTTTTTGTACTGGGAATCTAACTCAGGACCTCCCACTTGGCAGATAGGCGCTGTGCTGCTAAACTATATCCCTGGCCCATTTTTGCATATTTTGAAGCAAAAAGTAATGCAAAAGAAAATGCACTTGACTTAAATACAAAATGATTGTAAATTACACCTGTATTGTTGTCTCCTTTTGGTATGTTTTATAGGGGTAAGGGGAAGGTCTTGCCATATAGTACAGTCTGGCCCAACACTCTTGATTCTTCTACTTCAAGCTGGGTTTGGTAGCGCTCACCTATAATCCCAGCACTTGGGAGGTTGATTGAGGAGGATTGTAGCAAGTTCGAGAGCAGCCCGGCTTACAAAGTGAGTTCAAGGCAGCCTGAACTGAAGTTCAGTGTGAGACCCTCCCTCAAAAAGACCAAAAACAAAACAAAAAACGGAAGATTGTTCTACTTCAGCCTCCCAAGTGCTAGATTTGCAGATGTGTGCTACCACACCCAACTCATGGATCATAAATTCTAATTGGAGCTATTTTTCACAAATACAAGTTTCTTGTTCTGTATTTCCTTGAAGCTTTGTGGGTGACTGATTTGGATTTTGCTTAGACCCCTAGGAATGAGACACTAGTAGCCAGGCTTCAGCTGGAACAACAATCTTCAGAAAAGCACTGTAGTGTTTCTCCTGCTAAGTGTAAAGAACTTCTTAACCCACCTCAGATTCATTGCACATGGAGGGCCCTTTTAAGCAGTGCATTTAGGTATTATCTGGAATATGTTGAGATCAAGGTTTTAAATTTGGGGTTGTCAAGCTCTTTCATTAAGAAAGCACTGAGAACCTAATTAAATAATGATACTTTTTTTTTAAAGCACTCTAGAATCCATCTTTACTATTCATATGTAGAAAGTCGCCTGATTTCACCACCAGAAATAATCATGTTTAAAATGTCTTGTAACAGTGGGATCATACTGAGTGTATTACATAATGTTTCTTAACAGTAGCTAGCGTACATCTTCAGCATAGAGGTAATAAAAGATACAAAATAAGCACATAAAAGTAGAGTATCAACTCCTGAGTTAGTTTGGGAAATAATATAAACAGTGACTGCTTTGAACTGCTCTAAAATAACCAGAGTAGCATTACTAAACGTTCTGCTGCTAAATTTATGATAGTGGTAAGACAAATTAGAACTGTTATTGTGAAGTCTGGTGTTTTAAAAAAATATGGTGATTTTAGAGCTGATAGAGAAAAATTTTATGAGTAAAATTAAATGATACAGGTCATAGGTGTGGTAACACAGTTGTGGTAACTGTGTGTACACAGGTAATATCAGGCAAGACCTGGGACTTTTTCTTTACCCCAGAAAGCTCCATCCTACTCCTTCTAGTATATTTCTGTCCTCCATATGATCAGCAGTGAAGAGCATATCTAGGTAGATGTTTTTCTTCACAAATATAATTGTAACTTTTTTAATTTTAGGGGATAAAAGCATTCAGATGGCAGATAACAGGTAAGCCGAAATGAACTTTGTGTATTGGAGTTTTAAAATGTAGTTGGTTTAAAAAAAAAATGTAGTTGTTAAGCCAGAAGTAGGCTGTATTTCAGTGAACTTTAGAATCAAAATTAAGTATATTGGCCAGCATGGGGCACATGCCTGTAATTCCAGCACTCAGGAGGGTGAGGTTGGAGAGTTGCTGAGTTTGAGGCCAGCCTGGGCTGCACAGTGAGTTCAAGGCTAGTCTGAACTACATGGGGAGGCTGTCTTGGGAAAAGTTAAGTGCATTCAAGGTGTAGCTGCTGGCCATTTTGTCTATAAATGAGTTGGTAACAATGTTGCTTTTGCCTCAGAGGTAAATGTTGTGGTTGCAGATTTTGTATGGGAAACAGTGGTTTTGCTCTCCAGGCTTTAACCCCTCCTTCTCCCTGGGGGTGGGGGGGGGTGAGTAGAAACACATAAGTAACACATAAGACACATAAGTAATGAGGTAGCCATCAGTGATCAAGGAAAAGATTTTTTTGTGTGTGAATGGGGCAAGCTCAATATTGGCTGTTCTTTTCCTTTGATGTTGATTTTTCATAAAGAAGATATGCCAGCACTTTCCTGATGAACACTCTTGAGACCTGTTTTTATGGCGCTCCGTTGTGTTTGGAGGCTACATGACTGACTTTCACAGGGCTCTGGGCATCTTGGCCTTTGTTGATCATCTGAGCAGCTGATCATATAGTATCATGTTGGTGGGTTTGGCTTGAAGGCTAGGAGGAAATATTTGAGGAGAAAAGAAATTATAGAAATAAAGAGAAAGCAGCCTTGGCAAGTGTTGCAGATAGAACCATCAGGGCTGCCTATGCCTTAGGCTGAAAAGGGGGTGCTGAGTGGTAAGGTTTTTTGTTTTTTTCCAGAGCAGGGCAGGAAGTCTCTCTTAGGTAACTGGACAAGCATGTCAGTGTTCTCTTTGAGGTAAATCAGTGGTCACTCTATAGAGAAATCTTTCTTATTAAGGTATATTGAAAAAACAAGCAAAGTATCCACTTATCTTTTGTCTTTGGAACTTTATGATAATACTTTTAAACTCTTAGTTTTTCAGATGGGGTTCCTGCAGATTCTATGGAAGCTGCTAAAAATGCAAGTAATACAGGTCAGTTCTCTGAATATGAAACTGTTAGCATTTGGAGGGTTTGCATAAAGGGTAAGGAGTCTTTTCTCTGTAATATTTATAATAGTAATAAATCAATAAGTGATTTCAGTCCTTCAAAGAGTTAAGGATGAAAATCAGTATCCCATTTAAGAAATGTTTTTATAATACCTGCTCTAATCACCTCACATCACTGAGACGAAATACCTGACATACACAGTTTAAAAGGTTTATTTTGGCCTGTAATTTTGGAGGTTTTGGTTCAGGGTTAACTGAGTCCAAGATAGAATCAGCATGCCAGAGGAAAACAGCTTACCTCATGACAGCCAGGAAGCAGAGATGAGGGAAAGGGCCAAAGAAACATACACCCTTGAAAAGCATACTCCCATTGACCTCCTTCTCCAGCTATGTCTCACCTCTTACTGGCCCATCCAGCTGTGTACTTATCAATGGGTTAATACTTTGATGTGCTCAGCATTCACACAATGTAGTCACCTGTCTGGGTGTCTCCTAATCAAAATTGACAGTCAAGACAGACCAAACACATAGGAAATTCAGACTCTGCAAAGTAAGGAGACTAGTATACCTCCTTGTACCTGTCTTAAATTGGCTTGGGCATCAAAATACAAAAGCAGTCTTCATCTGTTCCCCTAATGTTCTTTTCCCCTGCAAATCCAAGATATGTTACTGTGTCCATAAATTCATAGGTGAGACTTTTTTGCTAATTAAGAAATATATATTTGTCTCCCCCAACTATTTGTAAGCAAGTTACATATATGTCATTTTCCCCTAAAACAATCAGTGTAAATCTCCTTACAAAATGGGATGGGTACTTAAAACCACAATGCCAACCTTAACCTTGATGCAGTGCTATTATCTAATGTTCATATTTCTCTGGTTGTCTCAGCAATTCTTTTCATCCCACACCCAAGTCTAAGACTATTCAGTGACCATGCATTGTGCTTAGTTAAATCTGTTTGTTCTGGTTGCATCTCCCCACTTTTACTTTCATTCTGGGCCAGCTCCCTAGAATGTCTACAGTGTAGATTTTTGTGGGCATTTCTGTATGTTGATGCAGTATAGTACCCCAGGAGGCACATGGTGTCAGCTTGGCCCTTTACTCGGAATTCTGAGTTTTACAACTCAGTTAAGATGGTATCCATCAGACTTCTTGACCTTATATGCAGCTTTTGGGGCAGGTGTGGCTCTCCCCCAGTCCTTCATGTCTTCGTGCTCACTTCATACTCTCCTAGATTCCGTGATGTTCCTGGTTGCAAAAGGATGTCTTTCCAGCTCCACCAGTCCTGTTGCACATACCTCCTGAAGAGCACACCCTCCCTTGTTACTGTCATTGAGGGCTTACTTTATTCAGTGTGTTATCAGTTGTGTGTCCAGCTCAGGCTGCTGGGGTCCTTTCAGACTGGCCTATTACATCCTTGTCTCGATCAGGTATTAGATACCTCTGGCTTTGTAGTACAGTATGATGTTCCATTTCATCTGAACTTCGCTGGCCTCAAGTCCAGTATCCACTGCTATCCAAAGGAACTCACTCCTTTTGGTAAAGAATGATAACTAGGAACTAGAATGTAGGTGCTAAGTCCCTGTTTTTCAGAGGATGGAACTAGAGAGCCCGTATCTGCATGCAGTAATTAACAGATTATATTTTGTATGCATTGATGGATGCACCTGTGGGCATACACAGTGTTTCATATCAGTGGTTGTATTCAGATTGAGTGCTTATTTGGTATTTGGCTTACCAGCATCATATCAGAGCTCCCAAATATTACTGCCTGTTCTCTAAGAGAAGGGTTCTATGTTTGAGTTTCTGTATTGTGTCATTACAAGAGCAGTTGTTTGACAGACACTTCAGAATCTGCTATGAATCAGGTAGGTATTGCTCACTCCATTGTTTCACATGAGTGACAGTTTCTGTCCTTAGTGTTGTTTGTTTTTTGAGAAACATACCTAAATACAGACTATTTAAGTAGAAGTCTAGTACAAAGGTGTGTGAACTGTTAAGGAGCAGGGTGGTCAGGGACCGCTTCCTGGAGGAAGATGTTTTCAGAGGAAAAGGCCATCATAGGCAGTTCAACATGAGCAAAAGAAACCTGAAAGTACAGTGTAGACAGTGTGAGGAGACCTTCCTGGACTGAGAAGAGACAAAGGCACAAGGTAACACATAATGGTTTTACTTTGGAGAGCTGAGCTTATCCCTCTCCTTGGCTTCTGGACAGCACGGTGGAGGTTGGGCTGGGGATAGGTAATCAGCCTGGGTTTAGCAGGTGTGTGTTCAGTCATGAGGTCAAGACTTAGCTACAGGCCAGAACCAGGCCTCTGTAGGTGTTCCCAGTCACCCGAAAGACTGTTAAATGCTTTTTTTTCTTTTCTTTTTGTTAAATACTTTTAAAAAATAAAGTTTACCTGTTTTCAAAACATGTTTTAAAGAAGTTCCTTGCTATATTTACAGATTAATAGCTAAGCAGATACATGTTAGTAATTTCTTGGCTGATCTATCGAGGATATATTATAAAGTATTTCTGGCCTTGTTTCTGACTCCTAATAGAAAAGCTCACAGATCAGGTGATGCAGAATCCACAAGTCCTGGCAGCTTTACAGGAACGCCTTGACAATGTCTCTCACACTCCTTCCAGTTACATTGAAACGTAAGTACACTACTGATTAGATATGAACCACATTGAGCAATAAAAGACAAATAAACCACTTTTCATTGCTTCAGAATAAGGAATAAGTATGCTTTTGTTGTTTGGAGCTTGTTTGTTTGTTTGTTTGCTTGTAGTACTGAGGATTGAATCCAGGCACTGTACACTTGAGTTACATTCCTAGCCCTTGTTAAGAGTCTTGTTAAGTTGCTGAATTCTTCAGGTTAGGATTGAATTTGTGATCTCATGCCTCAGCCTCCAAGAGTGCTGAGATTACAGGAATGCACTTTATCCAGCCCATCTCCCAGCATACTGGGGCTTGAGCCCAGGAGTTCAAGGAAGTGGTCTAATAGAATCACATCTGTTCCTCCCCATCGTCCTCTTTTTTTTGAGATTTGGTCTCATTAAGCTTCCTAAGCTCAATTTCAACTTAGAGTAATATTGCCTCAGTGTCCTGAGTAGCTGTAATTACAGGTGCACATAATTCCACTTGGAAAATATATTTTTCATTGCACAGATGTTGCCTGCAAAGAGCCAGCACAGGTATCTAAAAATGAGAGGGGCAGCCCTGCACTGGCAGTCTGTCTGGTGGAGAGCAGTGGACAGATAGAGCTCTCCCATGTGGTGCACAGCGCCATCTGGTGGCAGCTCAGAGGACTTCATAGATCCGCTAGAGCTGGGTGTGACGGGAGGAGTAGGCAGGGGTCAGAATATTTGCATTTATTACTGTTACAGACACTGCTCTGTTACTTCCCCTCAAAGTGCTCTCTCAGGAGATAAATGTCACCTGGTCTAATTGACTAAAAGAACTCCTTGGTCCTTTGTACCTCTACTTTCTGCCTCCACTGTTACCAATGTGATGCCTTCCCGTTTGTGCTACATGTTCCACTCCCTGCACATTGGGGTCTTGCACTTGCTGGGCTCCCTGCTGCTCCATTCCGCCCAGCTGCTTAGGCACTTTGGGCTGCTCTCTCGTACACACAAAGCTGCAGTGGCAGCGTGGCCTCCTGTAGCCTCCCTGGCTCTGCAGCTGAAGCCATAGCCTTAGTGGACTGTGTACTGAAGGAAGCAAAGCTGTTTTGTTTGTTTGTTTGTTTATTTTTGAGATGGGATCTCACTATGTAGTTTAGGCTGGCTTTGAGCTTGTAGTGATCCTCCTGCCTCATCCTCTCAATGCTGGGATTACGAGTGAGTGCCATCATGCCCAGTGACAAAGGCTGTTACTGAATTCCTCATTGGTGAAATGTAGGGAAAAAAGCAAGTTAAAAGCTTTCCAAGATTTCTGGAGGTTGGGGGCAGAAGCTAAATTAGGATGGAAAGTTGTCTGGGAGTTAATAGCATACTACCTAGAGAATCCCTCACGAGGATAGAAGGTTGAAAAATAGGAGCCTGAACTGATGTCAGTTCAGTTTACAAAGTTATAAAGAGTGACAGCAAGAGGGTCCTGTACTAGACTATCACTATCCAGAGGATTGAGGCTGGACAGGAAGAGGAAACCACGAGACATTTCTTCTATCACAGAAGTTAACTTTCAGGCTATGTGCAAATCTGGATGGAATGATACTAATTACACACTGAGAGCCGGGGATGTAATTCAGCAGCAACTGCCTGGCAAGGACAGGGTTGTGGGTTTGAGTCTTAGTATCAAAAAAGGGGAAATTTTTATATGTGTATCACATCTGTACACATTGCCTGAACTAGTCCTTGTATGACCACCTATTGGTTTTCCCTGTGGAGCAAGGGGACAAGCAGCACTTTTGCAGATGAGTTTGGTGGAACTCAGTGCAGTCCTAGGACACTGGCAATGTATTATATTATTTATTATTTTTCTTGAGACATGTGAAGTTTTGTGAAGAGCAAGAAGGGTAGTCAAGAGACACTTAACGACCTTAATTTTATGACAAGCTTTTATCTGTTAAGGAGAAAGAAAAAAAAGCAGTCCCCAGATTGCCTGCATGAGCCTTCAACACTAACACCTTTGGTTTTTACAAGAGTCTATGTCTTTGTTGATCTGCACAGTGAAAATGTAATGGTGATACCATGCCCATCCTGGGATCCCAGCACAGCTCTGTGCAGAGGCTGCCTGACCTCCTCCTGTGAAAGGGGTGAACCAGTCCTGGCCACCTATCTGCTGTCGGGTCAGGGCGTGTCCCCACAGAATGGCTCAGCTTCTGCATTGTTACCCCACTGAGGACTTGCTGATGACCCCCAGGACTGTTATAATGGAAGAGAACACTGGACATTTGTTTTTGTTTTATTTTGCTTTTCGCTGGAATGGTTCTCTAGGGATTGCTTAATGAGTTGTGGTTGGTTGGATGCTGGGAGTTAAGCCCATGAGAGAGGCCATGTGGTGCCTCTCAGATTTTTTGATGCTTTACTTGTATTTTTGGAAGTAGTGATGTTTCCGGCTTTCGAAACTCGACCAGTAGGGTAGCATTCACTAAGAGAAAGCAGGGAAGTGGGACAGATTTGGTTTTACTGTTTTGAGTTAGGCTGGCCTTAAACTTACCATGTGTCCCAAGCTGGTCTTGAGTTTATAGCAGTCCTCCTGCCTCAGCCTCTGGAGTGCTGGAATTACAGGCATGTGCCACCATACCCAGCAAGGGATGTTTTTGTACGCACAGAATTGGTTCCACATTGATCATTCCAGGATCAGGAAAGTACCTAACTAGTTCTACTGGTTGTGCACTTAAGGACTTGGTTGTCATGAATATTATCAAAATGCATGATTATTTGGGAGTGTCATGAAGCCTAGGAATTTCTTTATTTTGCATGACTGTACCAAAAAAAGTTCTCATTTATACTAGTCCACATAAATAAAAACAAAAATTTAAATATAGAACAAAATGGAAAGGTAAAGAAACTCTTAGTTCATCTAACTATAAGAGAAAGTTCACTTCTTTCTATGTTCACATGAGAACTTTCAGATAGCACTGGATAACCCCAGACCAGCAGTATTATGGACAGGCCATCTTCAGGTCCTAGTCATTTTGTTATTGTTTAGGGTTTTTCATTTTTAATAATAATAATAATAATAATAATTATACAAGTGTAGATCTTACAATATAAGTTTTGAGTTATTTCCTTAAGATAAATTCTCAGCAGGAGAATAGGATTACTGGACCTAAAGAATATGTTCAAGGTCCTCATGAGCCCTTTAAAAAGTAAGCCATAGGCCTTTGGTGTTCTCTTCAAAATTATGTGTTTTGTTTTGGTTTATGTATTTGTTAGTTTCTGATTGCCAGTTTGGTAAGAGAAAGATGACAGTTCATAAATTTACATGTTTGGGGATACTGAGACTGTTCATTCTTGTTTGAAAGTTTGTGTTCCTTTTTTGTGAATCATCTTCTCAACTTCCCCCTCCCTTAGCCCACTCTTTTCTATTGGGTGTTTATCCTTTTTCTTAATGGTTTTCAGGAGCTCTTCATATTAAGGGTATTAATTCTGCGTTAACCTGTCTTAAATTTAATAAAGATGAGAAGCATGCCCTTTATTTTGTGGACATAAGAATGTTTTATTTCCTGTTGAATCTTCTAGATTACCCAAAGCAGTCAAGAGGAGAATCAATGCACTGAAGCAGCTTCAGGTGAAGTGCGCACACATAGAAGCCAAGTTCTATGAAGAAGTCCATGATCTGGAGAGAAAGTATGCAGCATTGTATCAACCTCTGTTCGACAAGGTGGGGAGCACTGTTGATTCTCTTGCTTAGTGTGTTATTGTCTGTCTCTACGTGAGACATCATGTTTACCTGGGACTTAGCTTTTCAGAAACATTATTTATAAACCCATCTTAACTCTTTGAGTTTCCAAATAGCTTAAAATTCTAATGGTTCCTGTGTTTATACAGAGAAGAGAATTCATCACTGGTGATGTGGAGCCAACAGATGCAGAATCAGAGTGGCACAGTGAAAATGAAGAGGAGGAAAAGCTGGCTGTAAGAGTTTTTCCCCTCATTCTTTCATAAAACTTTAAAAATTTAGATGTATAATAAAAATTATAACAAAACACAAATGTCAACCTCAGTAAACTAATTGTATCATAATCTCTACACGAGTCAAGAGAATAAGCCAGGTGTGGTGGTAGCATATGCATGTGATCCCAACACTCTGAGAGGCAAGTTTAAGCCCTGTTGCTCGGGAAACCTAGCAACGTAGCAAGACCTCTCAATTTTTTTTTTTTTTTTTTTTTTGTCTTTTTCGTTTTTATGGGTACCGGGGATCGAACTCGCGACTGCCTGCTTGCAAGGCAGGCACTTATGCTGCTGAGCTAAATCCCCAGCCCCTAAGATCTCTCAAATTTAAAAAGAGCTGGGAAGGCAGCTCAGCATGAAGGTGATGAGTAAAAATATATAACTTGTGTTGTTAGAAATGAACATTTTTAATGATATTTAATTAGGGTAACACTTCTCAAACAGTAGCACTCCCAGTAGTAGGAGCTCCTCTTCCATTGGATTACAGCACACATAGCCTCGGTGATACTGTATGGCTTCTGATAAGGTGCTGCAGTTCTGTGGTGAATGGGACACAGCCTCTTCTCAGTCTTCCTGGTGCAGCACTATGCTGAATACAGGGTCTGAGGAGCCAGGATAAATTAGAGTGCCAATGATGGTCTTAGTAAACCTTAGAAAGCGGAAGTCATCAGGGAAATCTCAAGATTAACTTTATTGGCCTATAAAATCTTCATTTTTGGTGTTTGGGATTGAACTGAAGCCTCACGAATGCTTGAGGCCTCACAAGTGTTAGGCAGGTGTTCTACCACTGAGCTCTACACCCTCTGCCAGTGTCACCTTCACTTTATAATTTTTATCCTCTAGCATTAGCTTCAGGGTTTTTTGCTTTGAAATGTGTTAATTTTGGTAGCTGTATGTGCTTTTGACCTTTTAAAAATAGGTGGAACCTAGCCTAGTTGAAACTGTCTCTGGATGAGTTTTACTATGTGGTACTCCTTAAAGTTCAAGACAAGTTTGCCTTTGCTAATTGAAAAAACACTGCGGTGACCATTTCATCCTAGCCAACCCTGGGTGACAGACAATATAAAGCATTCAGAATTCACCAAGTTCTGTTAGGGCTCTGTGTCTGCCTTCCTCTCGTTTGCCTTTACCCTGGGACTGTGCTATGGTGAGGCTCCACAGCACGAGGTGACCTCTCTGGTCACAGTTCCAGTGTTTACCACAGCACTCATGTGTCTACATAAGAGTGGCTAGCTCATGGTAGCTGGGCATCCAAGAAAGGAATTTCTTAATGTTGAAGGTACTGGTGTAGCAGATGTTTTTAAGGTAAACTTTTTCCTCCACCTTTAACTCAAAGTCGTATTTTTGAGACAAGATCTCACTCTGTAATCAGGCTAGTCTTGAACTCACCAGGTAGCCCAGGTTCACCTCAAACTCACGGTGATTCTCCTGCCTCAGGCCTGTGCTACCATGGTGACGCTTTTTTTGTTGTTGTTTGTTTTAATTTTGTGGTGCTGGAAATAAAACCCAGAGCTTCATGCACAGAGGTCAGGTGCATTTGTCCTTGAACTGAATTTTTCCATTTGAGCAGTAATTGGATGCAGTCACATCTGTAGGCTGATGCAGAGTTCTCATTCTCATCCTGTGACTGGTAGCTCATCAATTCAGCACTGGACCGCTTTTTCCAAGTCTGGTGACATTTTGCCATTTATTTAATTTTTTCTGCTTGATACAACATTTTACCATGAGGCACACCTCCCTCCAGTGCTTGTTTCTCTGTGGCTTGGAGGTGCCGACTCATCCCTAAGAAGGGTCTTCGTGCAGGGCTGTGAAATTAGATTCTCCGTTAAACCCTTGAGCAATTTGTAAAATTTATTTCTTGTGATAACTTTTATTTTGCATGTGTATTTTGTAGGGAGACATGAAAAGTAAAGTAGTCGTAGCAGAGAAAGAAGAAGCAGCAGCTGAAGAGCCAAATCCCAAAGGAATCCCCGAGTTCTGGTTTACCATTTTTAGAAATGTGGATATGCTCAGCGAGCTAGTGCAGGTGAGTGGATTGCCGCTGGGGAGGCTTTCCGGCAGTCCTGCAAGGTGGTTTCGTTCCCACTGCCTTCCCTAAGTCTGAGAGTCCTCGGTACATGGTGAAGGTACTTTCTATGAGTGGGCACTTGGGCAGCTGTCCTGGTCCCTAAGGAAGCAGTTTTGGCCGGAGGGGCTCCCAGTGTCCTGCAGTTCTTGGGACAGGGCTGGCATGAGCCAGAGCCTAAGCTAATACCCTATCTCCCCTGTAGAAGCCTCCCGCTTCATCCTTAGCAGTCTTCTCAGGTTCATCCCTGTCCTGTCTTCCTGGGGTGTGAGCATCAAGGAGCCTGAGGTCGGGCCGTGGGGAAGAGTCCCTTCGGATGAGAGGAGCAGCACTGTGTCTGAGCATACACATGTTCACTACTCCAGGTTTCCATGTCATAGATGACACTCCTGTCACTGATGTGTGGCCACAAGTCTTAGAATTTGTTTTCTCTTGTGGACTCTGGAAGTGACAGTTGCCTTGAGTTTAAGCATACAGTTACATACAGGAGTCATAAGCTCTTGCAAGTGGAACTTCAGATATGCATTGTGAGTGTTCTTGAGGGAGTAACTGTGCGAAGGGTTTGGGAAATTTATTGCCACGGGTGGGAAAGCACCATGAAGGCCAGCAGCACTTAATTTCTGGGCTCTTTGTCCCCCAGTGTGCTGAGGGCCAGTGGTCTTGAATAGCAGTACTTCTGTTCTCTGTATGACATGATTGCAGGAAAGCAGTGAGGCTGCTCCTACTGAAAAAGGGCAGGTATCAGAAGTGCTGCCCTGTTGTTGGCATTGATGGTCATCATTGTCCTGGGCCAAAGAGAAATGGCTGGGTATGGTGGGCATGCCTGTAATTCCATCACTTGGGAGGCTCAGGCAGGAGGGTTGCCGCTAGTTCAAGGCCAGCCTGGGCTACATTGTGATTTCAGGGCCAGCCTAAACAACATATGTATCCAGACCCTGTCTTAAGAAAAACATCCCCCAGTATTGGTGCCTGATTCTTTGTACATCATTACCCATCCAAAGACACTTAGTCTATAAATAAATTTGAGTTGCGTCTTACAAGTTTTCACTTGATGAGAACAGAATTTCGTTTTTTGTCTTTTTTTTTTTTTTTTTTTTTTTTTTTTGGTACCGGGGATTGAACCCATGACTATGTGCTTGGACGGTGCTTATGTCGCTGAGCTAAATCCCCGGCGAGAACAGAATTTTAATAGGGCTGATTTTTTCCAACTTCTGAGAATATATAGCTGACATGAGATGTGGATTATTTTCTTAAAACCCATCGGTGTTTATTTTTTCATTAGGAATATGATGAGCCAATCTTGAAACATCTGCAAGATATTAAAGTGAAATTTTCAGACCCTGGGCAGCCTATGGTGAGTACTAGCTGAGCTCCTGGTCAGCTAAGGGACCTGGAGCCAGGGCAAGAAATGCAAACACTGTTGCTACTGGGAAGCTTCAAGTGAGACTGCTCACTGGGAGTCAGGCTTCATATCTTGCTGCTCTCTGTGCCTTGTTCAGTACTGTGGTTGGAAGTCTGAGCTAGACAGTTGGACAAGTAACAACATACACCATGTCCTACCCCAAAGCCATGGAGCAGAGTGGTGGCCAGTGCAGGAATCAAACAGGCTTGAACTTTTGGGCTGTCCTTAGACCTATTGGGTCAGGCTTGGGCCCTTAGTTGGTATGTTTCCTCATCAGGTGGAAATGGAACACTTTGCCTAAGTCTCGTAGGGGTTTATGTGTAACATAGAAATGGACAAAGTTGAAGAGGACTGAAAGTGGCCAGGTATAGTGGCATGCACTTACAATCTCATACTCAGGAGGCTGATGGTGCAGGAGGATCACCTGAGCCCATGACTTCCAGACCAGCCTGGACAGCACAGTGAGACTCATCTCAGAGTAAAAAGAAAGAAAGAAAAGGATAGGGAAGGTTTTTATGCAAGTATGAGCAGCACTTACACAGAAATCCAGAAAGACTGAGGAAAGTAATCTAGGGTTTAGGCTAAAAATAATGTCATGTAACATCTCTCCAGAATGATCATTACATAAATACAGTTAATGCCTGGCAGTTAGGAAAGGAAGATGAGCTTGACCTCATCCAGCCCTTATGTCAGTCTTGGTAACAGGTCTTGCCCTACTTGTTCCCCTGAGGGAGCATTGTTCATAACTCGACAGCCTGCTTGTGTATGGTAGGTACCATTCCAGTGCTGTGAGAACTCTAGGGACACATGGCTGACTGATAGCTTTCAGTTTCAGGTCTTGGAGGCATACTCTGTGTAAGTAGCTGTGGCTTTGAGATCTTGGGAGTCAGGGACCGGGACCTGCTTGCTTCCCTGTGTATCTCAGAGTGCAGAGCCTAGAGTAAAGCGTGCTCATGGGACAGGGCTGCCCTTCTGTCCACGTGGCCCTCTGCAGGACCTTATCTAAACTCAGCTGGCTCCCTTTTCCTCCCTGAAGTCTTTCCTTCTCTCCATTTTTCTTATTGAACATCCGTTTGATGGTTTCCTGGGTCTGTTTTCCTTTCTCCACCCACCATGTCTTTCATCTCACTAGAGTCTGTTGTAGTGGTCTGTAGCCTATCACCTTGTCTATTTCCTCCTGTTTTCCTCTTTAAACCTACAAAGTATATAGAAAACACAGGCAAATACAGACAGTACTACACAAGTTGCCTTCTAGAAATAACTTTCCACAGCTTAGTGAATTTCTCCATGGCTTTTTCCTTTTGAGTTATTGCATCTAAGAAAGAGAAACAAAACAATCCCTGGTTTGCTCCTTCTAGAGGCCAAATGCCTATCTACACCTAGCATGTGTGTCAGGTCATGTCACACAGGCCTCGCTGGGGAAGCAGTTGTGACTGTGGCCATCAGCAGTAAGTGGTTTTCTTAACGTTCCCTAAATATTCCACAACATTCCCTAGATAATTCCACAACCTCCCCATTCTGATCACTGCATTATGATCAACACACTTCTACCAAATCTGTGTTTAGACTGCTAATATTTTCCTAGTTTAGATTTCTTTTGGGACTGGATCAGAGTTGGTGAATGGCTAAGAGAACCTATAATGGTTCCATTTATGTTTTAGCTAGTGATATATATGTAAAGGGAATAAAACAGAACAATAAAACAAAACAGTGATATGACAGTAGGAAACTCAGAATAGTTACTATATTGAGTATTGTTAACCTTTAAATAGTTGCTCAGACTACCAGCTTTGGGCTTGCAAAGTCAGTCAGGCAATGCAAATACTAGGTTGTTTCTGTTATCTCAGCCAGTTGCATGATGGAGGTTGTTTCTTTTCTTCCAGCCTGCATACTGGCTGGCTGGGGAGGGGGCTGTGAAGTTCCCTTCCTGTTCCACCCTCTAGGACCTCCAGGCCACTTGTGCCCCTGCGGAGCTAAAATCCCTGGCCGGCAGTGGTATTTTTTTATACTTACTTTTTAGCATGTCTTTTTTTCATTTTGTAGTTTGAAATAATTCCATAACCTAGAGCAAAGCTGCAGTGACAGAGAATGCCCATCATATGCCCTTTACCCAGAGCCACATGTCAGTTGGCTATGACCACCTAGGTGTTATGTAACCAGCGACCTATGTCCTTGTCTTCTCAGCACAAAGACTGACGAAATGACAGCCATAACTCTGCTGGAAAAAAGACTGAGTTCCTGTTCTTAATTCCTGCGGTTGGGCCTCATCAGCATATTGACAGTATACTGGGCTGTTAGGCAGCCGTGCCCTTGCGTCACTTGGTGGTTAGGTGGTTAAGCAGGTCCTGCAGTTTTCCTCAGCTGTGTTTGAGTGACTTGACTGAATGAAGGCCGAGAGGAAGAGAAAAAAGAAAATGAATAAATGTGGTTCAAAGAAATGTAGTAGAAGGAAATAGAAAATAAATAACTCTACCTGTTTAAGGAATGGTGAAAGGTCAGGCATAACAGTGATAGATTTGTGGACCAAGCTCAGCCAGGCTGGCTGTCCACACAGGCTGCTGTAAACACCTGCAGGCCACTTCCCAAGCTCCTACCCCGCCACACTTGCCCTCCTCTCAGTAGGTTGGTGATAGGCAGTGGGGGCTGGAGATGGGTTTCTTAGCTACGCTGTGAGTTTGGAAGCTCCTGCCCTGTACTACAGGGAGAGTCATGGGAGCTGCAGGCCTGGCCCCAGTGATGGTGAATCATTAGACCTTTCAATGATATATAAATAGCCCACTGTGGCACATGTGCCATAGGTTCAACATACTGACCTAAGCCCTCCTGGCTCTCATCTTTCTACCCTTTCCGCAAGAGGTCTCTTTTTACTTCCTCTTGGGGATATGGTTTTAAAGTGTGTACATAGGTACGGATTTATTTAGAGTCTTTTTAAATCCACCCCCCCCCCAATAGTTTCTTCATTACATGGTCTGGATAGCCTTGCCTGGACCAGGTTCTATTCTACATACATCTGTAGGTTGACTCTGAAGACAGTTGATGGAGAGGCAGAATGTTGTTCCTCGCTGTGTTAAGTTGAGGACCCCAGAGCACAGAGATGAGACTGTCCCCAGAATCACACAGCACCTACAGGTACAGGCAGGACCTGACTTCGGTCTGTAGTCTAGTGAATTCCTTACAGATAACTGAGATTGTTAGCCTTTTCTCTTTACAACCAGCACTGCAGTGAGAATCTTTGCTCATATTGACACATCTATCCAGTTTCCTCAAACTTAGGACAAGTTCTTCAGTTTAATTACTAGGCCAGGGCATATTCTTTATTAATTTTTGATACTGCCACATTGTCTTTGGTAAGTCTGTTTACAGTATATGAGTATTTCTAGTGTCCCACAGTACTGGCTAGCCCTACATAGTGTTTTTATATATTTTGGCCTTAGAGTAGGCCATGTCTTTCATTTTTTGTTCATGTGTCATGTGTTTTTTCTTTTGCTAGCTATTTGGTCTCATCTGCTGCTGCTTTCTGTACACATCCTTTGTCCACTTTCCCAGTGTACCCATGTCTTGCTCAGATCTGCAGAGTACTTTGTAGTAAAGGATCCACTGGAGAGCTTGGGGAGTTTCGTCTTTTCCTCCCACTTACCTCCTAATGTGGAATCACTGCTTTCACTTAATAGCACAGAATGCAACCTCACTTCTGCCAACAGTGGGGACCAGGATGAAGAAGGGAAGGGAATGGGCTGACATTTGGATTCAAATTTCCAGGAAGGCCAAGCGGTCTATGACATTTGTCACTGGTTGTTTTTAGATTTTAAGTGGTCCTGACTCTTATTTTCTGCTTTCAGTCTTTTGTATTAGAGTTCCACTTTGAACCCAATGACTACTTTACTAATCCAGTCCTGACAAAAACATACAAGATGAAGTCAGAGCCAGACAAGGCTGACCCCTTTTCCTTTGAAGGTCCTGAAATTGTGGACTGTGATGGGTAAGAAAATATTTTTCTGACTTCTATTTCTGCAAGAAAAGCAGAAGATAATTTTGGTATTTTAAAGTAAAAAGTTAAGAAATAAGAACATAAAAGGTCTTGAACCTTCCTTAAAGCCCAGCAAAGATGTAAATAGTAAGGCTTTCAGGTTGATCATAAGCAGTGCAGATATGATGACTGAAGCTCGGAGATGAAGCTTGTTCAAATGTGCACATTTGGATGGTACTCTGTTTCTAGTTGAGTGTTAGATTCTCTAGACACTAAGTTAAAATTCTCAAATGCAAATAATGCATTGGTGAATGAGTGCAGGTCAGTACTGATCAGGTGATTGTTGGAAGTTGGCAGCATATATGCTGTTTGACTCACATCGATTTCAGTCTGTGGAGACCACCAAGGAGAAAATCTAGCTTAAAATTAATTCCTATTGGGTTTGATTTTGAGAGATTGTTTTATTCTTGAATTGAAACCCTCTTTACTCAGGTTAGGTTGTAGTTCAGTAGTAGAGCACGTGCATGGCATTTACTAGGCCTTAAGTTCATCCCAGCACTGCAAAACAGAACTTCATCCATTAAAACCAACAATCTGGTGTGGCAAATCTTAAACTCTCGCCGGATTTGAATGGCTTGGAGTAGTACAACAAGATCATCTCCCAGGACCAAGCCTCCATGTGAGCGGTTTCAAGTATGTTCCTCAGCAGACATCATTCAGCTGCTGTTAGGGGTCACCAGTGTCCAAGGTGACAGAAGGCAGGCATCCTGGATGCTGTGCTTTGCGCTGGTCATCAGCATTTGCATGGCCCAGTTGTTCTGTTCACTCAGCTGACTGAAGATTAGGTGCATGAGTGAGTAACTCCATGAGTGCTCTGTTCTCAAGGGCAACAGGTGACAAGTTCTTGTGGACTGTGCAGATTTGATGGGGCCTTGTCACAGAAAATGCACTTTAGAGTCGTTGTGGAACTTTTGGGGAGATAATGCCATGGTCTCAGAGGTCTAAGTCTTGAGGCAGCCAAGGCACCTAGAATGGAAGACAGTCCCACCATTTCCGACTGGCCATTCTTTACATGCACTTCAGAGGCCTTGTGATACTTGGTTTGCAGATTGGTTTCTTACATTTTCCTGGCTAAGCATAGATTTTAGGCAGCTTTCTGTATGTGTTATAATTCATTTTTCTCCTGGAGTGTGTGCCTATGACCACTGTCTTGTCCCTTTAGGTGTACTATTGACTGGAAGAAAGGAAAAAACGTTACAGTAAAAACCATCAGGAAAAAACAGAAGCATAAGGGTCGGGGCACTGTTAGAACAATTACTAAACAAGTGCCCAATGAATCATTTTTCAACTTCTTCAACCCGCTGAAAGGTGAGTCAATTGGGCCATTTATTAGTGCACCAGTGTGGGGAGTTTTGTTCCCTTGTTGTATTCCTAGTTGTGTCCTAGAGCATTCAATCCTGTCCTGTGCTTTTCAGGTGGGAAATGATGGCTACGTCCAGTGTGTTGTGTCAGTTACAGGCAGGTACTGTAGGCAGGGAGCTGGGACAGGAAAAATTGGATTGTCATCTTTGACATGAAAAGAAAGTCTTTTCTTCCTTCTACTTGGCTGCTGCCCACATAACTTCACTTTTAAAAAAACTGAAGAGCGCTTGCTTTGTGCTGCTTCCTCAGCAGGCGCCAGCCCCACCCCTTAGCATTGTGTTGTGTCTCCCATGTGACCTAACTAATAGTCGCTCTCCCTGGCTCTTCTGGGTCACTGAGGCACAGCCTCTGAATTACCTGTCAAATCCTCTTTGCTTGTTTATTCTCTCCTCGCCCCAGCACACACAGTTCCGTAGAGCACAAGGCAGGGCGTGAAGGACTGAGACAGGATCTCACTGTGTGGTTCAGGCTGTCCTTGTAGCACACACTGGCCTCAAACTTGCAGAAGTCCTCCTGCCTCAGCTGTCCAATGTGGATTACAGGAGTGTGCCACCATGCCCAGCTCACAGTCAATTTGAAGAGTAAATGTTTGTGAAAATCACAAAATAATTCTCTAATGATGAGAGAATATGCAGCTAGACCACTTGGGAATGTTAAAACATGGACACAAAGAGCCATTATTTTACCTGACAAAAACATAGTTTGAAATAAAGACAATGCATACTCCTACTACCAGTACTTATGTGTGAGGCTTCCAGCAGCTCTGTTCCTGGGACCAAATGCCTGAGTTTTGCTTTGTCTCAGAGCTCAGCATCCTCATCCATCAAGCTGCCCTTCACAGCACAGGCCAGTATTTATTACTGTGGTGACAGTTTTCTTTTCTACAATTTGACTTTGACCTAAAAGGTTTGGAGTGTAAGAACAATCATAAATTTCATGCTCAAGTTTCCCTGTTGGGGAAAATTCCTTTCAAAGCATTGCATTGGGTACCGGAGGTTATCTGAGTTAAGTACCTCTGAAGCAGAGAGGCTTGCAGGCCTGAAGTCAGTGCCTCCAAGTTGTTTTTGCTTGTTTTTTTTTTTTTTTTTTTTGGTGGACAATCACACTAAGATATATCCCCAGCCCTTTGGGGGTGGGGGACAAGGTCTCACTAAGTTATTCAGGCTTATCTCAAAGTTCAGTCCTCCTAACTCAGCCTTCCTAGGGTGCTGGGATTACAGGTTTATACCACCACTCCCGGCTCTTAAGAAGTTTCTTCAAACTAGTTTTGGACTAAGGGTGGAATTGATAAGCAAACTAGGAATTTTGTGGGTAATTTTTGATGTTCTAAAATTGTTTTATGGTGATGATTACTCAAATCTAAAATTAATTTACCAGTTTATTAAGCTGTACATTTACAGTGTATTTATGATATGTAAATTATACCTTAGTAAAGCTCTTTTTACAGTAAGCAGATTAATACATAATATAGGATCAAGGGATGCGTGCTGTGGATTAGAAGGGAGGATGGCGGGGCAGGACGCAGTGAGCAGACAAGAAAAGACAAAATTGATGACTCATTTTAAAATGAAGGAAATGTTAGGTAGGTAGCCCAGTTTCCTGTCTCCTTAAATCAACAGATCAGTCTAGAAACCAATGTGGAGACTCTGTGCCCCAGGAGGAAGGCAGCCAGGTTCTCTTCCTTGCCCATGTGGGACGCGTACCTTGTGGTGGGTCGTATCCACACTTGATCACCACATCGCCATAGTGAATGGGCCCAGTGCTTGAAGCTGAGGGCTTGTAACATAACTCTTCAGCCAGGAGTCTGCATTGTGTATCATGTGACAACTGTCAGCTCAACTTGGTGGAGTGTGGTAGAAGTCCCTATTGGTCCTGTCCTGCCTGGTTCAGTGTCAGCACCACAGTCTGTGTGGTCTTGTGTGTGTTGATGACATCTGAGCATTGTCTTTGGGGCGGAGGTGTGCCCATCTACAGGGGACATCCGCGTATGCCTCAGCATATGCTTCCCTACAGGACAGACTGGAGTTTACTTCTGGCAGCACCTTGGCAGTGCTCTGGGCCAGGCTTGAAGTTTTCTGCTCGTGCATCAGTACTTACACTACAGTAGTTCCACAGGTGGGAAGTATCTCTCCCTGCAATCTTAATGCACGGAGGACATTAAGAGGACTTTCTTCCCGTTTGCCCTTAACCCTCATAGATTCTGAACCTTGGTTTTCTGTAGCTGGGTCTGTAAGAAGCATGATATCATCACTACATCACTTTCTTCATTGCTAGAACAAAATACCTAGCAGTTGCAGATTAAAAGAGGAGAAACAAATTTTGGCTCACATTTTTAAGCCATAGTTGGCCAGTTCCCAGGCAGGAAGGCATGGTGGAAGTCTAACAGAGGAAAGCTACCTACTTTGTGGTGGCAGGGAAGCAGAGAATAAAGGAAGGAGTTAGAGGGAGATATGCTCTTGCAGGTCATGCCCCTGATGACCTACCTCTTCTGATTGGGCCCCATCTCCCAACCCCCAGCCAGCTGTAGCATCCCCCAGTAATCCAATCACCTTTGAAACATGAGGCTTTGAGGTTTTTTTTTTTTTTTTGTACCAGGGATCGAACTCATGATTTCACGCTTGCCAGGCAGGCACTTATACCACTGAGCTAACTCCCCAGCCCTGGGGGCCATTTTAGATCCAAAGTATGACGCATCTGAACTAGGCACGGTGGGATATGCCTGGAGTCTCACCAGTTTGGGAAACAAGTGGGAGGTTCATGAGTGTAGGGCTAGTAGCTTGGGACCACAGCACGACCCCATCTCAAAAGCAAAAACAAAATCACAGCTTTACAAAGGCATCTAGGAGGAAGTACAGAGCTTAGGTGACATGGAGCCAAGCCCTTGGGCTGAGAAATGTGCCATTTTGTGCTGGCTAAGCTTCTTCATGGGCTTTAATTTTTTTGGTTGTCAGTGTAATGTAGATATGTTTTGTCTTTTCTTTTTTTCTAGCCTCTGGGGATGGCGAATCACTGGTAAGATTTGTGTTGTTCTCTCGTCCTGTTGAAGTGTCTGTTTTCTGAGTGGGTGCCTACTCTTTTTAATCCCTTTCTGCTTCTGGGGATCTAGCATTCACATGAGTCCCTACACCATGGGGTTGGGAGTTCTGCAGGCTGGCTTCAGGAGCAGGCAGGTGGAGGAGCTGCAGGCCTGCACTGCCTGCCTGCTTTGCCATTTGACTTTAGAGTTGCCTTGAAGCTGCCTAACGTTCTCTTAGGTGGCTGAGTATGTAGCAGTTGTCATCCAGCAGTGCAGGATTTTGTTGCTAAAAGTCCAGTGAACCAGGAGTGAGAGGCTAGAGTAGGGTGGAGGGGTAGAGTGAATGAATTAGTCCCACTGAAATGAGTAAACATTTTGGTTTTTTCCTCAGGATGAAGATTCTGAATTCACGTTAGCCTCAGATTTTGAAATCGGACACTTTTTCCGTGAGCGGATAGTGCCACGGGCTGTGCTCTACTTCACTGGGGAGGCCATAGAGGATGATGACAATGTATGTGGATCAGGGACACAGAGGCGAGCTGCCACTTCTTGCTTCCCTCTGTGGGTAGAGAGAAGCCCTGAACAGTGGCCTGGGAAGCCCCAAAGCCTAAGATTTGTGTTGTGTTATCAATGAGAATGTGGGCCCCGCTGAGGAAATAGACAAAGAAGAAGAGAATCTTAGAGGCAGGTATCTGAGGAATTCAACTCCAGTCACCTGGTAAGCCGCTGTGTCCCCTGAAGACCCTGAGGGTGTGCTGTGTGCTTAGAAAACTTCGTAAGTTTTGGAGAACTCGTGAGATGAGGAAATCTGTGGCCATACCACACAGTTGTTGACAGTGGACATATGTTGCTCTGGGACACAGCAACGCCAAGAAACAGATCCCTGTCCCACAAGACATGGCCAAGCATTGAGTTGTCTTGAATTACTCATCTGTGGAGATAGCTCTTTAGCACCCGAGTGCTCTCTTGCTTCTGGAGCTCTTAGGTCCGCTTTCTAGTGAATCTGTTGGAGCTTTTAGGTAGGTCACTGGGACTCAGGTGGGGTCTGGGAGTCTGGGTTCTTGAGGCAGTGGAGGCATGCTTCTCCTCACTTGCCACGTGGCGTGCTGCAGCTGTTCCAGCAGCAGCAGTGCAGACCTGCTGTGCGGCAGCAGAAAAGTCTTAGGCTCAATATCTTCCAAAATTTGCTTGCTTCTCCCTGGGCTACGGTGGTGGTGGTTTTGGGACTCAGGGACACAGCAGTGTTGGGTCCCTGAAGCAACAGGATAGTCAGAGACTTAGGTTTTAACATATTGCTAGACCCAACTCTTTCCAGTAGAACTTTCTTTGGACATGTGTCCCACCTGCTCTGTAGCTCAGTAGTACTGACCACATGTGCTGCTTAATGCAGAGCTAACGTCTAGGTCACTTTAGTGCAGATGGCCCGCCAAGGGCCAGAGTCATCCCCAGACCAGTGTTCTTCAGATGCTCTTATTCATGCACCCATCTGTTTGAAAGCCCTGCATAGGCAGGGTGGTGGCGTGCTTGTGTGTGTGGGACTAGTCCCCTGTGCACTTGGTGCATGCATTGTCAGTGAGCCATATGGTCTAGAGGTTAGAGCACCAACTCATCTGCACTCAGTAGTTGTGTGACCTCCTTGTGCCTCAGTGTTTTTGTCTCTAAAATGTCCTAATGGCAATGGCTGTACTGGTCAAGTACTTGGAATAGGTCCTGGCACAGACTGTTACTAAGTACTAGTATAAAAGCATTTCAATAATGTTAGCCCAGTCATAAACTGAAACTAGCAAGTTGCTGGAGGAAGAGATTATGAGCACCATGGCCCTGTCTTACTGTGTGCTGCACACAGGTGTGATGCACAGTTGAGACGGGCTCCTCCCTGAGTGTCTTCAAATGACATGAAATGCCCAGGTTGAACCTTGGGACTTTGTTGCTGGAAGCTAACTTGGCTCTCACCTGTAACTCAAAAGACTGGAGGAGTCTCCTCTCCCTTAGCCTGTGGGGAGGTGCAGGAAAGGTGCTGCTCTGCAGTCCTGCCCCACCCTGTGTGCCTCAGGGTGTTCAGGTCTGGGGGCCACCTAACCTGGACCGCATCTGCCTGCCAGGAGTTTTTTGATTCTGCTTGAAGTTGTGTCTAAGGACTCCTGAATAATCTGAGGAAAAGGAGTGTTTTTAAGTGAAAAGCCTTCTGGGTTTCTGGTGTACCCTGGTTGTATGGCCAATAGTGATGAGGCTGCGATAGCTGTGGCTTTTACTTCTGTGGCCCTCTCATTTTGGAATGTGAGTCCAGCTCTGAACAGTGAAATGTGGGGTGAAAGAGAAATCGATTCAAGACAAACAAGCTGTAGTGTCAGCGGTTATCCTTTGAGCACTTTAGTTGTGACTTGTTTTAAAGGTTAAACAATACAATTTCAGTTATATGCTACTTAAAAAGTCATGTTCTCCCTTGTATGAGGTACAAAGTGATAGCAAAATTCCCGTGTGTAGTAAAATTATGCTACTAGTTACTTAGGTCAGCCTTGTAGAGAATCGAGAAGAAACTCATCACCTTGCATGTACATTCTTTATTGCCTCATTTCCCACTGAGGGCAGCAGTGGGTATGTAGTCGAAGGGCCTGGTTCACAGTTGGGGCCAGTGCACCCTCGCTGACAGCTCCTCTGTTGCTTTCCCCATCCTCCGTATTTCAGTGACCTTCTGTTTTGTGCATTCTGTGAAAAGGCAGAGCCCATAAGCACTTGGCCCCATACCAAGGAACTGCAGCATCTTCTGCAGGCATCTGGGTAGTGCCAGCACTGCCTCTGGCCAGCAGGGAGCTGCTGGGCTTCCTACTGTCTTTAGCCAGGCTGATGAGGGTGCTTGATGGGGCTGGCATCTGGGGCAGAGTTCTGTTGACGGTTTTATAAACCTAAAGATGTTTCCCTGGTTTTTCCCCTCTCCAGTTTGAAGAAGGCGAGGAAGGAGAAGAGGAGGTAAGAAACCAATTACCTGGAATGTTGTCCCCTCTGTCTCGTGTCCTCTAGCTTTGTCTGAAGTCATGAAGTCAGCAGACCACACTGTGCCCTTGCTGTTTAAAGCCTCCATTAGCTTTCAGCCTTGCCTGACTGCTAGGCAGTGTGTGGGACAGGCCACAGCAGTGCCCTTGACTCTTGACTTTACATTTGGTTTATGAAAATGAGCCTCAGAAAGAGATCACTTGACAAACCTACTTATCAGATATTCATCTCAAGGATATCTTAAGAGCGAAAAGATATCTAGAAGTAATTATGTGTCCAAAGGAAACAACTTAGTCACTAGTGTGTAGCCGCAGGTGGCCTCTTCCTAAAGCAGAGGATTGTTTTCCTGTGTTTGTGGGTAGTGAACTTGAAGAAGTTAGGTCCAGCCTTAAATTAGTCTTTCCAGCTAATTCTCACTCCTTCTAATACAGGAATTGGAAGGTGATGAGGAGGGAGAAGATGAGGACGATGCTGAAATTAACCCCAAGGTTAGTCATGTTGGGGCTTCCCAAACCTACTTATGGTGCACTGTTGGACTTTCTTAAATGCTAATCACTTTTAGACAATGGTATTTAAAACACGTATTTGTAGTTTTCTACTTAGAAAACAAGAAATATGATAGAAAAATACTTAGATAAGTAACACTTTTAACAATGTACACATGACTGGAATGCTGGGTATAAATGTTCAGGAAACTGCTTTTCAGCTGCACCAAGCTGCATGTTAGTTACCTGTATCGCCTCACTCAATAAAGCATCTTTAATTTTAATAGAAGGAACTTGACTGCTTGACAGCGGTGCAAAGAAGGGACTTTGGGGAGTATGTTGTTAATGCTTAGAATCACAGGACTCTAGGTATAATTTTACGGTTGCACCACTTGGGTTTAAGAGACCTAAAATGCCCTAGATAGCTGAGGTATACAAGGGACATCAAGAGGTCTGGTGAATATTCACACATTCATTTCAATAAAAGGCACATTGCCGTTAATCTCCCTCAGAATACTCCTTTCTTTAAACACACCCATTGTTTTTGCACTGTTGGGGAATTTTTGTTTGTTTGTTTTGAGATAGGGTCTTGCTTATGTGGTATAGTAGCACAGGCTGGCCTTGAACTTGTGGCAATCCTGCTTCAACCTCCTGAGTGCTGAGATTTCAGGCACCTGTCACAACTTTTTTTTTTTTTTTTGATACTGGGGATCGAACTCAGCTCACTCTTGCCAGGCAAGCGCTTGTGCCACTGAGCTAAATCTCCTGCCCCTCTTGCCACTTTCTGAGGCAGCTCCAGAACTTCTTGCTTTTGAGTCTCTTTTGAGGTGCAATGAAAAAATATGATCCATGCTTAGAACATTTTGGTTTGTCCTCATCCGCCTTACCACACCTAGCACCATTTAAGTCTGCTCTTTACCCAAAGTCCAAATAACCATGTAAGTGAAACATATGCTGGATCTATTCAAGACTTCAAGGTAGCCACGACATAGCAACTTAAAGACATGGGAAAAAGACTCCAGAACTGCTTCACAAAAAGGCAAGGATAAACGAATTTGAACTTAAGGGGGAGTATTTTGAGGGAGATGAATGACAGTATATCTTTTATATTTGAACTGGTTTTTTTTGGTCATAGCTTATCTGTCTCAGGTAGTTTTAAGTAAATGGGAAGGTTTGCTACAGAAAATTGGCATTTAAAAGAAAGACATGGGCAACTTCATTAGGTAAGCTCTACTTCGGGTGTTAGTTTTGGGCCTTGACCAGGGAGCTGTGGTACTGGCCCCTTGCTGGTGCCCAGCACACAGGGTGTACAGCTCTCGTGCGTTAGGGCCACACTGACGGCGCCAGAGTGTAGCCTTTCCCTTGCGTTTCTGTCATCTGTGTCTCTACCCAACTGTTTTTTGTTTGTGCCTCATTTGCCCCCTGTAGAGTGTGCTAGAAGCCTCCAGGGCACGACTTGGGACTGGAGTCAGTGTGTCACCCTTGTGGTCCCCTGAGGAAGGACTGGAGGAGGACTTCGACTTTCAGAAATGTGTCTTAAGAGTGCAGCTCTGAGAACGAGCTTTTGGGAAGGTCCCTCCTCCCAGCCTGTGTGGCCTAGGGAGTCTGCCTCAGTCTCACCTGCGTTCATCCCCGGGGAGGGCACTCGGACGCTCCGTGAGTGGAGTAGAGTCGGGGACCGAGGGCAGGGAAGGCAGTGGCCACTGGTCGGCAGTTAACTTGTTGGGGTGACTGGTGACACCTTCAGCTGCTCTGTGGGCATGTGGTGGACCCAAAGGCAAGGTGTGCGTGTTGGGCTGTGTCTGCTCGGTGGGTACTACGCCTATTTTCATATAGTTGTGCTTGCAGTTAGCGAGTCTGGTGACAGCTCGCTGTGTCCACACTCAGACCCAGCACACCCTTGGCCTCGTGCAGTGCTTGTCTCACTGCGTCTCCCTAGGCTCTGTTACTTGGTTTCTTTTCCTTTCTTTCTCTTTTCCCTGTTGTGTGTTTACCCTTCTGTCTTCCTGCTCCTGACTCCTCGTGGGTCTGTGTTTTCTAAAGGGGCATCTCACCTTGTGATCACAGAGGGTTGACATATAAAGTAGTAAGTCACAGTGCCAGCACCTCAGGAAGCCTGGTCGGGATGGGGAGAATAAGCTAGAGCCACATGTGCCAACCCCAAAGGGTTGTCCTGGTGTTCTCAGCTTGTGGTGTGACATCTTTGTCCCTTCCTTCACGTACACCTCTTCAAAGGTTTTGCTAACAGTGGAGCTTGTGCAAGCAGAAAAGATGAATAAGGGAAGAATGTTGGTACTGTTATGAGTGTAGACTATATGTTCTGGCCATTTTGAGGAAGAACTCTGCTTTGTTAAAGTTGCTCATGTTAAGTACTTTGCAGCCCTTTGGTATCATGAGAATTGTGGCTATTTCCTCCTGTATAATTTTGTGCATTTCATTTTCTTTCATGCTGACAGTTCCTTTCAATTTTTTCCCCATTTAGGTGTAATTTTTGTCTGTTAATCATTCATACGTTCCTAGGTAAGGTGGAATCCATTCATACCTAACTTGCAATTGTTAGTCTGTACTTTGTACCATGCATTGTTTTGACTTTGGGAACACAGGAAGTGACCTTACAGGCATACCTATCATGTAGTGGGACTGCCACAGGACTGTCCAAGGAGCAGTGTTTGGTCAGGGCTGTGTTAGCTGTGCTTCTAAGGCGAACAGAAACAATTTGGATTTGTCTCCTACTTTGTTTTTTTGTCGGGGGAGACCTCCTTTTGGGATGAGGTCTTATGCAGTTGAGGCTGGCTTGAGCTCACCTTGTAGCCAGACTAGTCTTGAACTTGCAACAGTCCTCCTGCCAGCCTCCCAAGTGCTGGGATTACAGGCATGCACCATCTCCTGCTTTCTGAACCCATGATTTCCTGCTAATCAAGTAGCAAACCTGTTACTCAGCACTGATAACAGTACTAATGTCCTGGAAGAGGATAATACAGTCAGCAGCTACTGAAGCCACCATGAATGGGCAGCTCTGATAGAGACTCACAATCTTTCTGTCCCCAGCTATGCTAGCTGCACAATAGGATCAGACATTGACATTGGAGGCCAGCCCACTGGAGTTTGTGCACCCGCGTATTACATGTTTACACTTAGTGAAGAAGTCATCATGTAAACCAATAAACAAAGGGGGAATCAGACTTAATATGCCCATTTTTTTAACCAAAAAGGGACTGGCATCTGCCTCAGTGTGGGCAGTGAAAAGTGCACACTGTGCTAGTTTATTATCTTGTGAAGAAGGGGGGTGGCTCAGGGATGAGTGACAATGAGGAAGGCAAGAATTATGTGAGCTGGCTGGCCAGGTGGAAGAATGTAAAATGCCAGTGGTCAGCACTCAGAAAGAAGGTCTCTTACTAAAGCCACAGTGGCACCCCAGCCTGAGCCCCTTCACCAGCCAGTCAGTGTTCAGGCTCTGCACATGGCCTCCTTCCGTAATGCAGCTGATGCAGTTCTGTGTTAGTGGCCTGTCTGCCACCTTCTTGGGTTCTCTGGACTCTCAGACCCCCACTTTTAATGGTCCCACAGTGAACAGATTTTTGGCTGAGATGCTAACTCTGAAAAAGCCAACCCCTTGCCTTGGGAATCAAGTTAGCGTCAAGTGACCAGGGTGTCACCAAAATCCATGACACAACAGAGGATGCTTGGGTTTAGTTGTGTGTATGGTGGTTTTTGGAGAAGGGGCACTGTTTTTTCTTTCTTATGTCACAGACCAAAAATAGTAAACATTGGATGCCCAAAAATTTACTTCTAGAGCTCTTGTCTCTCACATGTATTGCATATCAAATACTGAGTTTAGTCATCTAAGTATTGTAGTCCTGTTTTTAGGGTTTTTTTTTTTTTTTTTTTTGTCTTTTTCGTTTTTACCGGTACCGGGGATCAAACTTACGACTGACTGCTTGCAAGGCAGGCACTTATGCCGCTGAGCTAAATCCCCAGCCCCCTCTTTTTAGTTTTTTTCACAATCTAAAAAGTTAGATTTGTAATCCCATTTAGATGTTATTGGAATCCTAACAAATTAATTTTAATCTACCACCACCAATGTAACCCATGGCAAGAGTAAAGACACCAAGATTTATTCCAAGTTAAGGGCAGCCAAGGGGTCTTAAATTTAATCCTCGTGAGGACATGTGAACAAAGGCCTTGATTTTAGGCCTCTCCCAGAGTTTATTATCTTGTGAAGAAGGGGGGTGGCTCAGGGATGAGTGATAATGAGGAAGGCAAGAATTATGTGAGGAATTATGTGAGCTGGCTGGCCAGGTGGAAGAATGTAAAATGCAGAGATAAAGATATGTAGAAGGATCAATTTATATAATCTAATTAAAGTAGCAACAGAATTGTTTTAGGAGGCTGTTGCTTTGGTTTTTGATATGCAGACCCTTGTGCCCTGGGGAGTCATAGCCTCTTACCTGAGGTTCATACCTAGTTGACATTCCCAGAGCTATTGGCTCTAACATCCCCGTGCGCATAACTTGTACATATCCCGTACTGAAGAACACTGTGCTAGGAAACCAGGAATGTCTGTTGGCTTTAGAGGTTACATACCAGCACCTCGGCTAACTTTATTTGCAATGCTTAGAGCCAATTGAAGAGAGAAGGAAATACCATAGCCAGCTTTTTATATATAAGTATAAGAAAATGAGTCTCCAAATAAAGCCGCAGTAATTGCTTTGCATTCAAAGGGAACCACCGGAGTTGTCTCCCACAACATGTAGGAGCTCCCAGTCTGGCAAGGGTGGATCAGTCTGCCCTCATGCTCAGAAGGGAGGTGGCTCCCTTTGGTCCAGGGTACCAAGCACTTACAGGCCCACATACACACCTTTCCTTGGCTTCTCACCCTTGCTGTCTGTCGGGCATTGCATGTTTCAGTGAGGACTTTTCCCCACTGGCGGTCTTCATCACTCAAGTTAGAAGCTTTGTGTTTTCGTTGTGGGCTTTTTAGGTAAGGATGCCTAAACCCAGGTCCTCTGCTCCTGTGCTATACCCTCGGCCTTGGTTTTAAGGTAAACAGGTACCATGTTGTGGTTGAAAATATGACTATTTATTCAACATAGGATAAATGACACAGTGCTCAGTGTGAGTGCCATTATCTGCATAATTCACACATACTTGGAGGTGTGGAGATGCCATTGTCTCACCTGTGCACTTCGCAAACCCTTTGATTCCCCCCCCCCCCCTTGTGGTACTGGTAATGGAAACCAGTACTTCATGCATGCTAAGCAGTGCTTTCCCACCAAGCCTCATCTTGGTTCTGGTTTCTGTCTTCTAGCACAGCCCCTCTTTGATGGCACAAAGCCCTCTCACTGATGCGTACTGCTTATCCTTGTGTCCTTGGGCATCACACTGAGCTGCCCATGGTTCAGTAAGGAACGTCAGCACTTGAGCATATTTTGACTCAGGGTTTTGTCATTCCCAATTTAGTCCTAGTCATGGGCTCCTTGGGCAGCCTGTGAGGCTGCTGAGCATAAGCAGGGAGGTTGGAGGTCCCTTCCTGGAGAGGTGTGTCACTGCACTGAGCAAAGACCCAAGCCTGGAGATGGAGTCAGAGAACTTGAGCATGTTCTTTGTTCTTTCTATTGCACTTAGAAACAGCTTAGACCAGGTCCTGAGGCTCTTCCTTGGTAGATTTATGCCTGCTTTGTTTGTATTTTTTCATCTCTGCTGTGTTAAGTTCTCATAAAAGGTGTGGGTAGTGTTGCCCCAGATGTTCATTTGAACCATGTAGTATAGGATTTTCTTGTCAACACCACAAGCTTGCCTAGTTACAATTAGTAATTTAAAGTCAACTACAGAAATCTTGGCTAATAGGTTGGTATACAGAAGTAGTGTTGAGGTCATTATTTCTTAAGCTATTGTTGGACTCCACACAAAATTCATGGCGCCCTGAGTGTGATTGAAAAGATGCACGCTTTTTGCATCAAGTTTCATTAAGTTGATCTGCTAGTGGGAGGCATTTCCTGGATGCTTTTATTGTGAGGATTTAATTTGCTGCTGGTGAGTTGTGTGTATTTGCGAAGCTTTTCATGGTGACCAGACCCAGTCTGTTCTGTACCTTAGTCGAGTAGTATGAGTCTGCTCGGGTGCTTCCTAGAGAGCAAAAACAGGAAGCCCCACTAGAAGGGCAGCAGAGCACAGCCATTCCTAGAACAGAGCTAGACGCCAGGCAGGTGTCCAGCCACCACTGCTTCTTTGGGGGTATGGCCGTCTCACACATGTTACATAGAACCCCTTTTCTAGTAGTAATTTACCTTTGCAGCCCCAAGGATACCCCTCTAACCATGAATTAGAATGTTTCCCCAACAAAATCAAAAGACAGTCCTCCCACTGTGACTTTCTTTGGGGAATTAGCTGGTTTTTTGTTTCGTTTTTTAAAGGCCATTACATAGCCATTTTTTCATTAATAATGAATGAACTAATTGAGTCTTGGTTTTTCTCTGTGGGTTGGAGATACTTGGTGGATGACACTAGTTTTGTTCTTTACAAGTGTTGTCTTCTCATTGCAGAAAGAGCCCAGCCAGCCGGCAGAATGCAAGCAGCAGTGAGGAGTGGCCACCTCAGGGATGGCCGTCAGGACCCCGCTGTGGCAGGGCCTCGGGCCATGCTGCAGCACACATATGGACAGTGCTTATAACGGCTAACACGTTTTCAAGTGCATGATTTCACTTTCACTTTTCCTTTTTTCCTTCTTATTTTGCTTAACTTGTACAGTGGCAACAGAAATGCATTTCAGAAATAGGAGGTTTAGTTCTAGCACCCTCTGTGGCCTTGGTGCTTGCAGCCCTGGACCTGCTTAGGCCCTGCCCTTTAGAAGGTCCATACATCACAGGGGTTGGGGGAGTCACTCCTGGAAAAGACAGAGGTCTGGAGACTCCGTTTCAGGGCTCCTGGAGCCTCTTCTTCCACTTCTGCAGCCTGGCTGAGTTCCTCCCTTTGACAGAGAAACCCCAGTTCCCACCACTGATCCTGCTGCTCGGAAGCTGCTTCAGCCATTCTATCCTGATCATCTCAGAAGAGCTGAGGGGAGTAAGGCCGTGATTCCTCAGAGGGTTTTTCCTTGTGTTTTAGTTTGCTAGGGGTTGGGTGGGTTGTGGTACACACCTTCTCGGAGGCGGGAGCTCTAGTGATACCCTTGTATTTATTTATTCGTTGTGCTTGGAGGACTTTGAACTTAGTTGCTCATCCTTACCATTGATGAAACCAGGAGGAGGATGTGCTGTCTCCTAGCAGGAGCATGGCCTGTGCTGCTTCGTGCAGCCAGCTGCGGAGGGCAAGAGCTTGTTCTATGACATGCAGGCCACATGTTGCTGTTGGAAGGTCTTTGGGGAGGAAGGGACTGCAGACTACAGCTTTTGAACCTGATGTGTGAATGTTACATCCTGCTTTCTTGGCAACCCCATTTCTGGACGCCACCACTCATTTGTCCTAAGAGCCCTGGGTTTTGTGTGACTGGTTGGCTGGTGTATGGGGTTTTCGAGTATGTGGCAGTGATCTCTGGCACCTGGGGACAGCTGTGTCCACGTTGACCAGGCATGTAGAGAGTGCTCAGCCTTACTGATTACACATTTGTAACTGAATACGGTGTTTTCAATTTGTACAGAATAGTTAGAATGTTCTATTAAAGTTGTGAAACATGAAGCTGGTACTATGTGGGGTCTCTATGCGGCCGTGGCTCCTCTTGACAGGTTAAAAGTAGACACACCCTGCTGGGCTGTGAGCCCCTATTGTAGGTGAATCCAAGACTGCAGTCATCTGGCTTCCCATTTTGTCATTGACGCTTTGAAAGCTCCTCTTTAGGGGAAGGCTGTGTTTAGTTTCCCCACAGATCTGCTGTCTCCTGCCCTTGCAAGCCCCTCTGATATGGAGCAGGTCCTTGGTTCCTGTATGGAGAGGTGTACACCGTGACCCCAGAGCTCATGGGCTGCATCTTGTGGCCCCAGAAGAGTCCAGAGGGAGGCTCTTTCACGAAGCCCATACAGGAAGTCACCCTGAGGTCTTTTCCTGCCATCTCTTCTTAATGAGAGGGAAGAATGCCAACCAGAAATACCTGCTACACAAGCTCTTGTTCAGTGACATAACCTGGGGAGTCTTAGCCTTGGCAGTACCCAGCTGAGCTGAAACTGTCCAGGAGAAGGCAGCTGTGGGGTCAGCTTGCACCTCTCCACATGGCCAGGCTGCCCTTCTTCCTGCTGTGGTCCCTGGCCTGCCTGCATGACTGGCTTCTCCCTGGGAATAGCAAGAAGACAGAGGGTCCTGGTGGCCACCAGAAGGACTCGGGGAACCGGATACAGGCCTAGATGTAAACATGCTGGCAGCATGCCCCCAAGGGCAGCAGAGCAGGACACCCCACTCCTTGTCTGCATCTCATGAAGTGCCAGAGGAGCTCTGGCAGCCTGTGAGCTGGGGCACTGCCCCTGACTGCCCACTTGTGTTGTGCTGGGGTGGGTGGTCACTGACCAGGGTGGCACAGGCTCTCCGTTTCCCTTGAGTGTTTAAAGCCACCCACTTGTGAACATGTGGTTCACGAGTTAGAGCCCAGAAGTAACTGCACGAAGTGATGTGCTTGGTAAGGCTGGTGAGCCACTTGGCCTGCTCACAGCTATGCTGAGGGCTTTGCCAGGAGCATCGCTCCGTCTGGCCTCGCTTAGTGTGTACCCCACACCTGATCTGTTTGACAGCTCCCTGTCAGGCCTGAACCTCTGTGCCATGCACCGAGTGAGACTCAATTCATCTGCGGCTGCGTCGGCTGTCCTGCCACGCTGACTGGGGACCGCAGGGAGCCACCTGGAGAGTAGCAATGACCACAAAGGTGCCGGGCAGCCACCTTAGAGCTGCTGCCTCGGGTGGCCTACTCAAAACCCCTCCCAGCTAGCGGGAGCTTTACTTCCTTGCCTTTATGTCTTTTACTTTCTTGCCTTTTATATTTTTTTAAATAAATTTGCTTATACCCTAATGTTGCTCTCTGGTTGTATGTATAATAAGACCTCAATGAGGCTCATTTTTCAAAAGCTTTCCAAAGGGACGCAGTGGCACCTGTAATCTCAGCCCTCAGGAGGCTGAGACAGGAAGATTGCTGTGAATTCAAAGCCAGCCTAAGCTGCATAGTGAAGCTGAGTCTCAGCAAGATGGGGAAAACAAAGGCTCCCAAAGTGGAGCAATTCTACATAAGGTACTTGTTTCTCCTTGAGTGGAGATCTGTCGCCCCACACAGTGGGCTGCCCACAGCCTGGCCACCTGTCCGTGCCTGCTGAGCTGGCTATGGGTACACTGCTGCCTGGTGCCTGGTGCATCTGTGTGGCTGGGTGGAGCCCCGCCTATCAGACTGTCACCTCTGCAATTCACTACTGGGTCATGATGACTCACTACTCCCAAGGGTGGGGGCCGGATGTTACTTTCCATGACAACCCAGCACACAGGTACACAAGGGTAGCCCACATGGACTCAGGACTAGTATGGGCTGTGCCCACCTCCCCAGCCTGTAGCCAGCTCCCTGGAGCCCAGCCCAGACTGCCCACTGCAGCCCACCCTCCAGTCCAAGCATTGGCATCAGCCTCAGCACGGAAAATTTGAGATCGGGATGCCTGGAGACTGCCCATCCTGGGTCCTGCTTCCCAGGATGGGCCCCTCAAGGAGGGCATGAGGAAGCCTTGGGTCTCAACCTGTTCTATTCCTGGCAGGATAAGGGCCACAGGACATGTAGAGAGCGGAGGACAGAGCCCTTTGTGGCTGTGACAGACTGGCTTTAAGAAACCCCAACCCCGCTCGGCTGCTGCTCCATTTCCAGCCAGGAGAGGGGAGCTATGAAACATTCCTCCAGATCTTAGCCTTGGAATCACCTCAGGTTAGGGTTGGGGACAGCAGGCTCCTTCCTCAATCAGCAAAAGACCAGACTGGGCTCTAGGAGTGCCCAGCAGAGTCCAGGCCTGGACAGTTTGAGATGAGCTGGTAGCAACACGGGGCCACTGTGTGGAAGGCAGAGAGGGGCAGGTGCCCATGTCCTGGTCCCCAGAAATGCAAAGTTGACCTGTGGCAAAGGACTGCAGATGTGACCAGGTGAGGAGACCTTGAGATAGGGGCAGGCAGTGCAAGCCCATGAGGGTGGGGCGCAGGTTGGAGGGACAGCCTCCAGAAGCCTCTGAACTCACACCCTGAGAACCAGTTGACCTGCTGTTCTCCCTAGTCTTCTACCAGCCACCTTTTCGAGGGAACCTTGAAACTCCCCCACCTGCTTGCCTGCCCTCACAGGCCCAAAGCCAGGCACCAGGGCTATTGGGCACCTTTGTCTCCCACAATGCCATCTCCACTCAAGTTCCAAGACTCGCTGCCTGCTCTTGGCAGGGGTTCCATCCACATTCTAGACACCTGCAGCCTGTGCCCCTTGTCAGGACTGGGCAGGAAGAGAGTGCTGATCTGGACAGCTCAGCCTTGAAAACAGCTCAGAGTGGCCCTGAGGGCTGGGGTGTAGCTCAGCGGTACAGCACTTGCCTAATACAGGGGCCTGGGTTCAGCCTTCAGCACACACCTCCACCCTAGGAGGCCACTCCTGACTTTACCAGCCATGGCCAGCTATGCCCCGGGTCTGGCCCGAGGTGTGCATGCCAGACGGGGTGGGAGCAGGAGACCAGATCACCCCCGGCGGCATGAGGTGGGGAATGACTTAAAAGAGAAACTAACTCAGTTCTAGAAGCCAGGAGACCAGAAGTCTCAAATTTAGGTATGGCAGGTCCTCGGGGCACTGGTGCCTGCTCTGTCCAGCTCCTGGGGCTCCTTGGTGTGGCCCAGCTCACCCCACCTCTGTGTTCACTCCTTACTGTACCATTGTTACTGTACTGTCTCCTCTAAGTGCCTCTGGACAACTGACATGACATTTAGAGCTCCCTGGGCCACATGGATCCTCCCAAGGTTCTTAATCATATTTTTGCCAATAAGGTCACATTTGTGGGCTCTGGGGACATGTATAAAATTGGGGCAGGGCACAGTTCATTTCACAGTGGGCTTTGCAAACATGCAGGTACAGAAATGCCCATGAAGAAGAGTCCAGTTTTTGGCCACTAGGGAGGTTTTTAAAGAGCCTAAAGCACCCATCGTTGGCCTGGCATGGGGAAATGGGTACTTGCAGCCCATGGGTGCAGTATAAGTCACCACAACCATCTTGTCACAGTTACTATGTGTTGGAGCCCAACAGGTCAACCTTTCTTCTGTCCCGGTGACCTCTGCTAGGTGAAGCATTTGCAGCTGTCTGTGGCATGGCTTGAGGTTATGATGACAAAAGCCTGGGCACAGCAAGACCCTGTGCAGAGGTGTAAGCCACAGCATGTCTCACTAGAAGGATGTGAGAAGGTCCCAAACTTGGAGCAGAAACCCCACGTCTCTCCAGATACTCATATAAGCAAAGCTTTAAACTCCAGTAAAGTGGCAGGGATATGGCTCAGCAGCAAAAGCACCTGCCTGGCAAGTGCAAGGTCCTGAGTTCGATTCCTGATACCAATAAACAAATAAAATTAACTCCAGTAAAATGCACAGGGCAAACTAAGCATGGTGGCACACACCTGTCTTCCCAGTACTCTGGAGGCTGAGACAGGACGATACCCTGAGGTTGAGGCCAGACTGAACTATGTAGTGAGGCCCTGTCCGAAGGAAAGCAGGTGGCATTTCCCATTTGAACCATGTTTAACTGCACAGTTCAGGGGCATTAAACACATTCATCACACGTGTCCATCTCCAGAACTTTCTCATCCACAAAACCCATTAAACAGTAACTCCCCAGGCCCCAGAACCCCTATCCTACTTTCTGTCTCTATAGACTTGATGACTTTAGGGGTTCTTTTTTTTTTTTTTTTTTTTGGTACTGGGAATCAAACTCAGGGTCTTGTGCTTCCCAGGCAGGCACTGTGCTTCTCAGCTATATTTGTGGCCCTTAGGGACTTCATTTGAGTAGAGTCATACAGTTCTTTTCTGGCTTATTTCACTAAATATCTTGTCCTCAAGCTCATCTATCTTGCAGCATGTGTCAGAATTTCCTTCTTTTCAGGGTGAGTAATAATCCACTGTGTGGATGGACCCTGTGTTTATCCCTTCACCCGTTGTGAGCACTGGAGTTTATGCTTCTGGCTCCTGTAAATCCGGGTGTACAGATATTATGTCCAGAACCTGATTTCAGACCTTTTCTCTCTGTACCCAGAAGCAAGAATACCAGGTCACTTGATAATAGTGGGGTTTTTTTTGTTTGTTTGTTTTGTTTTGTTTTTTTTTTTTTTTTGTCTTTTTGAGACAGGGTCTCACTGTGCAGTTCAGGCTGGCCTTGAGCTCACTTTGTAGCCTAGGCTGGTCTCAAACTCGAACGATCCTCCTGCCTCAGCCTCCTGAGTGCTGGGATTGCAGGCATGAGCCACCATGCCTGACTTGATAATTGTGTTTAATTTTTTTTTCCCACCACCCCTCCTAATAATTGTGTTTAATTTTTAAAGGAAACATAAGTGAGGGATTTTCGGTGGCCATGATGGTGGCTCTGAGATGGGGTCTTGCCACACTGTCTGGGCTGACCTCAAACTGGGGATCCTCATGGTTCAACCTCCTGCATAGTCGGGATTACAGGCAGGCACCACCATGCCCAGCTCCAGTAGATGCAATTTTTTTAAAGCTTGCTTTCTTTCTTTCTTTCCCTTTCTTTCTTTCTTTCTTTCTTTCTTTCTTTCTTTCTTTCTTTCTTTCTTTCTCTTTCTTTCTTTCTCTTTCTTTCTTTCTTTCTTTCTTTCTTTCTTTCTTTCTTTCTCTCTCTCTTTCTTTCTTTCTTTCTTTCTCTCTCTCTCTCTCTCTCTCTCTCTCTCTCTCTTTCTTTCTTTCTTTCTTTCTTTCTTTCTTTCTCTTTCTTTCTTTCTTTCTTTCTTTCTCTCTTTCTTTCTTTCTTTCTTTCTTTCTCTCTCTCTCTCTCTCTCTCTCTCTCTCTCTCTCTTTCTCTCTTTCTTTCTTTCTTTCTTTCTTTCTTTCTTTCTTTCTTTCTTTCTTTCTTTCTTTCTTTCTTTCTTTTCTTTTCTTTTCTTTCGTGCCAGAGATTGAACTCACGACCTTGTGCTTGCCAGGCAGGCACTTAAGCCATTAAGCTAAATCCCCAGCCCCAATGCAGTTTTTAAAAGAACTGAAAACCACATACATCAAGTGTTGTCCCTGATGGGGACATGAGAAATAAGCACTCCAAACTCCAAAATCAGAGGCCAGCACAGTGCACACTTCTACTCCCAAGACTCTCAAGGCTGAGGCAAGAGGATTACTGTGAGTCCAAGGCCAGCCTGGGCTACACTGAATTCATTACCAGCCTGAACTGCATAGCACGCTCCTGTCTCAAGAAAGGGAAAACAGAACTTTGAAGTGATGTGGGGGAAAAAAAAATTGCCAGGGATTTAGCTCAGTGGCATAAACGCCTGCCTGGCAAGTGCAAGGTCATGAGTTTGATCCCCAGTACCGCAAAAAAAAAAAAAAAAAAAAAGAAAGAAAAGAAATGATGTGGTACACCTGTGATCCCAGCACTCAGAGGCGCTGAGGCAGGAGGACTGTAAATTCAAGTTCATTCTGAGCAAGACCTTGTCTCAAGATTTAAAAAATGAGCTGGGGGTGTAGCTCAGCACAGAGGGCCTGAGCTCAGTCCCTAGAACCTAACCCCCCCAGACACAAACAAGCAAAAAACACTTTTAAAACATTTCAACCATTTTTAACCTTTTATGTCAATAATGGATTACTGCTTTTAGTGATTCTTTAAAGTAGGAAAGAATTTAATGAATGCATAAAATAAGGCCTTTCCCACCACTGGCTAAAAGGGCCACTTAGCCAGTGCACAGGAACCAGACATGGTCTCTGGGGTGAGACCACTGCCCAGTGACTCTGCAGGCTGAGTCCACGCAGAGGCAGGGCCACCTGGGCCCACTCCCACTCGAGCCTTGGGAAAGGCCGTGTGGCCAAGACTCCTACAGCCCCCAGAGTGACAGGCTCTCCTCCCTTTTCTATGAATGGCAGGGTGGGGGCAGGTCCCTCCCCTGAGCTCCCCACTTTTGCTCCCTTTTCCCCAACCCCTGTAGGCTCCACATCCGCCCGTCCAGCCCTACATTCACACCACCCACCGCACCCCTCAACTCAGGCACGAGGTATTAACGGATGAGCATGTGAGATCATGACTCTTGAATAACGACATAGGTAATCTTTCAGCCTCCTGTTTCCACGGCATTCCAGGGGCTAATAGTGTGATGATGTCCAAGTTGGGAATTGAGGGATAAACAGGAGCTCACAAAGGACCGCAAAGGGGAAAGTGTTCTGGGTAGAGCAGTTTTCCCCCTTGTCCCCCATACCTTGTGAGGTTTGGCTTGTCCTGCAACCCTGCAGGGTAGTGCAGGCCCTACAGAGACCCCAGAAAGAAACAGTCTCCCCATGCCTGATGCTGGGATCTCACCCACCCTGCCAAAGGCTGGCCAGTTGGTTGGGATGCCTGCAGTGACAGGGAACTCACTATCTCTTAGCCAAGATTCCTGCTGGCAATCTCTCTCACCATCCTCTTACACTCCGGTGGCATCACTCACAGGACCGGGCAGAGTGCATCCAAAGGGCTCAGGAACCAGACAGACAGAGAGGACCAACCCTCTGAGGCCATGCCAGACAGTGCCGAAACCAGGTGGGGCAGCCAGCCGGCCTTCTGCCCAGCCTCTTGATTTTCTCAGGCTGTGGCTGGAAGGTAAGGGATCTGGGGCAGGCCTGAGTCACAGGTCTTGCCCCAGGGGCCATGTCAGGCTCAGGTCAGGTCACCTGAGAGGCACCAAGATTCCAGCAGCCTGGATTTGCCTCAGTCTCCCCAGGTTCATGCTGGAGCAGGCTCAGAGACCCAAGGCATACCCTGGCAATCCAGGAGGGCCTCCTGAGGAGGTGAGGGAGAGGTCTTCCCAGCAGGGAGCAGAGATTACTCCTGAGTATGCCACCCACAGGAAGAGGGTGGCATGGAGTCTCAGGTGCTGGGCCTGGCTCATGACACACAGCTTCCTCACAGGTTGGCCACATGGCCTGGCTGGTTGGGCAAGTGCCTGAAGGGCTGGCCTCGTCACCATAGGGAAGTGACCTCACTCAGGGAGTTTCAAAGAAGTGTCCCCATCCCCCAGCTGCCCAAGGGCTCCACGGCCAGGCTCCTGTGCCAAGGGTTCAGATGGACAGGACAGCTTGCCAGTGTCCAGGCCGGATGTATGAGCCCCTAGTGTGACCTGAGATGCCTGTCTAGGCTACAGGCTTCTCTTCCGCTCTGCGTGAATGCCAGATGCGCCCCTTGAATAAATATTAGTAAACTTGGCTAGGACTGCCGCTGTGTGACGCCACTAACCTGCCAGCCTGCGCAGAAGCCAGCACGGCTCCTCCTGGTCTGAGAAGCAGCCCTTGTATTTGAGTGCTGTGGAACCGCCCTTAAGTCTGGACCCAAAGGGCCGCTATGAGGTACTGCGGGAGCACTTGGCCTCTCTGAGCTCTGCCTCTGGGGTAGCCATGACGCAGAAATGAGGCCACACAGGCCAAGTACCCAGCCAGGTCATACCGGCCTCCCAAGGGTGCCAGCTACACCTCCCTGCCAGCACTCCCTCTCTAGCACCTACACCCGCTAGCATCTGGCCAGAAGCTGGGGGGGGGGGAGGCTGTCCCCATCCCCTGCTGGAGGACCTCTGGCTCAGTGGCTGCAAGGGCATCAACAGATTCTCTATGTCACAGCTTTTCTCCTTCTCATTGCTAGCACCAGCAGCCCAAGAAATAAGCATCGCAGTCCCTACCCTCTGGAGGGGACCCACAGATGGTCTGCCTGAGGGTAAAGACAGGATCCCTTCTTGGCAGTGTGCCTTGGCGTGTCACTTCTCCTCTCGGAGCACCTGTAAACAGGACAATCGCTCCCCTGGCCATTACTATGGCTGGAAGTCCTCCATACTGTGAGCAGCTCCCAGAGTCCGGGTGGGTCACTGCTGGCTTGACCAAACACGAGACCACGAGTTCACACAGCTGTGGGGGCATCCAGGAGCCAACCCTGGGCTCATCGGAACAGCTGGCAGTGGGCTCTACCTTGGCAGCCCCCTCCCCTGTGTACTTCAGCCCGAGGGGTTATCACCCTACCCCCAAGCTTGAGCTTGTCTCCGAGAGGAACAGCAAAGGGGGTGCTGAGTGGGATGGCAGGAAGTCTGTGAGGAAGAGTCTCCCAGCTCCCCTCTGCCCCAGCCCCCCCATCTAAGCTCCAGGCTGATCCCTGTGAATTGCCCAGCCTCCCCTGAGAACAACAGAGTTGAGGGCAAAGAGAGGGGCCTCACTTGGTTTATAGACCTCTCGTGAACCCCAAAGTTTCCATTCCTGCTCCAGGCTCCCTGGCACATTCTCTTTGACTTTGACTTTTTTCCTCGTGGAACCCAGACCCAGGAGAGCTCTACCACTGACATACATCCCCAGCCTATTTTTAATTCTTTTTGAAACTTTGAGACAGTCTCACTAAATTGCCCCAACAGGAGTCCAGCTTGTGATCCTCCTGCCTCACCCTCCCTTAGTGCTAAATTAGAGAAGTGCACCACCGTGGCCTGCTACTCTGGCACTTTCTGTCTCTTTTGTCCTTACTCCCTAGGCCCTATTCTTCACCTAGAAGTGGAATCAGAATCCCCACGCTGGGGTGTTCTCGGTTAGTAGGTAAAGGCTGGAGACCATGTCTAGCAAATGGATACCAATTGGTCCTTTGCAGTTTCCTGGGGAACATATTCAGTTTGCTGCTGGGGAGCATGGGGTTCACTTTCCTTTCCCTTCCTTTGGTCTTCTGGGATCCAGCCACAGCCAGGCACACAGTGGGTGCTTAAGCAATGCCAAGTGTCTGGGAGGCCTGGAACAAAACTCCACTGACTGACCCCTGGCAGGAAGCTGGTGGGTACTGGGAGCTCCAGGAAGGTGCTGGAACACCTGTCACAGTGGTTCCCCCAGACCCCCACTGCCCAGAGAAGTCTCTAGCCTAGCCTCACTGCCTGCATTGCAGGACCCCTGAAGGACAGTACAGGCCCTGCAGAAGCTGAGCGAGAAACCCCAAGGAGAATCACAGGCTCCCCAGGCCTGATGCTGGGATCTCTCCCACCTGTCAAATGCTAGTCGGTTGGGATGTCTGTGGTGACAGGGAACTCACTGCCTCTTAGCAAGGTTCCTTGCTGAATCTCTCGCCATCCTCCTCCACCAGTGGACTCACTCACTGGGCCAAGCAGGGCGGCTACACTCACAACAGTCTGTGCAGATGTCTCTGCCCTCCAGAACCCAGCTCTGCCCCTTGTCCATTCTGCTCTTCCATCCTCCTAGAGTCCTCTGGCCACGCAGGTGGGGACTACTGAATAGCCACCACCTGGACGCCATCTACCAAAGCTGACCTACAGGGTCTTTTTATTCTGCCAAGGGACCCTGAAGGGCCAAGGTCCTGGCTGTGTCTTGGGAGGGTAGGGGGTTTCCCAGACACTTGGTGATGGTGGGTCACAGTTTTAGGCTCTGCTGTCACTGTCCTGAAAATTTTGACACCTTTTCAACAAAGGGACCTATGCTTTTACTTGGCACCAGCCCTGGACCTGCTGAGGTAGGGGTGACTGGTTCTTATCCCAGCCCACAGCTTCCTCGCATCGGGGTGGGGGCACTGAAAGCATCCTAGCCCATAGGGTCTGCTGAACCTCTTAGTAGTCCCCACCCCCACCCCTGGGAACCCAGGAAAAGCTAGCATTGGCTTCCTGCTCCAATTAAATCCTTTAAAGGAAGAGGGTAAATAAAACCGACTGGCAGGCGGTGACTCAGCCACCCCCCCAGCCCCGCCCACCCCGCACCCCCAGGCTACTCCCCAGGGTCCACCCCACACTCCTAGCACCCCTTTCTCTGCTCTCGACCCGCGCTCCCAGGCTACTCCCCAGGGTCCGCCCCGCACTCGGGTCACCCCTCTGCTCCCCGCCCCGCGCCCCAGGCTATTCCTCAGGGTCCACCCCACACTCCTAGCACCCCTCTCTCTGCTCCCCGCCCCGCACCCCCAGCTACTCCCGAGGGCCCGCCCCTCACTCCGGTCCCCCCTCTGCTCCCAGCTCGCGGCCCGCGGCCCTCTGCCGCTAAGGTTTTGCGGCCCTACCTGAGGTTGAGGATTGAGGGGTACTGTTCTCACCCCTCTCGTGTGCTGCCTACTTTAGTAAAAGTCACAATCTCCATTTTACCGAAGGAAAACCGAGCTAGGGAAAGGGAAGAGGTCCCTCCAGATGCAGCCTCTGGCGAGTTAGGAAAGCCCGGTGGGGGCACGGTCACTTTCGGAGACCGTTTTGGGTTGCCCCAGGAGCGCCCCGGAGAGGGACTGGGCAGCCAAGGATTGGGAGGAACAAGGAACCTGCGATTCTCCTCTACCAGGATCTCTGAAGAGGCAGGGCAGGATTTCGGAGAGCCTAGGTTGGGGTCTGAGCCCCACTGTCTCCCCTCCCGGATTGGGAACCGGGGCGCTTCCCGGGGTTTCCCAGCGCGTGAGTCACCGCGGGCAGGACCAGCTGCAGTGCATTCCTCTGCGAAGTCGGCGCCCGGGCGGGTGGGGACAGCGAGTCACCCCACCGGGCCCAGCAGCTGGGACGTCGGGAGCTAGAGGGGCGCAGGTCAGAGGGGCGGACCCGGGTGATCAGGGCGGGGTGGCTGAGGGCAGCATCCCCTGGCCCTCGCTAGAACTAGGCTGGGCGGGGCGTTCGCGGGGCGTGGTTTGCGTGGGGCGTGCCCTGGGGAGGCGGGTCCCGTGGGGCGGGGCTCATATAAGTGCAACCCGGGCGCCCGACGCGCATTATCGTAGCTGCGCCGTCTTGAGTATCCGTGCGACATGAAGACTCCCAGCGAGGTGCTGCGCGAGGGCGAACTGGAGAAGCGTAGCGACAGCTTGTTCCAGTTATGGAAGAAGAAGCGCGGGGTGCTCACCCCTGATCGTCTGCGCCTCTTCCCCACCGGGGCCGGTGCGCGCCCCAAGGAGCTGCGCTTCCATTCCATCCTCAAGGTGGATTGCGTTGAGCGCACGGGCAAGTACGTCTACTTCACCATCGTCACCACCGACCGCAAGGAGATCGACTTCCGCTGCGCGGGCGAGAGCTGCTGGAATGCGGCCATCACGCTGGCGCTCATCGACTTCCAGAACCGCCGCGCCCTGGAGGGCTTCCGCAGCCGCCAGGAGCATGCGGCGCCCGCCGCGCAGCCCGAGTCCGGGACGGCCCGCGCGCCCTGAGCCTTCGCCGCGGTGAGTGACGCCCCAACCGTCGACAGGGGTCTCTAGCGCGCCCTGGAGGATGTGGGCCGTGACCCTTTCCCCGGAAACCTGCATCGTTGGGGAAAACTCGGGGAGGGGGAGGTTGTCCCGCTGCCTTGGGGGCAGTTTCCAAAGAGGCCATGGGCGCCGTGCAGTCGCCGCGTGTGGGGCTCGTGGCAGAGGCTATCGCTTGGCCTTAGGGATTCTCCAGATCGGCACCCAGATCTCTCCCGCGCTGCTCCCTGACCCAGTCCTCTCTCTACAGAGCCTCACACTGCACCAGTCGGACCAGACCAGCCACATAACCGCACCGCACAGGAACCAGGGAGTACCTGAGACAGCGAGAGCCCAGACAGGCCACCCACATGCTGACCTCCAGAGGACAAGGCCGCCTCTTCCATGCTGCCTTCCATGCTGCCTTCCATGCGTGCTGAACCTCGCCTGCTGCGCGGGCCCGTTAACTTATTGGACTATTTATTTTGATGGTCATTTATCGTCAAGCTGTTCTGTCTTAATATTTTGTTTTTGCACCAGCATTTCATTCCAAATAAATGAGTTCATTTATTCTTTTTTTTTCTACCAGTGGCTGTGGCTCAGTTCTGTTTTTCCGGGAGGGCTGGAAACTGGAACACCTTCATCTAGTCACAGCCTGAAGCTACTGCAGCCCAGGCTGGTCAGAAAGGACATCAGCATTTAGAATGAATATCCACTGTCATCAGCTAGGCCAGATCCATGGCCTCCCCAGAGGCCAGGAAGTGTCCTGGTGTGTGGCCTGGCTACCTTCTGCTCCTGGGCATAGCTTGGGGTGGTCATGGTTGGTGGCAGTGTTTGCTTGGGCAGTTCACTGGAGCTGGAGGGGAGGCCAGCACACCTCCTCCAGACCAGAGCTGCTGCCAGTGGAGGTGGCTGTCCTCAACTGCACCTTCCACCCACACACCACCTGTCCAGCAGTGCCTGGCAGACCCACTGGAAGGTCTCTGTCCCCATGTGCTCTTTTTGACTCCAACCCAAGGTTCTGGAGAGCAGCTGCCAGCCCTGGTCACTGCTTTCAGGCCAAGGGGAGAAGCTGGCACTGCCTCCAGTGGCTGACCCAGGACTGGGACCAGGGATTGGAAGTCTGGACTCATCAAACCCATCCCCCTTCCTGAGCTTCCTGCCAGGGTGGCAATTTCTGCCCTCGCCCATTTTCATCTGCTGTAAGTTCAGGAACCTAGAAAGTTGGTGACAAGGTGTGAGAGGTATGTGCCCCTCCCTGGCAAGATCTATGGATGACCAAGCTGAAGAAGATAGTGTAACAGGAAACAGGACTGTGGGTGTGTACTTTTGATTCCAGGGAACTTCTGGCTGCAGGGATAAGGTCGGGGAAGTACAAGTGAGGGCCAACATCTGTCACTTACCCTCCACCCAAGGGAGCCATTACAAGCCTTCTACCTGGGCCTCAGGGGCCAGGCTGGGGACTGCGACTGTCCCTTTTTTGGATGGGTGCTGGGTCCAGACAGGAATTCACTCCTTGTAAGGAATATTATCCCATATATTTATTTGGGAAGGCCCTCTGCAAATGGAGAAGGGGCTCCAAAGAGCAGCAAAGACTAGCCAGGGACTGACCACCCAAGGTCATGGAGTAAACCCCCTGCCCCTGGTAGGGTACAGAGAGACACAAGGTCTGATCTAGGGTCTTAGACCAGAAGCGTTAATGAATCTTGGCTCTCTGGGGTGCCTCCCAGTTTGAGCACAACAGAATTCTAAGGTTTAGGAGCTCCACATTTTAAGAGCTTCTTTCAAAGGAGGTCAGTGTGGGGTAGAGGGCCTGCCTGGTCTCGGGGCATCAGTCCCTGTCCATTGCTGGTCCTCTCCAGAATAAACACTCAGTTCACACGCCCACGGTGAGAGTGCCATGCCAGTGCCTCTTCTCCAGGCAGCCCAGGTTGGGGTGGGGGTGAGAGGCTGGAGTTGCCCCCCCCCAACCTCCAGGGTTCTCAGGTCTTGCTGCCTTCCTGGTTCAGGGTGGTGGCCAGGGGACTGATTCCATCAGGGAGCCTCATGGGGAGATGGGGCCAAGGCAGCATCTGCAGTATAGTTCTGGGTCTGGGCGGAGTTGAGGTGTAACTTCTGGGTTCCCCAAAACATCCTTTCTTCAAGCCTTGCTTCCCTGATCTTTTAAACTAACCTGCTTGTGCTTATGGGTAGGGCATACTGTGGCCTGGGGGTGGGCAGAAAGATCCTGTCCCCAGGGCTGTGTATGAGTGAGTCTGTCTGGGTGGCAGCAGGCCGATTTCTCACTGACAAGTTGGTGGAATCAAGGGCTGACTAAAGGTTTGGGAAGCAGCCTGGTCATTTGTCCTCTCCAGAGCACTGGGTCTCAGCTGCAGGCTACCTCCTCCAGGAAATCCTCCAGCCCCAAGCTCCATCCCTGACCCCCACGTTTCCTTCCCACGGGCAGGTGGAGCCTGGAGAAATCAGGTCAGATGAGGTCTCAAAGGAATTTATTGGCCATCTGTGTGTGCTCAGGGCCCATGTCACACAGTTTTGTCCTTCTTGTGGGACACAGGCTTCCTCCAGAGGAACAGGAAGATGAGAAAGTTGACAGCGAATTGCACATAGCCGAAGATGGGGACGCCGAAGCTTCGGTATAGAAAGCCACCAATAGTGGGTCCCACAGTGCGGATCAGCGACTGCACAGAGGCAGAGAGGCCCAGCATGGTCCCTGGGGGAAGGTGGTAACTATCAGGCACCCATTGCCTGGCCAGCCTGGCCTCCCATCCTTGTCCCAGCCTCTGAAGTTCCTGGTTGGCATGAGATACCATCTCCACCCCACAAAGCAACCCACCTGCCCAACATTCCTCACCTCCTGCTCCATCCCTGCCTTTGGGGGCTCCCTCCACCCAAAGGTCCTTGGGGACCCCTCAGCCGCACAGGACCCTGTCAGTGTGCTTCCCCGGGTGTGGGACTGAGCTTCTTCCCTGCTCCAGAAAATTCCCAAGCATGGGAGGAGCCTCGGAATGGGGCCACAGGTCAGGGTGCAGGCCCCACCCTCCCAGGCCCGCCAAGGGAGAGGGCATCTGTACCTGGAGCCGGAAGCCACCCACCTAGGACATCTAAAGAAGGGGCTTACACAGCTCCATCCCAAGCCTGTTGTACTGAGGACCCAGGGGCAGCATCTGTCCGATATGGCCCAGGGGTCATGGTTGGGGAGTCCTGAAGCCCTTGTGGGCTGCAGTTCTAGGTCACCCCCACAGCCTCTCCTGCCCATCAGTCCCTCCTCCAGTCTCCCTTGCTCCCAGGGTCCTCCTATGGACCCACGGAACCCCAGGGCAGGGGAGAGGGCCCCCACCTGCCTCTTCTGTAGCCCAGCGAGAAGGCACCCTCTTTCTAGCTCACCCTGATTTGGGCAGCCATCTGAGCATGTAGGCAGTTTGCTTAATGGCCCAGGCCTCTACATCTCTAGCCAGCTGTCCCAGGGTCGACTTGCCTATGTGTGGCTGTTGTCAACCTTTGGACAGCATGGGGGAGCAGCATTCACTAAGCCAAAGCCCCGTCTGTTAGGTCCCCAAGCAGGAAGACACCCTTTGTCTGATTCTGATGTCCCCAAGATTGCTCCCCATGGGCTGTGAGGTCTCTGGCTCTCAGACTTTGGAGCTTAGGGTTCTTTGGAGCTCACATGGACAGAGGCCTGGCAGGCCCTGCCCACACCAGGGCCAGCGTGGGGAAATTTAGGAGCAGCCTCTCCCACTGCCCACACGCCCGAAGACATGGGCAATTACCGCCTCCTCCGAGGCTCTGCTTCCCAGGCTACTGCCCAGTCAGGTATTTCTCCTTCCCAGCGGAAGGGCGGTGTCTAGGGCATGACTGGCCCTGGTAGCCTGGCCTGCTCCTCCCTGCCAGACCCAGTCTTCTCTCTTCAGGGCTTAATTCTCTGCTTCCTCTACCTAATCTCTCCGAATTGCGGGCCTCCTCCTCCAGGAAGCCTTCTGGGACCAGCTGTCTAGAGACCAGTTGTCCCACCACCATGGCATCACAGGCCTGACAGGACTTGAGGGCCCCAGAAGCCTTATGGAGAGGCCTGCCCCTTTCTTCACCTGCTGGGATGGCAGGTGGAACAAGCCCCAAGTCCCCTGACTTTCAGCAACCCTCAGGAGCTAGTGCATAGCTGTACCCTGCCCTGGATAAGGAGGGAGCAGGATCAGGGCACCCCTAGTCTGCTTGAGGGGCTCTCCCAGGCCTGTAGAAAGCTGGGAAGTCCTAAATCTCTTGGGCACTTATTCTGGGAGCCTGAGCACTTGTGAGAGTGGGGGAGGGGAAGGCCATGCTGCTCCGAGTCTGCCCTGGCCCATTTCTCTGTCCTCCTAACTGGCCTCAGCAGGACCCTTTACATCCACACTGGTACTCAGCGGGGCCTGCATAGAATGCCATTCAGCTTTCCTTTAGTGAAATCTTGCCAAGATGTCACAGCCAAGGTATACTCCAGCCTGCAGTACCCTCCCCATCCTGCCCTATCTGGTGCTGGACTGGTCAGCATAATTTGATTCAAGACGAGGTGGCAGTCCAGGATGCCAGGCCACCTGGCTCCTGTGCATCCGATGGGATGCTCAGAAGAATCCCAGAGAGGAGGACATGGCACTGACCTGTGTCCGCGGCTGAGACAGCCTTGGTCAGCATGCTGTCAGTGACCACATTGAGTGCGCAGAGGCTGAACACCAGGCCGGGCATCAGGATGCACAAGTGCAGGATGCTGGACATCAGCACCTGGCAGGAGGGCAAGGAGCAGAGCCACCATTGGCAGACACCACCCAGGGCCGGAAGGGGCCCCACCTGAAGTCCCATCTATCGCCACATGTGGCCAGGAGGGTCGGGGACCTACTTCTCTGTGGGGATAGCATGAGGTGCATAGCACTCACCATGGCCAACCCCACCACGATGAAGACGAGCACACTAATGCGGAGCAGTGTCTCCTCTGAGAAGTGTCGGCTTAGCTGCCCGATGACCAGGCCTTGGATCACCTAGACGCAGCGAGGGGATGAGATGGCTATGGGGGACACTGGACTATGACCTGCTCTTTCACAGTGGCTGGCCCCCAGTGGGAGCTGAGTCCAGGCAGAAGGCTAAGTAAGCCTCATGGTACTCAGGAGACGGCTCTTTTCTAGAGGGTAGAATTCTGGAAAGTCCATGTGGAGGATACCCAGGGACACAGGGATATGACTCAGCAGGACACCCTTGGGCCACTCCCAGGCGAGGGCGAGGCTTCCGATCTGGTCATCTCACCCACCACCAGGCAGGAAGTACCCAGGGCCAAAGGCCAGCAGGGGAGTGGCAGCCAGCGGCTTGGAGCAGAAGGGGTGGCTGGGGTCAGAGTCTGCCAGGGCGGGCTCACATGGGGCGGGCCCAGCCCTGAAGAACCTGCCTAGCTACTCTCCCCACTCCTGCCTAGCATAACCCACTCCTGCCAAGGGAAATCCATCTTCACAAAGACTCTCTGGAACTAGGTGTGGTGGTGCACACCTGTAATATCAGCCTTGAAGAGGCTGAGGCAAGACGATCACCATGAGGTTGAGCCTGAACTACACAGTAAGTTTGAGCTACATAGCAAGACCAAAAGCCAAAGGGGAAAAATCAAAAATCCTTCAAAAGAAAAGAGAGAGAAAGGAAGGAAGGAAAAGAAAAATCCTGAGACATATTCAATAATACACACCTGTATTAATCCTAGCACTCCGGGAGAATGAGATAGGAGAATTACAAATGTGAACTTAGGCTGGGCAGCTTATTCAATGAGACTGTCTCAAAAATAAAATAAAATGTGGGGCTGTGGCTCAGTGAAGACCCTAAGGTTCAACCCCCAGTACTGGGGGGAGGGGAAAGAATTCTACTTCCAAGTTTAAGCTTTATTTTTGTATTTGTTTTTTAGAGTTTTGTTTGTTTTAAAGACAGCTCACATAAGCTTCAAACTCACAGCATTCTCCCGCCTCTGCCTCCCGAGTGCTGGGATTCAGGTATGTGCTAAAGTACTTAGCACCACTGTTTTTTAAATTTAGTGCAATACTTCTGCAACGAGAGCACTAGACCACGACAGAAGAAAATCTTGGCATTTTAGACAAGCACCAAGACCCCAGTCCCAACTGCAGTTGCATCTCAATTCTCCATTAATTGAGAAAAAATTTCAAATTACGCACCTCAAACTGAAGGTAGCTAATAGGCCAGCTAGTCACGTTCTTGCCCCCTCCCAATTGTCCCCCTGCACGTGTCCCAAATGGCCACCTAACCTGAAGGCACCCCTGCTCTGGCACCTTCCCCTCCTCTACACAGCAGCCCCAGCCAGAGGAGTCCTTCCTCTTCTCAGTCCAATCCAGCCAGCTGAGGAAACCAGGACACACATCACCCAAGCCTAGTCCTGTCTACTCAGGTCAGCTAACCTCAGGGCCTTTGCACCTGTCCCCAGCCCTTAGCAGGGTGGCCCCACAGCTTCCTTACTCCTCCTCACCTGCCCCACCTAAAGCAACACATCTGGACCTCTGGACCTCTGGATACAATATGGGGTGGGGACGGATGCCTCCCCATCACCGAGGGCCCCACTCAGCACCCCATACTCTGTGCTGCCCCTGCCAATGCTCTCTGAATGACTGCTGTCCAGGAACAGCCATGAGTGAGGGCAGGGAGCTGGGCCACCATAGATCTCTGTCCAAAGGTCTCTTAGGGGACAGAGGTCTGCGAGCCTGGCGGGGGGCATGTCATCTTGCCCTAGCCTTGGCCCACTCCCCTCGCCCAATGGGAGCCTTGGTGGGAGCAACACCTGGAAATGATTCCCAGGGAGCTGCAGGTGCAAGAGTTGGAGGCCAGTCTCAGGGAATACGCTCTTCTATTCTTTGTCCCATCCCCCTGCAGCTCTCCCAGTTCACCATCCCACCACGGACAAAGGCTGCAGCGCCAGGCAGCCATGCAGGCCCAGACTTCTCCCTAGTACTGCCCAGGGACCTCCAGTCCCCAGGGGACTGCAGACCCCACTTGCCTCAGGCTGGAGAGGCCTGGCTCGGGGGAGGCTAGGAACAACCTGTTTAAAACAAGGTTCCAGTGACTGCCAACCTTGGGTTATCACCACGGGCACTGTTTATCCTTTATTTTTCCTACCCGGGTGGCCCCTCTGGGCTGGTCTCAGAGCAGTGGCCCTCTTCGCCCACAGCAGAGATCAGCCCCTCCCAGTGTCTATTTTAGCGCCAGGGTCTAGGCCAGTCCTGGGCCCACAGGCACAGGGAGCAGATGGCTTGAAGGTGCCAGGAATGCCACACGCTTCCGGAGAGACCCAGAGCCCCTCCTCTGCTGGTCCCAGAATAGCCCTTCCCATGCCGGCTGTCAGGCAGACGTCGTGGCCCTGGCGACAGCCCTGGCGGCACGTCACCACCTGTCTCCAGCACACCAGGGTCTGGTCAGATGCCCAGGAGAGGTTGGGGGGGGCTTAGGAACTGGGGGTTCTGGGGGACTGGCAGAGAGGGTGCTGGCCCTCCCCACCGCCTCTAACTGCATGGAGAGTTTGGAAAATGCTGGGGGTCTCCGGGGCAGGATGCAGCCACCCTCAACACAGCTACCCTTGGGATCTGCAGGTGCTCGTCTCTTCCTGCTCTGTCCACTGCTCAGCACCAAGAGATGCACTGAGCTGACCATGGCCCTGATGTGCTGCCCAGTGCTGCAAGGGCTCACCAGCCTCCCACGGAGACAAGCCGCCCCTCCCGGACAGGCTCCCAGGCAGACGGTGTCAGTGCACGGGCCTGGGTCAGGGCAGCGATCTAAGTCTGCATCCACATTCAGAGTTGAGACCGCAGGTGGGGTGCACCGCGGTGGGAGAATGTTCTGATATGGCGGGGGCCACCTGTACAGATGCAGAAGATGGGGGGGGCAGCAGGGGTCTTTCCAGGAAACCAAGCCGGCCACACCTCAAGGTTCTTCCTGTGTGAATCACCCTCCTACACACCCTGCAGTGCACCCTGTGCCATGACCCCCGCTCACCATCTGGAGGATCCCAAAGAAGGACATGAGGTAGCCGGCCTGGGCAGCCTCCAGCTGGAAGAATTCCATGGAGATGATGGAGAACATGATCATGAAGAGTCCTGAGCAGAGAGGGCAATGAGGGACATTTGGGTGTCTCCACACCCCTATCACAATGCTACCTCCTCCTGCTTCCTGGAAGGGAACCTCCCTTGTCAGTGAGGGTATCTGGGGCCCTGGTCAGTGGCTGGGCGAGTGAGGCTCTTCTCTGAGATTCTACCGGGATGCTGGCATGGAGTGTGGCCCTCTGGGGACTGCTGGGCTAGAGACCAGGAGCTGGAAAGGGAGACCCAGGCTAGCCATGTAAGCACACCTGACTCCAAAACCCGCAATGGCCTCCTAGTCCTAAAAGCCTGCAAAGGCTCCTTTCACTCAAGTGGGGGCTTGGGTTCTTACTGCAACTTACTGCAACTGATGTCCTAACTAGATGGGCAGATGGGAGGTGTGATGGCCACAGATCTCCATCCTCAGCCACCAGGCCCTGGATGCCCTTGGGGAGAGCAGTCTAGACTCACCTGAGGGGAAGCCAGAGGCCACCTTCACAAAGAACACAGGCCGGACGCTGGGCAGCAACAGGAGGCGGGTGATGGCCTTCAGGTCGAACATGCTGGGCTTGGGTGCACCTGATCACCCAGGGACAGGTCAGAACAGAGGGTGGCCCTGGCCTGGCTGCAGCTGTAGACCTCAGCCCTCCCTGGACACTCTGGCCAGAGAGGGAGCCGAGCACTCTCCACAGCCCCCTGCACCAGCAGGGTGGGCATGGGGCACTTTGTCATATTCCTACCAACCCCAGCCACCCTGAATTCTGCAAGGGGCTTGGGAGACACTGTGTTATCTCTGAGGTAAACTGGCCTGGAAGTCTTGATTCCCCCAACCAGGGCATCTACTCCCAGCCAGGCCAGGGACAAGGACAGGCCAGAAGGTGGCTATGCCCAGCAAAGCGTGCTTTGGCACCTGGGCACTTCCTAAGGTTGTGTTCTAGGTCTCCCTGCTGGGCGTGGCCATTCCCTCATCCCGGGATCCTCTCTGGTCCTCCCAGGCTCTGCTCCCCCACGGGACTAGCCCTGCCTCTCTCTCTCGGTCAGGCTATCATGGCTTCCTGTCCCAGATGGCTCTCAGGTTGGGGTCTACCCACCTCAGATGAGTTCTCAGCCACAGGGTTCTGCCATCTGACAGGTATCCTGGAGGGGATCCCTCTGAGGAGCCCCTCTGGCTCACACTGCCCCTGATCTGGCCCCCAGGTCTGCCCAGTGCTCTCTGGCCCTCACCCTCCCATCACTTTGGACTCACAGTCTCAGCAATCCTTCAGCCCCCTGCCCTGTGCTGTGTCCTTCCTGGCCTTCCCCAGGCCTGTCTAGCCCTGTGCCTAAGTCCTCCCTGGCCTTGGGCCTCCACCACTGACCACACCAAGCTCAGCTCCCCAAGTGTTGGCATCAAGAAGGGCTCAAAGGAGGCAGGGGGGGGGTGGCCCCAGCTGGGTGCCATAGTACCCATGCCCCAAGGCTGGAGCACACGCTGCTCAGCAGATGATAGGGAGGTGCCTTTGCAGGTGGATGTGGCAGGGTTACCTGGCTGGGCAGCCTGGGCACCACCACTGGCCCCTTTGGTGCTGGCAGGGATGCAGGTGAAGCTGAGGATTGTTCCCAGGACGTTGGCCAAGAAAGCTACAACGGCCGGACAGTGAAGCCTGCAGGAAGAATGAAGTGGGTTCCTGGGCATGGTCCTCAGCTTCCACAGATGCTCAGTCTCAGCCATCCAGGTCCCCCAGAGACCCTCGGGACACACTGATTAGATGACAGACAGAGGAACAGATGTGCTCTGGCCTCTCTGGCCTTCCCTAGGCTCCAAGGCTGGAGGTGACAGGACCCCAAGACTCTGAGCGGTGGGAGAGGTGTGGGGCTGGGTGGGCTGGACATGCCCAGGGCCAGGGTGAGCCCTAGAAGATGGCCCGGCATAGGTGGCCCTGGGGAAGGCCTGACTGCATAACAGAAGGGTCACATAGCCCCCTCACCAGTGATGACAGATGGGTCCCTCAGAAACTCCCTTCCCCTGGCCTAGGGGACCTGGCGATCCAGAGCCTCCGAGTCCTCTGACGCATGCTAAGGACCACCTTCCCTCCTGCCCATGACACTCTTGCCACCAGGAGTCACCAAACAGCTGGGACTCTCCAAGAGCAGGTCCTGTCCCTGGGGGACACAGACACTTGGAGCTGGCCTTTCTGACACTCACTGTTACCTCTAAAGCCCAAGCCGAGTGTGTCCCAGACGGGAGCAAAGTAGATGCATGAGCCAGGCTGAGGCCACTAAGCCGGACTGCCCACCTCCTTCTACTCACCTAGCAAGGGTCCTTTTCATTTAGGCCCTGGCCCTATTCCCCAGCTTGCCCCCAGTCCTCTGTGGGGGACTCATTTTACAAGATGGTCAGAGTCTGGGCCTGCAGGCAGATGGGTCTGAGGTGGACCCAGCACTGAAGGTCCAGGGTCAAATGTGAGAGCTGTTCACAGGACAGCCCAAGTTCTTCCAGACCTCCCCAGCATCTCCAAATCTGCCCTGATGTGGATCCTAAGGCATGATGGGTCAGGGTTCTGGGATGGCCCTTGAACTCCCAAACCAGGCCATGAGCTTCCAGTGCCCCTTCAAGGGGGCCATAGTCCTCCCTACGGTTGTACACACATCCACACATTCACACACACATGGACACACACACACACGCACCCCTTTGCCACAGTCCTGACTGAAACCTGTGCACATCAAAACAGAGGCCAAGCCTTGTCCAGCCTTGGCTTCTCAGCTGGGCTCCTGTGGGAGGGGTTCCCTGGGTCCATTTGCTGCCACCCCCACACACCCAGGGCAACTCTGCCCTCACGCCCATTGCCCAGGATATGGGGTATTTGGACAACTGCAGCCAGGGATCCTCAGGGATGTGCCCCTCCACTAACCAGCAGGCACAAAGGGACAGAGGGCACTGGACCCAAGTGAGGCCTCCTGGAGCCCCAGGGGCTGCAGGAAGTGATGCGGAACAAGGAGACACCCTCTGCTGGTGACTGGCCCCAGAGAGAAGGGCCTTTCTTCTGGACTCTGGCCTCTGCAGCCCAGACGTCACTGCTCAGAGCTGGCAAGACAGAGACAAAACCTGCTTTCTTTGCCAGATGCCCCGGAAGCGCCAAGAGCAGAGGCAGCCACTCAGATGGCTATTTTGGGAAGCTGGTGACAAGTGAGGGTAGGTGGCAGGGAGCCAGGCCCCTTCTCCTTGGATCTTGCCTGTCCCTTGAACGGTGGCCAGCAAACCAAGGGCCAGTGTTGCCCTGGGAAAGGTGGGTAGTGGGGCTGGGGGACTCTACTGGGGTTGAGGGGAGACTGAGCCCACATCTCCCCCAGAATCAAAGTCAGCTGCTGCCTGGGGAAGCCGGCGTCACTCTCTTCCCCCCAGCAAAATGAAATGCTGTACAAGGAACCAGAAGAGAAGGGAAATTCTCCCAGGGCGGCCTCTACCTCGGGGCCTCAGGGCACACACTTCTCCCTCAGAATTCCCTTCCAGCTCTGTGCCTCACTGCACAGCATGATGTCTTCCCAAGGGACTTTGTGCCAATGCACTGGGACCCAGTGGGTGCAGGGTGATACCGGACCCCAGGTGAGACTCCAGGTTGTGCCTGGATTTTTCTTTTCCTTTTCCTTTTTTTTTTTTTTTCCCATTTTGCACTTTTTAAAATAGACGGAGCCAAGGCAATACCAACAGGGATAGTGCAGTTTGTCTGTGTCCAACTGCCACCCCTTTCTGTTGTTTGAATAGATGGCCAGGCCCAGGAGTCCGGTCCCTTCTCCTTCTCTGGCTCCTCTGCTGGGTGACCTCATTTCCTCAGGTGCAAATGAGGGCTGGACTCAATCCTTCCCTCTTACCCAGAGCACCCCGGCCATCCTGGCATCCAGCCCATCCTATATCCTGCCCGCCAACTGCCCAGGGAGGCCTTTGGCACCTGTAGCCACACCTCGGGCAAACAGCAGAGGCAGTGATTGCTGTCTACCATCCTTATCTCCAGGGCCCAGTCTGTGACACCGTCAGCAGGGTGGCAGGTTGCCCTGGGCCTCTTCCACTTGGACTTTGCTCCCCCGTCCCTTTGCCCAACCAGGTCTGGGCTCCTGCCCAGTTCTTGGGTGATGATTCCTCACCAAACTGGCCCATTTCCCACTGGCTCTGAGCGGGGACAGTAGCTGCTGAGATGCCTGCTTCCAGAGCTAATCCACAGGCATGGCGAGGGCTTCCCGGCTGGGCAGTATTTTCTTGTCTAGCAAAAGGACGGGCTGGGGTTGCATGGGACTCTAGCTTCACAGGACCCCTGGTCTGTGAGGAGCAAGAGTAAAAAGCCACTGGACATCCAGCCGGGGACAGAAGTCACCCTGCTCCCCCTGGTCCATACCCTACAGTGCAGGGGTTAGAACCATGCCTGAAATCCAGAGACTACCCCTAACCGCCCTCTCCTGCTTCCAGGTCCCAAAGGCCTCTCCCCTCAACCTGTCCCAGCTGAGTGCCCCCCAGCCTCTATTACCCCACCACGCAGGGCTCTAAGTGGACTGCCAGCTCTCTCCTGCCCAGAGGCTCCACGCAGGCTTTTCTTCAGCCTACAGAACTGCTCACCCAGCTTCAGGCCATCCCATCTCCACTCCACCCTGTCCCTGGGCTCGCTGTCCTGTCTCTCTTCTCAGCACTCAGAGTCACAGTGGCTTTCTGTTCTCCCCCCCAGGCCTAGTTTTGGTCTGGTCACACAGTGGCATGACCTCAGTGAGCCGTGTGTTAGGCAGGTTGCCTGGCTGGCCCTGAGTCACTCTTGTCCCAAATCCTAAGCAGGAGAACTTGAATGTTCTCACTGACCTGCAGGGGAGCTGGAATGTGGTGGAGCATGCCTATAATCCTAGCATCCTGCAGGCTGAGACAGGAGGATCACTGCACATTCATTTGAGACCAGCCTGGACTACATGAAGACCCTGCCTCCAATAACACAAGTGAACAAACCAAAAAACCTCCATGGGAGCAGGCAGTGTTTGTGTCTGGGTGCAGAAACCTCTTCAGAGCAGAAGACTTTCTGTCCCTTGCCCAGATGCAATGGTGGGAGGTAAAGTCCCAGGGCTAGGGAGGCTCCTGTTCTGTGGCCTCAGGCACCGGGCACGGGTATGCTGAGTCGTGCCAGGCTCTGTAGGTGTAGCTCGGGGCTGGAGGTCACAATGGGCCCTTGGTGCCCAGAAGGGCCAGCAGGTGGCCACTCTCACGGGGTACCTGAGCTCCAGGGTCTGTGGCTGGATGCTCCCCCAGCCCGGCCCTCACATTCTCACCAGGCTGGCGGTCCCTGCTCAAATCTCAGCCACTCTGTGTGTACAGAAACTTCTGGGGCCTGAGAGCTAGGACGGCTGGGCCTGTGACTTGCTGCACGGCCAGCCGTGGCCCTTGCAGACAGGGAAGGTGGGTCTCCTCCAGCTCTGGGCATCGGAAAATCTCCCCATCTAGCAGCCTGCTCTGAGCCCTACGCCTCACCAGCCCATCCCTCTTGAGTCTGGCTAGTGCAAGCTCTAAGCAATCTGTCACCTGCGTATGACAGTGGCTGTAAGCCACATGCAAAGAAGCAGGTAATGCGCTGCATCCTTTGAATGTATTTACAGGCAGGTGGCACCTTGGGGCCATAATTTGCTAATCCTCGCTTCATGCAGTTACTGCTCCTGTCAGTAGCGAGGATCGCTTTCCTTTGATTCTCTCCTTCCTCTCCCCTTCCCTCCCGCCCTCCCTTCTCCTCCCTCTTTCCTTCCTCCCTTCCTTTCTCACCTCACTCTCTCTGCTTCCTCCACCCTTCTTTTCCCCCATCCTCCCTCTCCTTTTATCTTTCTTTTTCACCACTGGTGATTGAACTCAGAGCTTTCTCACTGAGATACGAGATACACCCCCAGCCCTTTTTTATTCTGAGACAGGGTCTCACTAAGTCACTGGGCTTGAACTTGTGATTCTGCTGCCTCTGCCTCCCAGAGAGCTGAGATTGCAGACATCTCCCACCACACCCAGATGCTGAGATTTATTTCTACATAGTTTGGCTTCTTCCCTGCCCCTTGGCATTGAATTTGGATGCCTAATAGTGTTTTAAACCCAACATGTCCAACGCCAAGCCCTGGTCACTCCTTCTCCTCATCTTCTAGCTGCTGCAGCCAAAACCTAGGGTGCTCCTTGACTGTCACATCCATCCTCAGCAAGTTCTATCGGTGCCACCCTCAGTGGATCCAGTCTGACTCTTTCAGGCTTCAATGGCCCCTCCCTGGCCTGGCCTCTTTCCTCTACTTCCCCACCCCAGTCAGCAGCCTCAGTTTCCCATAGGACCTGCAGCCATGCTGCACCCATCCGCCAGCCCATTCCCCAAAAGTAGGCACCTTATTACCGATGTCACTGCAGCCCCACTATCCCCTTGCTCAGTGCTAGCCACCGGGACACTCAAGCAAAGGTAGAGTCCTCCCTATCCCCATCGCCCCTCTGGACCTGTGCCTTCCCACTGGGCCATAGTCACCCAGGTCCCTTGCGCCCTCTTGAATAGGCTAGGATATCCTGTCCACAGGCTCGGTCCCAGCTGCTGGGCCCTCATCTCATGAGGACCCAGAGAAAGAGTTCCACTCCATCCAGCTGCAGGGGGCCTGAGATGCACCTCACAGGGGCAGGCATGGGACAGGGCTTGATAAACCTGTGCTGGGTGGTAGAGGCCCCTCCCCTAGTCCCAGGATCTGAGATGTTGGGGTTCTGGACAGTGAGTCACAGAGCCATCCCACCTGCTGGCATGTGTGCTCAAAGTGGCTTTGGGCTCCCTCTATGGGCAGCCTGGCTTCCCAGCCCGAGGCTGGGCCCAAACCAGTTGTACTAGTACCTGCCCCCGCAGGCCCAAGTGCCAAACTCACTTCCTCCTCCCACCTGCTGCCTAGGTCACTGGGGTGGGCACAGCTGAGAGCCTTTCAGGGGGATGTGACATGCAGGCATGGGCACAGAGGGTGCAGCCCAGGAGACCTTCACATCATTAATTTCTCTCTGAGAGGTGGAGGAAGCCTGGCAGGCTTTGGGCCCTCAGGCTGCTTGAGGGTGCTGGCCCTTGCCATGGGGCATCCGGGCCCTGGAGCTACCTCCTCTGGCCACCTTGCTAATCAGACCAGGCCAGTGCTCAGCTGTGCTGGCCTCAAAAGCAGTAGGGGTGAGGCAGTATGACTCAGGGTGAGGTCTGGGGTGGACACAGCTTTCAACAGTGTCCCTCTAATGCTTCTCCCACTGCTCTGGGCACCCAGCTACAAAGGGCGAGGGGGTCAGCTTTGGCCATGGGGGAGTTCCAGTGGTCCCTGCCTTGGGTATGCAGCGGAGACCCCAACTCTACTTTACATACAGTCCCAGGCCTGGGTCTTGAACAGCCCCCTCTCCTGGGCCTCAGTTTCTTCCCCATTGGCGGAAATACTGAGTTCGGCCTGAAATCTATAAACGTGGAGGTTATGAAGGGGCTCAGATCTAGAAATGAAAGGAGGCCAAGGGGCCCTGCTCCTGCCGCTGCCCGCCGCACACTCTTGCCCTGTTCTGCAGCATCGGGGAGCCAATAGGGGAGGCGGGCCCATTCACAGGGGAGGGACCCCACCTTGCCCAGGACATCAGGTGTGTGACCCGAGGTAAGCCTGTCTGTCTGGACTCACAGCCCATGAATGGAGTAGCATCCCGGGAGGCTCCTGCACTCAGCACTGCAACCAGCTGGTGCCCCCACCCGCAAGCTCTCTGCACTCCATCCCGGAGAGATGGGGGCTCCCCAGCTCTTGTCCCCCGTAGGCCTCTCCCCATCATCAAATCCCAAAGCTGCCTCCCTCCAGGCCTTCTCTGTAGCTTTATCAGGGGTGCCCCAATATGTAGTATCCTGACTGTGCCCCCAGGGGCCCTCGGCATGCACTGCTCAGCTCCTCTTTCTGTTCCACAGATCCTCCCCACCTGGACATCCCACCTGGACACTTCTGCTCCCTCTCAGCACATTTCTCAGCTTACGGTCTGGCCTGAGTCCCTCCAGCCGTCACTTGGGCCTCCTCATGCTGCACCCAGGACCTTTGCACATGCTGTCTCTCTGCTTCCTCTCATCTGCTTCAAGTCTACTCAAACACCATCACAGGGTACCTGGTGCCCACCTGCCTATCTGGTTTATTCCTTGTTATATACTACTTGTTCCAATCTGAAATTACAGCAACGCCTTTCACTCAAGGGACATGCTATGCTCCGTACTACCTTACAACCTAGAATCTCAGGGGCACTGAATCGATAGATGCTTAATAAACGTTAGTGAGCCATCAAATCCAGGCTCAGACACAAATGGTAGGAGAAGCTGTGAGATCCCTCCCTGCCAGTGATCTCCTTGCAAAGAGGAAGGTACCGAAAGGAAGGTTCAGCCAACACCCCAGCTGCCTCACTATCGCTGGGGCACTGGGGAGTCCCCAGGGGAAATCAGCCCCTGCAGAATCCAGGGATTGGCAGTGATCATCCAGGACTCTCCAGTCCAGAGGAATCCGGGGTGCAGGACAGGGCCTGGGATGAGCCCCATGTGCAAAGCTGGGAATGAACCCATGAATACCCTCACCAGTCTGCAAGTTCTTAACAGGACGCGATTTCAGAGAAGAGGACATGGGTATGCCCCGCTGACAGGCGACTCACAGATCCTCTCCTGGCTCCCACTGGGCAATCAGAAAGGGGTCCCTGCCATGATGCCCTCTCTGGGTCAGAGCCACCTTTGAGCCTCCTGGCAGGGCTGGGAAGGAACAATACCTAGCTGAAAGCACGGAGAGGTGAGGCTGAGTAGCAGGACGGCCCAGTCCACGGGTGGCCGAGAGCCTCCCCAGCTCTGGCCCATCTGGGCAGTTGGGAGACACCAGCGCAAGGCCGTGACTCTCGCTTCCTGTCTGGCGCACTGTGTCAGGGCCCCACCCACGTGGCAGGCTGGACCAACCCACTCCGCCTGCAGATGGGGAAACTGAGGCGCAGGGAAGTAGTGGGCTTGGTAGCTCACACAGAGCACAGAGCGATGCAGAACCAGTTAGGATGACTGGTACCGCCCACCCTGGTCCTTGCTCTGGCCACTCACCCGCACCAGGTGCTCAGGGTCCCGCCAAGCAGGGAGCCGAGGATGACACCAACGCCAAAGCAGAGGCCGAGCCGGCCCAGAGCCGCAGGCCGTTCCTCGGGCGCAGTCAGATCAGTGATAACCATCTGGGCGGCTGCGGGCGGGCGGGATGGGATCTGAGCGGCTGGACCGCATCGCAGACTCCGGAGCAGACCCAGATCCAAGCTGAGGACAAGCCAGGGCCTCATATCTCCCCCTGGATCTGCCTGCCCCGGGGTAAGTCCCCAGCACCCCTATCTGCCAATCCCAAATGCCCCTCTACCCCAAAGCCTGCTCCAGCTCACCCCTGACAACCCCCTCCTGAAGCCACACACGGAGCCCAGGTGGTCGAGTCCCCACCCCCGCCCTGCCGCCCTCACCCTCTACCTGGCAGCGAGTGCATGAGGGCTGAGGGCAGGCGGGAGATGAAAAGCAGGAGGATGCCGGGCAGGGCTGGGCTGCAGGCTGCTGCCAGGAGCAGGTAGAAGGCAGAGGCCGCCAGGAAGGACAGCGAGAGCGCTGCCCGCGCCCCGCTGTGGTCTGCAAACCTGGGGTCACCGGACTGGTCAGAAACCTGGGCATCCCCAGGTAGGGTCCCCCTCCCCATGCCCAACTCTGGGGCTGGAGGAGCAGGACTGAGGGGGAGGATGGGCATACTGTGGTGGCTGGGAAAGGCAGGGCCCCTGCTGGCTGCAGAGCCTCCTGGGGCAAACCTCTGAAAGCCTCAGTTTCCCCATTATCCATGTGGGACTGTGCAGGTGTGACTTTGGTGAGCTGGGGGTATCCAGCCCTGGGGGGCTGGCAACCCCTATGGAAATAACAGTGGAATGCTAAGGGCCAAGCGGGGCTGCTGTCCTTAAGGAAAACACAAGGTCAAGCCTGTGAGGTCCCTCTGCCTCAGACATGCCTGGCCACGTTCCCCTGTGCGGCTCTGTGGCAGTGAGGCTGGCCAGAGGACGTCTGCTGTCCTGTCTCTAGCCCAGAGCTCCTGCAGCACTCAGGTCCAGGAGCGCTCCTGCAGGACCTCCAGAATTATCTTTGCAGTAAAGCTGGTGGTGGGGCTCCCCGCTCAGTGCGTTGGACATGGCAGCTATAAGATCTTTGCTTATCTCTTGCCACAAATCACAATTAGTGGCTACCGTGGGCTGGGACAGTTGAGTGCCTAGAAGAGGTCAGAGCCCTTCTGCACATCATCTGCCTGCCTGAAAAGGAGGGGCTGCCACTTCATGGGGTCCACTGGCAGGGAAGCTGGCAGGACACCTTCTTGGGGGGGGGCAGATCATCATGGATCGAGGGGTACACAATCTCCTTTCCCACCGTACCTGCCAAATAGAGGTCCACCCAGCAGCTGAAGCACCCCGAAGGTGGTCTGCAGGTAGCCAAAGGTGACAGAATCCAGGCCCAGTCTTCGGGACAGATACTGAAACACATTTAGGGGACAGGGGAAGAATCCGAAGAGGGCGGAGATGAGAGAGAGCACAGGGCATGGCCTCTGATGTTCGTGGGCCAGTATAGCCTTTGGAGGGGTCCCTCCCACAAAGGCACAAAAACTCCTGTCTGATCCTAAGGGGGGTGGTGGTCCCAAGAGGCTGCTGACCCCCCTTCTGCAGGACTTGAAATGTCTACAACTCTACAACTTCATTCAAGTTTCATGGGAAGACCATAGCATTGTCCTGGCCAAGAAGAGCTTGTTCCTGAGCAGCTTCATGACCCCACAGGAGGTGGCCCGCTGCCCAGTCCTCAGCCTGTCTCGGGAGGATGCAGGAGGGAGAACAGGGCCATGAAGGTGTCCCTCCAGAGAAGAGAGAAGTCCCTAGGTCCCCAGGCCCCAATCCCACCCTGCCCACATTCTCTGTGACTTTAATGCCCCCATCTGAGTACCTTATCTCTCCCTCCTGTGATCCTACCTATTATGACTGAAATATGTCTCCTCAAATTCCTAAGTTGGAGCCTTGACCCTCAGCACCTCAAAATGTGACGTTAGTTGGGAACCGGGTCTCCACAGAGGTACTCAGACTAAATTAGGATTCCAACATGGGCCCAATCCCATGTGGTAGCTGTCTTTCAGGAGGGGAATGTTGGACACAGACACAGATTATGAAAAGAAGTAAGAAGACGAAGTAGAGACTAGAGAGATAAAGCCACAAGCCAAGGGATGTCAGGCCTACAGGAGGTGGAGGAGGAGGAAAGACCCTTACAGCACCATCGCCACTGGTCTCAGAGAGAACTCAGCCCAGCCACACTGATCTTGGGCTTCCAGTCTCCAGAACCTTAAGACAGTGAGCTCCCTCATCTCACACCTGTCCCTCCCCAAAGCTCCCCACCCCTGCCCATGTGGCTGGAGTCCCAGGGACCACCGGTAACCTCTTGACCCCCTATCATAGACTCTCTGCTAATCGTAACCCTAAGGCTTCATCCTGGAAACTCTAACTGGGGGAGCCTGAACCCTGTCTGCTGGTCTGTGGACTTGACACCCCAGTCCTCTCTCCTTCCTCTCCTCGGATCCTGCTGTACTCCATCTTCTCTCTCCGAATTCTCCCCCTCCTTCTCCCCTCCCCTCCCCACCTCTGCTGCTGTGAAGAGCTGAAATCCCACCCCAAACCCACCTACCTGATTGCCCTCCCCTTGGGCATCCTCTCACCCTCTCACCACCCCAAGGACAGGGCTCCCCAAGCTCCTCTCCCGTCTCTCCCCACAGTCCCTTCCTGGGGCTCCCACCATGCAATGCTCACTGCCCTGCAGCCTGTGGCCGGAGCAGGACGTCTAACTGCTGCGCTGCTCCCCGCAAGCAGCCGGCCCAGGGCGGCTCCTACTTCAGTGACGTCTGCTTCGGTAGCTCCTCCCTCCTCCGTGGCCCTGAGCTCCATACTGTCATACTGTCCTGGGCCCCCCACCTGTCTCAGTCACCCCTGTGCATTCCTCTTGCTGACTCTGACCTCAAGCCTAGCCTCATGCCAGGGACGGTCTTGCCAGTGGCCACACTAGAGTCCCAGACCTCTGTCCTAGGCTTCCGGCACACTCCTACCTGCAGCCTTGCACCATCTGAAACTCAGATCTGGCCTGCTGTCCTCCCCAGCTGGCTCCTCTTAGAGCTGGCTCTTCCCCATCCTTCCCAGGGTGCAGGCCCAAGTGCCTAGGATCACCCCTCCTCTTCTAACATGCTCCCATCCAGTTCATCAGCAGCACACTGGGACCCCAGGCACTTCTCATTTCTCCCCAAGTCACCACCATCCTGGAGTCCTAGCTTAGCCTTTGGTTGATGTGGCCCTCTCTGCCTTGAACTGTTTTTTCTCTACCCCAGGACCTTTGCACTAGCTGTGCTTCCCTAGTATCCTTTGAACCTTTGCTCCAATGTTAACTTCTCAGCGGGGTCTTCCTGACCCCAAAACTGCCTCATGTCCTTGGGCTCTCAGGCCCCTTGGCCTCTCTAACATTTATTTTTCCACTGCACAGTCTAACCCTGAATTATGTTTTTAGTGACACCACTCATGCAGTCCCAAGGGTGCACATGCTTGCCTATTCCTGCATCAGGGCTGTAAGTGAGAGAGGGACAGTCACCACTCTTCTATGACAAGGAGGCTCAAGCGTCTGCCTAGGCTTGGAGGTCATCTGCAAGGTTTGAGCTGGGCTTGGGAGGAACAGTGGGGAGAGGTCCCAGGGCTGGGCAGCCTGGCCTCGCTCCCTCACCCAGATTCCCGGGCCTGGGGGACACACAGGCTCCTGGCCTGGCCGGACTTTGCATGGCCGGGGCTTGCGGAGGCTGCAGACTCACTGGGCCTGTTTCTTGGTGATGTGGGACTTCGTTTCCAGGTGTTCCTGGCCTTCGACTTCTGAGAAGATGTGAGTGAGAATCTGACCTCACTCAGGGCCTCTGTGAAGCTCTGGGTTCTGCTCAGCCTGGCCTGCTGACCACCCTGGGGGTCAAGGCCCATTCCATGTGGGCCCCAAGTGCAGCACAGAGTATGTCATTAAGCCTGAGCCTATGGAATCTCCAGGGAGACTTTTGGAGGTCATCTGCAGTTGAGCAAAATGGTGCATGCTTGTAATTCCAACTACTTTGGAGGCTGAGGCAGGAGGATCACGTTTAAGGTCAACTTGGGAAACTAAGGGAGATCTTGTCTCAAAAAAAGAAATGGCTGTGGTCCTTTGCCTCAACAAGACTAGACAGAAAAGATCATTGGGCTGGGAGAGGCTTTAAGTTTTCCACACTTCCCTGGGTTGTTGTCCATGTAAGCTGAGACCCTAAGGGCCAGTTCCAAAGATGTTTGTTGAATGAATAAACAAAAGTAAAAAGGGAGATTGAACTGAAGGTAGGTGGGTACCAGCAGCCAACAATGACTGCTTACTGGGCTTCTGGGAGCCAGGCTGGGTTCAGGGAACTGGTTGGATCAAGTCCCTGCCCTCACATTCCAATGGGGGAGAAAGAAACTTTTTTTTTTTTTTGAGGTAGCGTCTCACTATGCAATTTAGGATGGCCTTGAACTCACTGTGTAGCCCAGGGCGGCCTCAAACTCTGAGTGATCCTCCTTCTTCAACCTCCCAAGTGCTGGGATTACATGAAGGCGTGCGCCACCATGCCCGGCCAGGAGAGCGAAACTTAACAATAGTGAGAACACACAAAATAGGATACACAGGCAAGCAGATCAGGAGTGAGGAAATAGGAAGCAGGATGAGGTGTGGTGCCCGGCAGCTGCAATCATGGAAGGCTTCTGGAGGGGGCACCGGCTCAGAGGCCTGTGCACAGCCTGGCCAAGAGCTACACAGGTGTCCGGCAGAGGATCAGTTAGGGCAAAGGGTCCCGGGTGGAGGTCGAGCAGAAGTGACAGCTCCAGGGCTGCTGCTCCGGGAGGGCGCTGGGGCTCCCGGAGGTGTTCCTGGGGTGCCTGGCAGCCAGAGCAGTGGACATGCAATGAGGGTTGACTCAGCATCCTTAATGTGCTCAGCTCAGGGGGGCTGTGGACTCCAGCAGGAGGGCTCCCTGCCCCATCACACCTCCATCAGGAGATGGACAGTGGCAGAGACTTGGGGGCCGCTGGCCGGGTGCGGGGCTACTCACCGGCAGGATGGAGAACTGCATGAAGAGGCAGGTGAGCTCCACGGCGGCCAGCAGGTAGGTGAGCAGGATGACACCCTGTCGGCCCACAGCGCCCAGCCTGCTGGGGGACTGGTGGGATCTGGGGACCGCAGCTCCCTGCATCCTGGATGGGCTCCCGAGAGAGGCCTGGGAGAGAGGGAACTGACCAGGAGGCTGGCAGAGCCTGGGGAGCAGACAAGGGGCAAAAGTCGTGTTGGTCTGGACAAGGGTGCTGAGTCACCAGGCTGGAGGCCGGCGGCGCCCACGAGAAGACAGTGGGAGAGGACAGACCCTTCCCAGCCTCTCCAGCGCCCTGCACTTGGGTCAGCTGCCCTCCCCCAGCATCTGACAAGTCCTGGTCTCCCCACCAGAGGAGGAGGGGAGACAGCACACCCCCCCAACCAAGCGGAAGCCAGCTCAGTCTGCAGGTGTCCCATTTTAGAAGGAAACCCGGGCCGAGAGACTGCGGCTCAGGTGGCGCCTTGTAGGAACGTGGAGCTGACTGGGGCTCCGTGCAAGTGGCCTTCTTAGTCCTACTGTGGTGTCCTTCGCTTGGGATCTGCAAAGCGCAAGGGGCCTCTAGTGCTACTGGGCTGGGGCCTGTCCCCCACAACCGGCGGCAACACGATTCTGCAGTAGCACTGAGGTCGCCCACGTTTTGCCAGTGGCCACCTGATCCACAGTTGGGGACCGGCTGGGGTGAGGTGGGCCGGGCCGGGGCGGGGCGCCAGCACGGAGAGCCGCGGGAGCTGCCAGCACCCTGCCCATTCTCCAGTGCTGGGTGGCCTGGGAAGCGGGCCTCCCGCACACTCTTCGGGGGTGACTCGCTGAGACTAGCTGAGCCGAGGTTCGCCCGTGGCGGGGGTTCAGGACCCAGGGCTGGACGCGTCGGGTTGATCTCCAGTACCTGCTTCCACTGGACAGACTTGCACTCTGGTTGTCGTGGGGTGAGCCCTCCGGGAGACTAGGTGGCTAGTATATCTGCCCTTCCGGGGGGAGGCCCGGCCCCGCCCTTTTGGGGGTGACTCAGGATGGGCCCGCCCCACTCTCGGTTGGTCCCGCCCCCGGCTGGCCCTGCCCGCACCTCGCGCTCTAGTTTTGGGAGTGCCGGAGCTTTGACCTCTGCTCACTCATTGGCTGCACCCAGCTCGCCGCCCCCACAAAGACTTCGCCCACCTCTCCGCCCACTGCCCGCCCAGGCACTAGGCTCCTGCAGGCCTAGGGGCCGAAGGAAGGCGGAGCATGGGACCGAGGAGAAGAAAAAAGCAGAAGCAAGAAGAAGGAGGGAGACCCTGGTCTGGCCGGGTGCCCCCCAAAGGGCCTGCACTGCTGCGAGGAGGGACAGGGGGCGCCCTGCTGGGCGCCTCTTCAGATCCCTCCGCAGTCCACGAGCTGCTGAGGACTACCTGACTAGCTTTGCCCAGTGTTATCCTGCTGCCATGTCCCCATACCATTGCCCGGGGTCACCGGCTATGCATGCTACACAGGTACATGAGACCTCATCTCGCTCCCACGCCAGCCCTGCTGGAGCCCGTGGGAGCACATAGGGCCCCCCGGGTCAGTTGGTCCAGGCCTCGCACCCTTCTCAGAGTTCTCCAGAGAGTTGACGGTTGCTAGGTAACCAAATGCTCATTGAGAACGTGGCCAAGTGTCAGGACCACTGTCCCGCTTCCATGTCTTGATCTCGGCTCAGCGGCAGCGAAGGCAGGACCCTGGACTGGAGAGAGGAGCAGAGCCAGGTAGCCCGAGGTCTGCAGGCAGGGCCATGATGTCCCCAGGGACGTCTGTTCACAGGCACAGTGCACAGTGGGAGGAAGGGTCCAATCAAACAGTGCAAATGGGGGAAAGATGTCCGCATAGGAGGAGGGCCGGTCCCAGGTCCTCTGCCCAGCTCAGTCTCCCTTCTCCCCTATATGTGAGGGGGATGGGTCTGCCCAGAGTCCAGAGCCAAGGCAGGCCCAGCCAGGTGTCTGGGAAGGATGCACAGAAGGGCTGGTCTGGGAGGAGAAGAGTCTGGGAGACCAGAATCTCAGGGTGTCTCCCATTCAGGAGCCCTGGGGGAAGACTGGAGCTCGAGATGGCTCTGTGCTCCAGGCAGGGGTGAGGAGTTGTCCCCAAGGAGTTCTGAACTCCCTAGGACTGACTGGTCAGGTTTCCTCACCAGCCTAGCCAGAGGTTGGACCATCACTGGCTCCCAGGACCCTTGGGCAGGGCTTGGAGGGTGAATATGCAGGAAGGGGTTGGGTGAGCCACGGAAACTGCCCAGAGTCTGGCAAGGGAGAACTGGGATCCCCTGGATTCCTGGGATGGAAGGAAGGCGCCACTTACCATGCTCTCCCTCTGGTGCCAAGCAGGGGTGGCAGGGAACTGGTTGGGCAGAAGAAATCCTAGCTTTTGTTTGTAACATGAATGGTTCAGTAGGGGTGGGGAAACTTCCTGGTTGTGAGGGACTGTGGAAAATTTCCCTTCTGGCTGGAAGAGGAAAGAGAAGCACTGGGAACACTGGACCCTTAGACTAACCCTTAGACTTCCGCTTCTAGAGGAAGTAGCTTTGGCTGTGGGCCAGTGCGACCAACCACTCATGTGGCCACTCAGCAAACCTCTGCATTTTCCCAGGGAAAATTTCTGCTAGGGAGACTGACCACAAGCTTAGCTCCAGCCTGGGTGTTCAGGAAACTGGGAACAGTGGAGGGGCTGGGGCACGAGGTATGGGGGTGAGGTGGGACAGACATCCAGTGTGGAGGTCCCAGAGGGGCTGGAACTATAGGATGGGGCCACGTGTCCTAGGCAGGATCTCCTCGTCTGCTGCATGCTGGGGCCAAGGTTCCTGCCCACACTACCAGGATGGAAGACTAAGGCTGTAAAGCACCTTAGAAACACTGACCACCAGGGGCTGGGGATTTAGCTCAGTGGCATAAGCCCCTGCCTTGCAAGCATGTGGTCGTGAGTTTGATCGGGTACCAGAAAAAAAAAAAAAAAAAAAAAGAAAAGAAAAAGAAAGAAACACTGACCATCTACTGTGCGCAGGTCCTGTGCCAGGCCCTGACCGCCCTCCCCTGGTCTGTCATAGCATGTGTGTAGGGGGGAGGTGACACACACCCATGGCCCCTGTGGGACTGACACACAGTGAGCACGCTGATGGATGTGAGTGTGCTGATTTGTTAACATGCCTGCTGCGAGCACTGTGTGCACCTGGGTCCTGGCCACCCTGTGTCCCAGCGGGGGCTGGTGCTGGCGTGCTCATGCCTGTGATGGGTGCCACATGCAGGCAGGCTTCTGTCAGGGTCCAGGGGACAGGGACTGGGATGCGGGTCCACTGGAGGAAGCAAGGCACAGATTCCACTCCTCTCTGCGGGAAGGAGCCCCCCTGGTGGGTTGTGTGTATGCAGAGAGATTACTTGGCCATTAGCCACAGGGATAACTGGGGTAGAGAGCAGGGGCAGAGAACAGGGCTTAAGGTTGCTGTGTTGTTGGGGGTGGGGTGGAGCTGAGGTCCAGGAGAGGACAGGGTGCCCGTAGCCTGGGCTGTGGGCTGAGCTGCACACGTGGAGGTGACATTCAGGATCCCACACAGGAGAGATGATTCAGAGTTGAGGGGACCAAGAGCAGAGGGGTCAGGGCCAAGTCCGCACCCCACACAGGAGGAGGCCCCTGGGAATGGCCAGGGAGGGGAACTGCAAGAGCTGGGCCCAGGAGCGGGGTGGAGGCTGGGAGCTGTCTGTTGAGTTTCGAGCCCGGAGGTCACAGATGACTCTGATGGAGCTCTGTTGGCCAAAAGCTGGGGGAAAGGGCAGCGGGGGGTGTGCACAATTCCTTTGAGAAGTTTTTGTCATGAAAGAGAGCCAAGAAATGGGAGAGTGGCTGGTGGCAAATGGAACAGAGACATATGCGCTTAAAAGTTTAGGATTTTAAGAATATGTGACCCTGCAGTGGGGAGAGGGGCGCAGGGGTGCCCCTGGAAGGCGCACGCACCTGATAACGTCTCCTTACTATCCCTGAAGACTCACCTCAAATGTCACTTCTTCAGGAGCATCCACCGGTTTCAGCAGTGCAGGTCCTGGTATGGCCCTGGCTTAGCTCTGGCCATCCTCTGCCCACACGCTCCTTTCTGGTGTGAATGTGGCCATGCAGCTTCAGATCTTGGCCAGAAGGAGGCACATGGACCTCGATCCAGTCCACTCAGGGTGCTCAGTTCCAACCCCTACACTTGATAGTGATCTGTCCTGAGAGACACATAGCATTGTAGGGTGTGGGGTACCTGAGCCTGCTGTGGACACTTCGGGGGGCCTAGCCTCAGTTTCTTCCTCCATCTTGAAGGCCATCACTTGAATCTCGGATTGTGGGTCCAGTATTCCCTGATCCCAGCCTAAGGCCCATAGATGCCTCAGGGGGATGGCAGGCAGGCGGGGTTGGGAGTTTGGGGAGTCTGGCTTCTAGGAGAGGGGCCTGGGGCTAGATCTTGTCGTCTTAGCAGCAAGCTGGTTTCGGACCCATCTGTGGCTGGGCTTTAGGCCGCAGCCTGGCTCTGGCCCTGTTAGGCTGAGGTCCACCTTGGGTACTGATGTGCAGGTGGGCCTGGTGGTAGAGCACCCCGGTGGCCTAGCCTTGGGCTCCGATGTGGTGGGACATGCCTCTTGCACTCCAGGGGCTCGTGCTAGCTGGTGGCTACACATGAGAGGGAAAAGGCTTTGCCGGGAGGTGTATGTCAAGCTGCATGGAGGAGGTGTCCAGTGTGAGGCAGAAGACTGCAGACCTTGGGAGCTTTTGGGGGAGGCCTGGAGCGCGGTCTGAGGGAGCCAATGAGGACTGTTGGTCACTTTCCCCTCTCTGATCCTTGGAGGCTAAACAGAGTCTCTGGGGGCTTGTCTTCAGAGACCCAGGCCGTTTTGTTTTCCACTGGGGCAGCTGACCTGGCATCGCAAAGGGAACGAGCAGCTCTCTGCTGTGTTCCTCTCTGAGCACCCTGGACTGGCCGGGTGAGCCTCCGAGACACCCACGGGCGCCCCTTTTGTTCTCAGATGTAGCTGCTCGGCTCTGGGCCCTGTATCTGCATTCCTACTGGATTTGGAGTGCACAATTACAAACCAAGGCAGCCTGAGCGGGCCCTGGCCAGGCACCCTGCCGCTGGTGCCCACTATGCTGTCTCCTCCGCCTGGAACATTTCTCTCACCAGCTAACCCCTTCCCCGCTGTGGGGTTCAGAACGAAGTGCCATGCTCAAAGCTCTGCTAGTCCCATACCCCATCAGGCAACTGGCCCTTTGCCTCTTGCATTTGTCTACTCTGCTGCTTTGAGCACTGATTTCTCTTCCCGTCCCTCTGCCTGGAAGCCCATGAAGGGGCAGGGCACAGGAAGATGCTTCCTGAGTAGATGCATGGACAGACAAAGATCTGGACTGCAAACCCTTGGTAATGCCGAGGAACCATGGATAAAACCCAGAAAAGGCTCAGCACTGGCTTGACTCAAAGTCTGGTGTCCCCCAGGGAGAGGACAGTGGAAGTTGGGGCTTAGCAAGATCTTAAAGCCCCCAGCAGCCAGCATGCATACTGGGATTTCGTGTTTAAAACAGAGCCCGGAGGTGACATGCAGGGCTCAGCAGTCCACGCCTACCAGGTTAGCTTTACTAGTACAGGAAGGGTCTTGTCCTCATGAGTCAGTTTTCCCATCTGCTAAGCGGGGCTGACACTACCTGCCTTTAGGTACTTGCGGGGATTCAGTGAACTCATTCGTACATAAGGAGCCTGGCACATGGCTGCTGGCACAGAGAAGGTGTGCTACCAGCAACAGCTGGGTGCTGACCACTAGGAGGAATGGTCTAGGTTCACATAGAGCCCAGGGCAAGGGGGGCCACCCAGAGTCACCTGGTCAGTATCCCACACTGTCTGAGATGCTCGGTGCATAAATGACCTGTCTTTCTGCCTCCCAGGTGGCTGGGGAACTGTGCCTGGCTGTGGGCTTTCATGGGGGTCTGAGTCTCTCCCAGCCCTGTCCCTGGGCTCACTGTGTTATATACAGCAGCAGAAGAGCTGGCACCAGGACTGTGCCCTGCCTGCTCCTTTAGATTGGTGGGGCAGACAGTGGAGGAGAAGAGGGGCAGCCATGCCAGTCACTTCCTGCCTATTCAGCCTCTAAGCCTCATTTCAAGCCTCCCAAGTGAGAAAGGAGAGGCACAGAGAGGGTAAGAGACTTGTCCAAGGACACATAGCCAGTAAGAAGCAGTGGTTCCACCCGACTCCAAAGCCCTCAGTGCCCACCCCTGCTACTATCTTGTCCCTCCTGCTGGCTGAGCAGTGTAGAACCTTTCTTGAACAGTCCTCAAGAAGGACCAGTCCAGGCTGTCCCTCCCTGGACTTTTGTGTTTATAACAGAGCCTGAGGGTGACATACAGGGCTGCACAGTCAGTTTTACTGGGTCAGTAGCTTCGTACTTTACCAGTGTGGACAAGGTCTTGTCCTCTTGAGCCCCAGTTTTCCCATCTGCGTGAGGGGCTCTGAGTCACAGAGTGAAAGTGGCCTGCCAAGGCCCCTGCAGGTGTGAGCTGCAAACCCGGAGACAGTGTGGTCAGAGGCTGCCCCACCCACCCCAGAAGGATGGGCGGCTGTGCTCCTGATCTACACCAGGGGGCAGCAGAGGGCCAGTATTAGGCTGTGATGGTGGTGGGGAGGTTTTTACCCTGGCGGATCTGCCGGTGGAAGAGAGGAGGGGCGGGTTCTGTTGTCTGCTGGGCACGCTGAGCAGCCCTTGGCCTGCCAGGGACAGGGAGGTCTGGTCAGGAAGAAGCCAGCTTTCTGGGTCTGACAAACTGCTCTCACCTTGAAACTCAGCTGGGTGGGAGGAGGAAGAATGAAGGGATGGAGTAGTAAAATCCCGACCACGCAGCGCAGTGCGAGGGGGCGGAGCCTAAGGGCAGGGGCTGCTTCCTTCATCTTCCTCGCCTTGCTAAGTCCGGCCTCAGTCTCCTGCCCAGGGACGTCAAAGGATCGAGGTCACACACTGTGTAGCAAAGGCATCACCGATGTATGAGATAAAAGTCTTTCCCAGGGCCCAGGAAGCCCCCTTTCACCCTCCATCCCAGCAAGCATGGGATTGAGGTCGCTGTCACTACAGACTGTGCTGAAGGGCAGGACTGGGGTGCGGTGGGGCATCCCTACTCTCCGTTTCAGGCAGATCCTAGGCTTCTCTGCACACTGTTTGACATGAGTACTGGAGTTGGTGGCTTGGAGGGGCCTAGGGTCCCTGTTGCACCCTGTGGGTGGGAGATACTGCTTCATGGGTCTCTACTATCTCTGACGAGTGTGTGTGTGTGTGGGGGGGGTGCTGGAGGAAGAAGTCTGCTCTCACTAGATTTGTTTTTATGCTGCTTCCCTGGCAAAGTGAGCAGGGCCACCAGGGACCCCCTAATCTTGTATCCTGAGGCTGGGAAGAGGGAAGGAGGGGGGGAGGGGTGGGAGAGGGGGAGGTCTCAGAGCTGCCTAGAGAGGGTGTGAGACACAAGTCCCCACTTGCCCTGTAGACCCCTCTCCCCCACCCCTGAGAGGCCAGTCTGGAGCCTAGGGCACACAAGTGCCCTGGGACGCTTGGCCGGGGTCCCCCTCCTCCCTCTGAGAAGGGGCCCCAGCACGTGTCCGGACCAGCCCCTGTCCGCGGGGGTTCCTTGTTCTCGCTGATCTTCCCCGCCCATTCCTGGGGAGTGAGGACCCCCGACCTAGACCGGAGCACAAGGCAGCCCCTGTAATCCGAGCTGGAGCCCCGTGCGGCCACGGGCCGCGTCACCGGAGGGAGGCCGACACCTTCGGAGGACGTGCCTGGCAGCAGCTCGAGAACAGCGCGTCCTGGGAGGGGCGGCTGGGGCGGGGCGAGCCGGCGCGGGAGCTGGTGCGGGAGAGAAGATTGCGCTGCCGGGCGCTTGGCCTGGCTGGTCTCTGCCTCTTGCTGGGGGCCGGCTAGTTAATCTGTAACTCCCCCCACCCTCGGGCCTCTCCATCCCAATTTACTGAGACCAAGACGCGAGGCGCCGAGGTGGGGGGAGTTGACAGCGTTCCCGGACATTGCCTCCCAGGGTCTGGTCCAAGTGCCCCCTGCTAAGTGACACAGCCTGAGGCCAAAGAAGTGGCCTTTCCGCGGGGCAGCAGTCTCTGGGCAGGGTGTGCCCTGTACAGAGGCGCACTCCTAACTCCCGGGGTTCACCGAAGACCCTTGCTCGCAGAACTCTGGCAGGGCTGATGGTTGTGTGAGAGGCAGGCTCAAGACCGTCTTGACTGCTGGGTGATCTCGAGTAGGTTGCTTAAACTCTCTGAGCTGTGTCAACTCCCTCTCCGGGCGTACTGGATTAAACAATGCATCAGCCCGGTGGAGGTCAGATCCCCGAGCAGCACAAGGTTGAGACACTTGGCTTGTCATTGTTTGTCACGTCCTTTCAACCTCTTCAGAAAGGGCACCACTCGGACAACAGAGAGTGAGCCGAGGGTCGGACCATTCAGAGACCTTCGGGAGTCACCTGTGAGCTCTTGGCAGTAGGTGCCCCAGGACTCCCAGAACAGCTGTGTGTGACATCCAGCCCCTGGCTGTGCCTGGTGACTGCACTTCCCAGCTTCTTGTCATGGCAGATGACACGTGGCCTGAGGCCCGATGGAAAAATCTCAGAGCCTTAATTTGTTTGAAAAGACAACTCAGGGTCTCTAAGCGTGGGGAAGCAGCCGGAAGCAGCTTTGAACTTGGGTCAGAGGGGAGAAGAGTCCCAGCTCTATCCGTAGTCACCCCATGCCAGGCACCCCATATCCCAGAGTCTGTGTTCCTCGGGGCCCTCGGGCAGGCTCAGCCTGACACAGAGCAGTCATTCTGGTCCTAGGGAGCCAACTGCAGCACACATCTTACAGGAGGTGATCACACCGGGGAAGCAGCGGGCACCACAACCGCCACTGCAGAAAAAGGTTGGGCAGCCAGGTGAGGTGCTGGTGCAGAGGTCTGCCACCAGAGGGCAGCAAGAGGCCAAGGACAAGGCCTCGGGCTGCTCGGTTCTGTTGCACGTTCGCTGGCAGATCCACACTTCTGTGGTTTTTGTGGCGAGCTTCGGTGTCTGCAGCTAGACTGACCAGTCGTGTGAATGTTGCAGGGTCAGGCACATGTACGGTCCCTCCATAACTGAGCTGGTTTAACTGCACCCGTTTCTCCCAAGAACAAGCCTCCAGGAGGGCTGGAACTATATATGTGATGATTCGAGGGTCTTTCCTTCACGAGAGCTCAGGAATCAGGCTGTGAGCTGGGGCGAGGACTGTGTGGGTTCACCCTGCCTGGACCTGCAGCGAGGATTTAATCTCTGGCGTGTTTTCCTCCTCTTCCAGTGCTTGCAGAAGTACCTGCCAGCCATATGTGCTAGCTAGAGTCCGTAATGCCAGCCACCAAAGAGACAATCCCTCACTTTCAGGAGTTTAAAACATCGTGTCTTACTCCTTACCGCCATCGCGGCAATGTGAGCAAGCGGGTGACACGCTGGTTTGGCCGCTGCCGTCCGCAGGCCAGGTCCCCTGTCTGGCCAGCAGGGGGAGCAGCAGGACTGCTTGGACAGTGGACAGACAATCTGAAGTGGCCACACTTCTGCTGGAGTTCGCAGGCCTAAGCTGATCTCAGGGCCCCACCTGGATGCAGAGGGCCTGGAAAGTGTGTTCTTCCCGTGTTCTCAAAGGAAAGCAAAGAAGCTGAACTCACGCACTCCTTTTTCTGTTTTTCTCTCGCGCTGGGCGAGAATCACAGGAAAATCATACATACTGTTCAGAGGGACCAGGAATGCGATATGGGAGCCTAGTGCACTCTATGGGAGCCCCACCCACCCACGCGTGCAGGCAGGAGTTGAAGCATTCAGCCCAGGAACCCGGTCACTGCTGAGCCCAGAACACCCCTCTGAGACCAGCACCTTCTCCCCACTTCAGCTCTCTGCATCAACAGAGTACAAATACTGTTCTTTTTGTTTTCCTTTCCCTTTGGATGTATTTTTAATTACAAAAATAGAACTGGATTGTTGTACTCAGACAATGTTTGTCTGCTTCCAGGCTCGCTGGAGTTGAGGGTTGGCTTTCTTTCTGATGCCCAGCCCCCAGCTCCTGAGGTCTCTGTCCAGGTGTGTTCCTGGCTCAAGTGTGTGTGTGTGTGGGGGGGGATTCAATCTCATCCCTGAACCAAGTTGAACAAACCTGTTGGCATCATCCTTTATAATGTTCCCAATCACAGATCTAGAGATGGTCCCTTCCCCTGCACTAATGAGGGCAAGAGAAGGAGAGACCTCGAATCTGATAATGACCCCAAGATTAAGCTGGCAAGGTAGGAAAAAAGAAAGCCAGACCAAAAAGTGGGGAAGGAGTGTGTCTCAGCCTGCTCCCTCCCAGCTGTGTAGCCTTAGCACAATCCAGGTCCTACCTAGGCACTTTATTTCTTCTCCCTTAAAACAGTAATAGCAGCTCCATCCCAAGGGGGTGTATCATGAGTGCTGAGCTTGGGGGTGCAAAAACACCTCCTGAAGCACATCGCATGAGCTGTGGGCTAGAGCAGGTCTTCCCTTGCTTTCACTCCTAGAAATGTGAAGCCTGCATATCTGGACCTTTCTGAACACTGTGGAGCCATATGGTCACTACTCAGTGTGAATCTGTACCCTAGGTTTCCTGAGGGGTCTGGCATGGCTTTAGCATGGGATGGAACAAGGCCCTGTATTCCTTTTGACCCCATGCCAATTCACATCAGCCCTGCTTGAGGGGTTCATGGGCTCTTTAGGAAGCTATCATCTTCTTTTATTTTTCTGAAGATAAAATACTGACACATTTGGGCTTGCAGAAAATTTAGAATACACAGAGAAAAAAAAAAAAAAGAAACACACAAGTTACCACCTTTGGTTCCAGTCATCAGAAGCCAAGAATGGCACTTCGCCCTTTCCCTCAGCTGTGCTGTTCAGTTTACTTTCCATGCTCAGAAATCTGCGAAGATCCCCTGTGGCCTCACTTTTTAGTTAGCACTTCCTGGGGAGTCCTGCAAGCACCCTGCCCGGGAGAGACAGGCTGTTGGGGTGGACGGGCTCCGCCAGGCCTCGAGGCCTGTGCCAGACCCTCTTAGAAGGCTGGCAGTCCTGGTCCTCCCACCCCCACCTCGGTGGTGTTGCTGGCTTGGAGGGGAGCAGGGTAACCCCGCGGGTCTTGCACCAGTACAGGCAGCAGAAAATGAGCTTCCCCCGCAGACCTGTGCCTCAGGGACGGGGACCAGCGGTTTCGGTAGTAGGTCAGCGGTGGGGGTAGGGCACGGTCCTTCGCAAGTCTTTCCCCTATGACTTCAGGCACATTCTTCCCTGCACAGTAAAACAACCTGCAGCCACCCTGGAGGGCAGAGCCCGGATTTGGAATAGTCTGGCCCAAGCCCGAGGGGTTGGGCACCTGGTCAGTGAGATGGCGGGCGCAGCACAGGATAGGCTTCGCCTGTGTCCCGACTGCTGGGCAGGTGGGCTCAAGGATTTGGCTCTGGGGAGTTGATGCTTGTTCTCAACGTGCTTCCCACATGGCCCCTCCAGGCTAGAACTGAGTTGATCCCTGTCCCCTCCTCTCTGCTCGAGACCCCCGCTCGAGACCCGAAGGCGGCCAGGTGTGCCCCGGCCCCAGGTGCGGGGATCCGCCGCGGGCAGGGTGCAAGTGCGGGCGCTGGAGCCTGCGCGAGGGCAGTCTGAGACCCCACTCGAGCCAGGGACAAGCTGGGAGTTGCGGGTTAAAGCCCAGTCAGCTAGCGCAGGGGGGCCCAATGGCGAACAGTGGGGCCTGCTGGACGCCGGGTCGGCCGAGGGTCTTGCCCACTATCCTGGCAAAGGGGGTGCCCGCGCCGCGCCGCGCAGCCCCCGCTAGAGACAAAGGAGCCGGCTGGGGGAGGGGGGCACAGGAGGGGGATGGGGCGAGGGGGCGGGGCGCCGCGGTATCACGTTACCGCCCGCAGCGCCCTTTAACTCGCGCCCCGCCCCCCCGGCCCCCCCGCCCGCCACGGCGCGCTCGTGCGGCCGCCAATCAGCCGCGCCCGGCCGCGCGCCCCACCCGGCCCGGGGTGTGTGCACGCGGCCAATGGGCGGTGCGCGGGGGCCGGGCCGCTGAGGGCGGGGCGGTGCTCTACCAGCCAATCGCTGTGGTGTTGTTGAAACTGAAAATACTACATTATGCTAATCGCGGCGGGGCCCGCGCGCGCGGGGGTGGGGCCCGCGCGTATAAAGGGGCGCAGGCGGCGGGGCGTTCCGCAGGCCAAGTGAGCTGTGCTCGAGGGGTGCCGGCTAGGCCCAATCGAGCAAGCGAGCAGGCAGGAAAGCAGCTCTGAGGGGGCGAGGCTGAGGCCAGACAGGACCAGTGAACGGGATTCGGGAACCGTCCTCTGCCCGACAGCCAGGTAGCCGCAGCGCCCGCTCTCCCAATGCGCCCCTTTGCAAGCGCGGACTCGGCTCTGCTGGGTCTCGCTCGCGCCCGGCCTTCGCCCTCTTCTCTCTTCCTTCTTCTCTCGTTCCTCTCTCTTCTCTCACCTCCCGGGCTCATAGAGCCCAGGTCATGTACGACGTGTACCTCCGCAGCACATCGGCGATGGAGCGCCTGGTCAACGGTGGAAACTTGCCTGTGATGGCGCGCACGAGCGCCTGCCGTAGCCTCTTCGGGCCCGTGGACCACGAGGAGCTGGGCCGCGAGCTGCGGATGCGCCTAGCTGAGCTGTCCGCAGAGGACCAGAACCGCTGGGACTTCAACTTCAAGGAGGACGTGCCGATCCGGGGCCCCGGGCGCCTGCAGTGGATGGAGGTGGACAGCGAGTCCGTGCCCGCCTTCTATCGCGAGACGGTGCAGGTGGGGCGCTGTCGCCTGCTGGTGGCGCCCCAGCCACCCCCAGTGATCGTGGCTGTCATCCCAGCCCCCCAGCCGCCGGCTGCTGAGCCCCTCGACGGCCCAGACGAGGAGCCAGGGCAGAGGCCGCCCAGAGTCCGTGTCCCGGCGCCCTCTCCGCCCCTGGCCCCTGTCGTGGCCCCGGGGCTGGTCCCTGTCGCAGTCCCGCCGTTGGCCCCGCCAATGGCCCCGGCGATGGTCCCAGCGCTGGCTCCTGTTGCGGCCCCGCCGCTGGCCCCACCAATGGCCCCGCCAGTGGCTCCGCCAATGGCTCTGCCTATGGCCCCGCCAATGGCCCCGCCAGTGGTCCCGCCAATGGCTCCGCCTATGGCCCCGCCAATGGCCCTGCCTATGGCCCCGCCAGTGGTCCCGCCAATGGCCCCGCCAAAGGCCTCGCCAATGGCCCCGCCAATGGCCCCGCCAAAGGCCTCGCCAATGGCCCCGCCAATGGCCCCGCCAATGGCCCCGCCAATGGCCCAGCCAAAGGCCCCGCCAATGGCCCCGCCAAAGGCCGCGCCAATGGCCCCGCCGCTGCCCCCGGCGCTGGTCCCAGCGCTGGCCCCTGCTCTGGTGCCAGCGCTGGCCCCGGCCTCGGTCTCCGCTTCCGAGCTAGGCTCGGACCCGGACCCTGACGCAGACGCGGCGCCTGAGAACAGCACCGAGTCGGGCGCGAACCAGGCGCAGCGCGGCCCCGAGCCGCTCGCTGACTCGCTGCACGCGGGGATTCCGGGACGTCCCGCGGCCGGCACTGCGGCGGCCGGCGCCAACGGCGCGGTGATCAAGAAGCTGTCGGGGCCTCTCATCTCCGGTGAGCCCCGCACGGCCCCGCCCCGGGCCGGCCCCGCTTTGTCCGGCCGGCCGGTCTCTCCCCAGTCCTCGGGGGCCGCGCTGGGTCCCCGCCTCCTCCCGTGGCATTAAAGGGCCCGCGGCGCTCAGGGCGCGGCTGCAGCCGCACCCCCTCCTTTCGAGCCGCAGCACTCGGCGGCGGCTCAGGAGGACGCGATGGGAGGGTGAGCAGGGTCCCCTGGGTGTTTGGTCTGGGGCTGCAGCAGCCAGAGCTCATCTCGTGTGCTGACGCGCGCGTGGAGCGCGGCGCTGAGGGGGTTAAGCGCGGCAGCAGCCCCGGGGGGCTTGGCCGCGGGACAAGGGGAAATGCTTACACAGCACATTGCGCGGCGACGTAAACAAAGCTGACCCGCCGCGGACCTCGGCGCGGGCGGGGATGGCGTCCCCACCCCTGCCCCGCGCCCCGCGCCCTCTCCCGGCCCCCTCTGGAGTCTCTCGCCTCCCCCACCCCGCCCTGATCCGGCGTGCGCGCGCTGTCGCCCGCAGATTTCTTCGCCAAAAGAAAGAGATCCGCCCCCGAGGGCAAATCCTCCAGCGATGTCCCCCCGGGGTGCCCCCCTGCTGGCGCGTCTCCTGGACTTGGCGCGCCTGAGCAAACCCCGCGCAAGCGGCTGAGATGAATTAGGTGAGTTCGGTGCCCCTGAGGGGGTCGTGGAGGGGCGTCCCCGCCTCGGACCCTGCTCACTGATCTTCTTTCTGCAGCTTAAGAGCCCCAGGAGCACGGGGAGCTTTGATGGGCAGCGGAAGATGGATCATCGCGGGGCCTCAGCTGGGACCATTCATGTAGCAGCATTCGCTGGCAGCAGCCGCAGAGCAGACTTCGTTTTTAGAATCTGTTATCTGTGCAATGTATTGCTTACTTTGCTATATCTAAATGCATTCTGCTCATGGAGTACTTTGGTCCCACGGTGTAAAGCTTTAAGAGTCATTTATATAAAATGTTTAATCTCTGCTGAAACTCAGTGCAAGCAAGCAAGCAAGCAAGCAAAAAAAAAAAGAAAAAGAAAAAAAAAACATAAAAGGCAAAAAAAGTAAAAAAAAGTAAAAAAATAAAAAAAATGTATATTTGTACAAAAAGTTTTTAAAGTTATACTAACTTATATTTTCTATTTATGTCCAGGCGTGGGTCACTCTGCCACGCAACTGCTAGGTTATTGGTTATGCCAAAGGTGCTATATTTCACCCGCATCAGATTATCAGCAAGTGTAAATTTATTTTTCCAGCAGGCTCTAGGGGAAGGAGTCGCTCACAAACTAGCTTACATACTACCCATCTAGCTTGCAATCTTTTCACGCTTTTGCTGCCTCTCTTATTATTATTTTAAACTTGACAAATCTGTTTCTAAAAAAAAAAAAAAAAGAAGAAGAAGAAGAAGGTTCCTGAGCCATCTGTACCACTGCCCCGGCTCCTCATCCGCCGGGTTCTAAATAAAGAGGCCAAAAATGCTGCAAATCTGTCTGCTTGTGCTTGTACACCTTTGCACGCCAGAGCTGGGGAGATAGAGCAGAGTGCGCAGGGGCTGGGAGCACAGGCCAAATGCTGCTGCAACTTGGCAGGGTGAAGTCTATCCAACAGGGAGGGGCCTTTCTCCTGGCCAGACAGGCCCACCTGCTGCAGGCCAGGCACTTGTCGCTTGCTGCTCTTGGTCCAAAATAAGCATCTATCCTAGCTCACTGGAGTCCCTTGTTCCAAGGAAACTGCCAACAGGGAACTGGGTTCTAATGGGCGCTGCAAGGATTGCACTAGATACTTCCCAACTCCTCATCACGGTACTCTTCTCAAGAAGGGACCCCCAACATCCCCAGGGTCCCTTAGGGTGGGAAACATCCTGGCATGGGTGGGAGAGAGAAGAGGGGAGAAAACAAGGAACTATGCCTACACCTCATATCTGTGCTGGCACCCCACTAGCCTGCTGGTTTCACAGTGTTTCCTTTTAGTCAAAATGGGAAGCTATGCTTTATTTTCTTTGTAGCTGATCTATAAACCTCTGAAAATTGGGGCTTATAATGGAGAGGGTGACATAAAATCACAAAGCCAGAAAAACTGGTAGTGTTTTTCCTGGTGCCTTGGATTAGGAGAAAAGGAGAGTTGGGGGTTGTTGGGCTGTATACAGGGCAGCAGGCAAGATGAGATCTTTGAGATATGTGCAGATGCATAATTAACCTTCCCCCAACTGCCTGCAAGGCCCAGCTGGGGCGAGGTACCCGGAAATGCCCCATACATCCTGAAGGGCACAGACCCTGCTGCCCTGTGCTCAGCCAATAGCAGCCCATTGATACCTTGAACTTACTGGGAAGGCCTGCTTCAGGCTTCCGAACATTCTTGTGGGGAGGCTGCCCATTTCCACTTGTGGGCCAGGACAAGCCCTGTCCTCTGAGAAGGGCAGGAGAAATGGGAGTGTGGTGTGCCACCTGGTAATCTGGCACGGAGGTAGTGGGCACACAGGCCTCTGAGTGTCTGTTCTTTGTGATGAAAGCTGATGGGGTCCCTGAGACTCAGCCCTCAGAGTGAAGCTCAGCTGTGCCAGACCTCAGTACCCTGCTCTGCTTCTCCCAACCCTGCCCCCATCATGGGGACCTGGGGGTGCTGCTCATCTGCTGCCCAGCTTCCTGGTCTCTCTGTTCGGTGACTTTCTCAGAAGCAGTAAGGGGGACACTTGTGTGTGGTTTCTACCCCATGCCAGGAACCCACAGCAGGAACCTGGAGGCTGCCCTTCCCACTTGGAAGCAGCATTGTGTTGTAAGTCACACACGTGACCCCTGACAAGCCCTTTTTTTCCCCCTCAGGGGGCCTCAGTTTCCCTGTCTGGGCTGTGAAATGTCTCCAGTACCTGCCAGATCTGGTGTCCTCGTACAGAAATGGTGTACGAGGTTACAGAAATAATGGCATCAGTGGCACTGCTGGAAAGTACTCCTTCTCACTTGTGCCAGTGAGGATCAATTGTAGAGATGAGCATGTGAGCCCCCAATCCACAGCCAGGGAGAATAGGGGGCTGCACTGCCCTGGGAGATGTTTCTTCCTGTGGACCAGGCTTGGCAGACAGACAGCAGAGCTGTTAACCTGCATAAGAACAAAGCAATGACCACTTGGGAGAAGCTGGGAAGGGATTGCTCTGGGTAGGGCTGGGTGGGATTTCGAACACAGATGCTCTGGGAAGACCCCAAGAGGACAGCTAGGACAGAAAAGAGGGAGGAAGGGTATACCTGAAGGCCAAGATGAGCCAAGGCTGAGGGGTCCACATGGGCTTACAGATTATTGTTGGGAGTGTGTATTGGGTGTGCCGCTGGGCCTCTCCTTTCCCTGGCCCTTCCTGCTGCTCTCTAGTCCCTTCCTGGGTATAATGGGCCTGCTCAAAAGTTGAATTTTGTCTGTAGGCAGTGCAAATCCCAGGGGGAGTGAAATTAGAGAAGGTGATGTTGGGTGGAGAGCAGGAGAAAAGCCATCAGGAAGTTGGGACAAAGATACTAGATGACCAGTATTTCAGGACCTTTGCATGCCAGATTCTGTTCTGGGCACCAGAGAACAGGTCCCTATTCCCAGAGCCTCCTCTGTCATAGGGGCAGAAGGTGGGGGTGGAGAGTGCTAGAAGATATAATAGGTAGGACAGTCTTTGGGACCAGCAGGTGCAGTGAATTGCTTAGGGGATCAGGTACTGAGATGCTGCCAAAGTTTCTAGTGTCAGTATGGGGGAGGGGGCTACTCCAAACAGAAACCCTTCCTAGATAGAGGGAACAAAGGGCCTGACCCCCTGCTTTGGGATCTGAGTTGTATTTTGAGACACACCTCACTTTGTTTGCACTCTTAGCCAGACCTTGGTGACTGCAGGGCTCATGTCCGGTCTCTCTACAATCATGAGCATCTGGGTTACAGATGGGCATGGTGAGGCTCAGGAAAGCAAGGAAGCTTGCACAGTGCTGCGGACCGGGGAGGCACCCAGTGCACATCCACCTACTGACCCCCTTGGCCTCCGGCCTAGCTAGTTCCCTTGATGCTCTCCAAAGCATACTTCTGACCATTTATTTTCTATTTTTATTTTTGATACATTTTAATGAACTAAAAACTTGGAAATTTACATGAGAGCACATTGCTTGTGCATTCTATGGGTTTGAAGACCCGTGTAATGTCTTCTGTCCTCCAGCTCAGTATATCACAGAATACTGCCACCCTCCTAGAAATCCTCTGCTCCACCACCTGCTCCTCCCTCCTCCAATCACTGGCAACCAAAGGTCCTTTATTTGCCTTTCATTGCCTCCCTAGCTTCACCTTTTCCAGAATGTCTTATAGATCACATCGAGGGGTTTCTTCTGCCTGGTAATACAGATTTAAGCCTCGCTTCCAGTCTTCCCAGGGGCTCATAGTCCACTTCCTTTGAGCACTGATTCATATTCTAGTCCATTATCTGGGTGTTCCATAATTTATTTAGCCATCCCCCCTATACATGTGCACATGACATGCTGTTGCTTTTAGGTTTGGACAATTATGACTAAAGTGGCTGTAAACATTCTTGCACAGGTTTTTGAATGTTTGCACACGCATATGGGCACTTACCCCACAATTCAAATGCTATTGATATGGGAAGAGCATGTTTAGTTTTGTAAGAAACCATCAAACTATATTCCAAAATGGCTCTGCTATTTTACATTCCCAGTAGCAGTGAGGGTCTCCCATTGAAGAACCCTGGTTTTTGAATGTTTTTTTCTCTCTGGAGCACACCAAACCCAGGCTAAGGTTAATTAAAACACAAGGCCAAGTGAGAATGGTACCACATCCCTGTAAGCCCAGCTACTCCAGAGGCTAGGATCAAGAGTTTGAGGCAGTCTGAGCCATAAAGGAAACCTAGTCTTAAAAATCAAACGATAAAACAACAACAAAAGACCTCCCTACTGTTTGACTGTGAAGAGGACAAAGCAGAATTAAAAATTAACATTGACGATTGTGGCTTTATCTGAATGCGCTGGCTTGTTTGACCTGGCGGGGGATGAAGAGCTTTTGCCCGTTGGTCAATTCCTCGTCCAGCTGGCCTCATGGTAGGCTGCATTATTGTCCAAATATTTGCTGCCTCGCCTTGTGGGAGGATTCTGCATCTCCTGCATGTTGTTATCAGGCCTGGCCATGTAACTCACTCCAGTGAGCATAATGTGACTGTCATGATGTGGCTAGTAGGTGGAACTCAAAATGACCAGAGTTCCCCCATCCTGTGTCTCTCCTGTGACAGGAAGATCTCAGATAGGGGCTGCTCTTTCTAAGAAAATAAATTAAGCACAACCAGGGGACTGTGATGGGAAAGGAGAACATGCCACACTTATATTATGAGTCCCAGAGGGCTTAGGGCTCGTCTGATATGCAGCAAAATGTAAACTAAGCTGACACTGGATTTGAGGATTGAAACTCACTGATGTCAAGAATTATAGTGAGGGCTGGGTGGTACTGTCAAATTTTCTGATACCAAGTGCTGTGGTTGGAACGTGGGTTTTGTCTCCCAAGGGTTCCTGTGTTGGAAACTTGGTCCCCAAGTGTGGAAATGTTAACAGGTGGTGAGATATTGAAAAGGTAAGGCCTAATGGGAAGTCCTTAGTAAATTAGGGGTGTGTTCTTAGAAAGGGTTGGGATCCCAGTCTTTCTCTGGCTTCCTGTCTTGCAGCGTGATCTCTTCCTCTTTCATTGTCATGGTGCATCTGTTGGAAGACCTCTAAAGCTGAACTGATACTGGTGCTGTATACTTGAACCTTGAGAACTGAGTAAAATAAACCTCTTTTATTTATAAAATTACCTAACATCTTAGTGATTTTCTCATTACGGAGACCCAATATCCTATAGCCTTGATTTAAAGGAGAAGAGGCTAATTTTGGCTCACAGTTGGTAGACATTTCAGTCCATAGTTAGATGGCTACAAGGCAGAACAGTAAGAACTTGGGTGGAGGAAACTGCCCACCTGGGACTGAAGGCCAGAAAGCAGAATGTGTCAAAGGAGGGTCCAGGCAGGAAGATGTAGCTTCGGGGTGACACCCTCAGTGACCCTCCTTTTCCAATCAGGCCCTACCTCCTAACAAATCAGCTATACAGTTCCCCATAATCTATCACCTTTCAAAGTTTCCACCTATGATCCCATGAGGGTTAAGGAGCACATCTGGATATAAACCCTTGGCCTCTAAAAAGACTCATGAATATCTCTATGCAAAGTGCATTTAGTTCATTTCTAAGAGTTGCCAAAGTCCTAACAGTTCCAGTACTGCTGAAAAGTCCAAGTTCAAAGTTTCCTATGAGCTTTAAGGAAAACTCTTAGTTGTGAGGCCCTACAAAAAAATTTTAAAACAAGTTAAACACTACCAAAATAAAATGACCCAGGGTAAAGATTCCTATTCCCAAAGGGAAAAATAAGAGAATAAAACAGTAAGGCTGAAACCCAGCAGGGGCAAAAATCTCATAGTTGCATGTTCAGCATCTGGGGCGAG